CCCCCCTCCCCCCCCCCCCCCCCCGGGTTCAGCTCATCTATTCTACATAGTTGAGAGATTAACAGAGCCTCTTGATGCCGTCATCGACTGACAGACTTTCTTTCGAAGAGGGAGAGAACAGCTGTATCTGGTTTCTTTTCTTAAGATAAAATAAGGGAGGTGCTGATTCGCTTCGACCATGCCGACCAAAGAAAATGACAGCCAAACATGTATTTTGTTTTTGGCAGACGCCTCAGCAGGGCTTTGTTGGTTGCAGAGACGTCATCTACAAACACCTATCTCCGGTCTTTATCCCATCCCGGCCAGATCTCCTGGGACAGCTTGTTGACCAGGTCCAGCTTTGCCCACATGAGGTCCCTGGTCATGCCGACTCCGCCTTCGGAGTGGTCACTCGCAAAGCCACACTGGGGTGACACGGCGAGGTTGTCGCGGAGCGCGTCCTCCCTGGTCCTCCCGTTGCCCTGTCCCTCGGCCACCACGTCGGCCGCCTGGTAGACTCGGTTCTTCAACTCGTCCAGGTCCTCCATCTCGGCGGACTTGGTCGTCACCACGCCCAGGACCACCGCCTTGTCCGCCGGCAGGTACTTGAGGGGAGTGAAGTCGCCGGCCCGTGGACTGTCGAATTCGAGATAGAACAGTTTGTACGCGGTCTCGTTGAACAGCTTCCTCGCGATCCGCTCGTAACTCCCGCTGGCGAGGCCCACGCCGTTGGGGAAGTTCCCGCGACAGATGTGGACGCCCACGTGGAGGTCCGGGGGTAGGTCCGTGATGGCGTCGTTGTGGGACCGCACGTACAGCTCGAGCAGCCGGTCGAGGTCGACGCCTTCGTCGCGGCACGTCTGGATCCACTCCTCGTCGCAGAAGAACGACAGGTTGGGGTCGTCGACCTGCACGACCCTCAGGCCGTGCTCGTACAGGGTCAAGATCTCCTTCCTGAGCGCGGCACTCAGATCCCGCAGCAACGCCTCGTCGCTCTCGTACAGGTCGCGGTCAAAGGGTTGCTTGAGCTGGATGTGCCACCAGCCGGGCGGTGGGACCGTCATCTTGGCGTCCCTCCATCGGTCCTCTGGCAGGAGGCTGCGGAAGTACAGCCAGTCGTCCAGGTACGCCGACTTTTCGAGGGTGACCTTGTTCGAGGTCGGGAACCCCGCATCGCGGCCGGGGAGGCCCCATTTGATCAGGGGCCGGTTCGTGGGGAACCCGACCTTGAACTCGGACATGGGCGTGTAGCGCACCGCGAAGCCCGAGAGCGACTCGAAGAAGTTGCCGTAGAAGATCCCCCGCTCGTACTCGCCCGTCGTGATGGGCAGGACGTGTCGCGCGAGCTGCTCGCCCACGACGTCCTTGATCGCCTTTGCCTGCTCGGTCCGCAGGACCTCCATCAGATCGACATCGCCGGACGAGGAAGCCGCAGTGGCATCGCCGGCGGCAGCAACGTCCTCCTGATCACCAGGGCCGTTTCTGAGCCGCGCCCCCTGGAGACTCGTGTTGGTCCTCGCATCCACCAGACTCTTCGGCCGGAGCAGCGACCCGACCTGATCGGCTCGAAAGGGCGGTGCCATGACGAAACCACTCGTGGATTGTGGTGAAAAAACAAAAAACCTGGGAATACTCACGATTCGAGCTCGCCGGATACAGCGTCAATCCTTGTTCTCGGGTCCTTTTCGCAAGACAAAAAGACGTCGTTTCAATACACTATCGCGTGGGGCAGCGACTTCGGACCTTTTGGATTTTATATTGCAGCCCACATGAGGGGGACTTGTTGCCAATGACACCATGTGGGGCCCCTTTTCATACCTACAGTAGGTATTGATATGTTGATATAGATGGGAACATCCATCTCTGGGGGGGCCTGGGCCTCGTTCAAGCAGGGTGTTTCACAAAAGGGTGTACGGGGACGAGATTCCAACGGCTTTGGCCCATCTATTTCCCAATGTCTCGGAGCATCGAGAGAAAGCACCAGTGCCGGATCACAAAACAAGAATGTTCCAAACCCATGGGCACGATATGCTTCCCGTCTAACTGTTTGTTTTGTGATCGCATACACGGCTCGGTAGTTCCCAGAGCCTTTTGAACGACAACTCTTGCCTATTGTTCTGATTCATCTGCCAGAGGAGGATGTAAATATGTACACATTTTTGACGCCATTCACCATCCCAGAGGCGACCTGACCTCTCGGAACCTTTCATTAAAGCAACCTCTTAACGCAATTATTCACTTTTGTTACAACGCACGTAACCTCGAGACATGTAATATGGAGCGGAAACCATTCGTGACTGTCGTATAGAATCAAGCAATATTACCAGCCATTCCCTAGTGCTGAATTAGTCGACGGATCACCGGCGGGCGGACAACAAGCTGAGCCAGCTCAAGTGGCGACAAGCAGGCAGACTGGACTTACCAGGAATATGGCCTGCACTGCAAGCTGCAAACTCCATAATCCCACTTTCTTAAACCGTCTCAACCGTGCCTGCTCATCTGTCACATCTCTTGCGAATGCGTCGTACACTTCGGCTGACAAGTCATCCATCAATCCGGAATCAAAAACAGTCCAACTGCCATCAAAGTCTGAGAGTCGTTTGACAACCCGACAGTTGATTGGAATGAATGTCCGCCGGGAATTGATGTAGGCGACAATGGGACGGATCAGTGCGTTGTTGATATATGATAGGTCGCGGGTGAAGATGGGGACGACGGCGCGAACGTCGTTCAAGTGAATGCGGAGATCCATGACTATGAATCGCTTATCCTCTTCTCTCACCGGTTGAGAGTTGGGGTTCGACAACACAACTCCACCAGAGGCAACGGGCTCGTCTTGTTGGGAACTCTCGCCGTATCGCTGTTGCTCAAGATGTTTCCTCGAGGTCAGTGTAGCTTCCATTCGTTCATAGAAATCAGTCACGACCTTTATAACAGATTCCTCGCTGTCGTTGGGAATCATAATGTCCGCCACAATATCAACGTTGCCTTCATGAATCCAAGATAAGGGACCGACCACCCCACGGTTGATGTGGTCGATGTTTATGCCATCAATGCGAATGCGCGATTGTTTCTTCCAAGGTTCGTTGGACGGATCTTCGGGATCGTAAAGTACTGTACCAGTGTACGAGTGCGTCTGTCGAGGATGAATAGTGAAGAGGGATTTGTCGAACTCGCCCGTGATGTTGTTCGCACAGAGGAAATCATAGAACAACCACTGCTTCCGCAGCCTAGGCAAGTCGGCGTTGTAGATACTGACAGGGAATGGCCGGAATCCCTCAGGCTGGAGGATTGTGAGCAGAAGATCTTCAATTTTGAAGGATTCGATCTCGAAATCTCCAGGGTTGTGTTCATGTCTCAGCGACTTTGGATCAATCTCTTCGCCTGTTGCAAAAACATGAGTTCGATCGACAACCCCTCTCACGTGTTTAACTTCCACATTTTGTAAGAGGCCCTTGGAGTTCCACCATTTGCTAAATGAGAGGGTGACGTTGACTTCCCCAATCGTGATGTCGAACTGTGTATAGTTCTGCTCTTCTGGAGGCACGGGATCTTCTGCTGAGGATGCTTGGGCAGCTGCTTCGGGGGATCCTTTGGTAACTCGGGATCGGACTCGGCCGGGTCTCCTGGAGACAAAGACGTTCTTGAATGTGATGACCCCATCACCCCACTTAGGGACAATGGCAGACTCGAAAACGACCTGGAGGCCAGACGACTTTGTCAAATAATTCCCAATCCAGCCAGCAAGAGTTTCTTGTGCAAAGACAGTGTTGATGGCTAGAATGGCCAACGAGACAAATGTCGTCGTACCGACAACAATCCAGATGACATGACCTAACGCGATCCACGAGATGAATCCAACAATCTCATCTAGATTGAACGGCCTCGTACTCTTGATTGTGAACCATTTAAAATGCACCTTGAGGCGAGACCAGAATCCTGTGGCCGCAGCCAGTAGTTCTTCCTTTGTAGGACGGTGGAACTGCGGCATGTGCAGTCTATCGTAGAAACGACTTTGGTAGAAATGGGGCTGTCCCGAGCCAGGCTGCGAGTCAGCTGGTTTTGTTGAGCCAGATTCAGGTGCATTTTCTGCTCTCTCTGGTTTTGTGCGTCCCTCGCCTCCATTCTCTGACTTTTGCCTTCGGAAGTGTGTCGTATGAAAATCTCGCCGCCGGACCAAGTGTGGTATTCTGCTTTGGCTACTCCGGACGCACTTCAAGCCCTGCCCAAGACCCAACCGTCCAGGATCTGGTATGTGTCCATCTTTTCTGGAATACGCGCGCAGCCAAGGTAGACTTGATCTCAACGCGGATTGTGTGCCTTGCCCAACGAAAATTTCAGTCGGAAATGATCGAGTCTTGACAGGAAGCTTGTTGGGCTGCCACAGTCGGCGCGCGGTGTTGTTCGGCGTCGTTAGGCTTGATATTCGTCTGGGTACGTGGTATCTGAAGCTTCGGTCGGAGGACCCAGGTAACCTTTCGACGGCTTTTGTCGACCGCGCTGGCGCACAAGCAGCAATCCTCGAGACATGGCGCATGCCTTGGACGAAGGCCTCTGTCATGATTGAAAGACCATATCGGCCGATGGATGAACACAATCCTGGTTGAGCAGAAAAGGTCGTCGTTGGGAGATGGTGTGGTCGAGGATGGCGAGTAGTGCAGAGAGACAAAATGCATGTGCAAGAGATGATGCAAGTTTATGCGGAGATCCACAATCATTTCTTCAGGTGCGGAGAAAACTTGCACCTCACGAGCTCAGCATGGCTGTCGCCTTGTCGCCTTGTCGCCTCACAAAAGAGGGTTGAACACGTCAAAGGGCAAGCGCAAGCGAGTGCTCTTCTTGTCATTGTTGTACAGTTCACTGCTATTCACATCCCATACCACAGCACAGACTCCTTCAATGCGCTGTCGTGAGATAACATCCTCGTTGTTAGGCCCCGATCGTCCGAGAATGAACGCAGACCCTAAACCTACCCTAACGTGCCTGATAACGTCTGGTCAACATGCCTTCGCATTCCACGACTCAGACTGAACGCTGGAAATATCCCCTGTGAGCCGGAGGTAGAATGGACTAACAAGAAGGGAAGGAGCGTCTCAAGGCCACCGTCCAGTAGATTCACATGCGCGTACTACTCTTCTCATCGATGCGTCTTCGCCGAAACCTCACATTTCATGCTCTCGTTCGCGAACGAGATCTTCTACGTCTCTCTTTGCGATCTATTGGTTCCGATAACGATCATAGTATTACAAGCATGCCTCCGAGTCCCAGGGCAAGGCTGGCTCTTCGATTTTGTAAAGGTCCTGGCTCCGTAAGCGATCGGATAGCCGGACCAGTGGAAAGCCGGAAACCAATCTCCAGCTAAGCGATCTGAAAATTGGGAAACGAGTTTTCTTTACCTGCATATAACTCACCCGTACCGTACGAAGAAGGCTTGCACACCAAAAAGAATGCTACGGCATTCGGCACGCTTTGCCAACCTCTGGGCTCAAAAAGAAGACGGTCTGGGCACTTGGCCTCCAGACAAAACGGGCATTGAGTTTGCATCGTCTGACTTTGCCAGTCCCCAAGATAGGACTAAGCCACCTACAAGTGCCAAATAGCAGCAGGTCTAGAACAGAATGCCAGGACGCGGCTCCAGCACCAACATCAAGCCAAATGTCAGAGACCAATGACAACCGACGCCTACATATTCTTGCACGACTATTACTTTCTGCCCAAGTGAACAAGCACGGGTGTACTTAGGGGCCAAAAAGATACAAACATCATGTGGCGCAAGCGTTACCCAATACGCTATCACCATGTCTTTGCGATGGGTGCGATGTTGGCGGAGGCGGACTTCACTCACTGCCTCTCAGCCGCGGCAGCCGAGTGTCTAGCGACTGGGGATAAAGCTTTCTAGAGTTCCAGTACGAGGTGGTTCGGCTGTCAGTTTGCTCTTTCTCAGGAACACGGTTCTCAAACAGTGCTCCCCATTCACCTCATACACGATGTTCTGGACAACTTTCACGGCGATCTTGCTAGCCGTCTCCAGCGTCCAAGGTGGACTATTGCGATCCTCCATCACTCAGTGGTTCTGGCAATCCTGTAATATGCAGTCTCCCCGCACTGGGTTGGGCTATCACTAATGTTTCAGCTACTGTCGTGGGCAATTGGCTTTACATTTCGGATGGAGAAGCGTGGGAGTGGACTAACGGGACACTGAGGTCCTTCTATCGTTACGTTACCACCACTTCCCGTCAAACGAGACCTCGACGAGACTGACTGTCGCAGTCTGGCCCACCATTTCGGTCGACCTCTCCCAGTCATGGACCAATGTCACGGTCTATATTGCAAACAACTCGGAGCCGGACCCGGACATGCCACACCGCAGATGGCCCGCGACTTGGTATGATGATACAACGGGCAAAGTGTACAGATATGGGGGTTGGGGATACAATAGCACGGACTGGACAACCGATCTTTGGTCTTATAAACCCGGCGGACGCACCATCTACTGGTCCCAAGAAGTCTCACCTGTAACAAATGGGCTGTCGTTCGGATCTAATGCACCCTTTTCATCAGCCTGGACAGTCGGCAACTCAAAGTTGTACAGCTTGGGAGGCGCCATCTCTAATGGGGCAATACGCGACCCAAATTTCATCGTCCCTGGCTTGGTGACGCGTGACTCGTCGAGTGGGCGCTGGAGTAACTCTACAACCAACATTCCAGACAGCTCGCCATACTTCACCCAGGCAAAAGCTGAGTTTGCGTCAAACTTTGGGCAGGAAGGTTTCGTGGTTGTTGTCGGAGGTGCTAATCCAAGCCGACAAGCCTTCGAGTTCCAGCAAGAGACATCATTACGCGACATGGCAGATATTATCTTATACGACGTATCCACAGAGGAGTGGTATGTCCAGCGAGCGACCGGAGATATCCCTCCACCAAGAACACAGTTCTGTACGGTAGGAAAGGCTTCATCCGACGGGAAGACATACGAGCTGTAAAGAATGTCCCTTCCGTACCGGGAGATTCAGACTGACGTGACCGTGTTAGATTTGTATACGGCGGCATGACGAATACAACAAACGACCTCAACTATCCTAATGAGCCTGGGTACTTGAATGTTTATGTCCTCTCCCTGCCTGCGTTCAGATGGTTTCAAACCCCTGCCTCAACGACGACGCGGCGGTGCAGCCACACGTGCTCCATCATCGGCAACAGGCAGATGATCTCTATAGGTGGTCGTCCGCCTAGCACGTTGAACCAGTTCGGCGCCGATTACGACGAGTGGGCTAGTGGCATAGGGATTATGGACATGACTGAATTGCAGTGGAAGGACCACTATGACGCTGCAGGTGCACCATACAAGCGAGCGCAGGTAATCGACAACTACTACAACCAGAGTTATGTTAAGCCCGCGTGGAGTGATCCTGTATTGGCAGCACAATTTGGTAAGTGTTCCTATGCATCTCCAGGCGCAGGGATAGAGGGACAGTTTCAGTGACAACAAACACAGCATTTGCCGGCCCGACTAACGCCACTACCACCACACCATCAACGCCGACGACGCCGGAGGAGACAAGCCCAGTGCACCCTGCTGACACGTCAACATCGCCTCCTGGTCCTAAGTCTCATACCGGTGCCATTGCTGGCGGCGTCGTCGGCGGTGTTGTAGGCTTAGGCCTGATTGCTGGCCTCGCATATTTCTTAGGGACCCGTCGTCACCGCAAAACAAGCGCCACAAGAGAACCCGTCCCTCCACCATCCGAGCCAAAGTCTTCGCAAATACCCAACAGTCCGTCGTCGGGCCAAAAACCATCACCAGAGTTTACTCAAGCGCAAGTCTTTGAACCAAGTGAACTTGAAGGCGAGACTCGGCAAGTAGCCGAATTGCCGGGCTATTATGGGAACTTTGGGCCGGGACAAAGATAACATATGAAGACGGAGCTATACAGGGGTTGGTATAGTATGTATAAAGTCCGCAAGCCAAAGCTGGGTGCTCATTCAGGGCCTTTGAGCTGGTTTTTTTCTCGGTTTAGAGGTGTCATAGTGTGGCTTTGTGAATGAGCTTGATGATTTGAATGATTGGTTAGCACAGCAGCCACCCACGACTTTTCAGTGTATAGAATTTTAGTCAAACGGTAATCAAATCATCCCATTTTGTCTCTATATCGTCACAATAAAGAATAACCTGGCTAGTAGTTGCTATGGTGTCACAATTTGCTGGTGGAGAAGTCAGCCTGAGTTCACTGTCCCCACAATGCGATATGAAATGTGCCAGCGTTGCGGAGAAAATTATTTCTGTGAATGATCGTGTCAAAGGGTATTGGAACTAGCTACATAATAGATCTATCAACTGGGCCGCTTCGATTATATTCGCCATTATTAGCTAGCGCCTTGGCTGTATTTCACATTTCTTTTACCGAACATCAACCGCGCTACAGAAAATCAGTCGTCGACTGGAATCTCGAGAACTCGACAACAGCGCAGGCGACTACAGTGTGTACGACATTAAGGTCGAGACGAAAACAATAAGTCTACTATCCAGAAGATCCACAATGCCTGCTCCGACGGCGCTTCAGCGCGTGCCTCCAGAGACCATGGCAGAATCCGCATCCCAAGAACCCCACGACATACATCCTCCCGCCGAAGAAAATATCGATGTGGACATAATAACAGCACCGCAACCGGAGAGCATTGTACCGCAGACACAAGAAGAAGAAGAAGAAACAGACACGGCGATGGAGATGGACGAAGAAGGCCGGCCTCGCTTCGCACCCGCCTCGACATCACAAGTGGGATTTGAGACCGCAACGACAACGACGACGCCGGTCCTAAGAATACAATCTCGCAAGGTGCCAGTGCCGCCGCACCGCATGTCGCCGCTGAAGCAGAGCTGGGGAAAGATCTACCCGCCGCTGGTAGAGCACCTGAAGCTGCAGGTGCGGATGAACGTCAAGTCAAAGGCGGTGGAGCTGCGGACGTCGCGGTTCACGACGGACACGGGGGCGCTGCAGAAGGGCGAGGACTTTGTGCGGGCCTTCACGCTGGGGTTCGACGTCGACGACGCCATCGCCCTGCTGCGCCTCGACGACCTGTACATCGAGACCTTTGAGATCAAGGACGTCAAAACCCTGCATGGCGAGCACCTCGGCCGCGCCATTGGCCGCATCGCAGGCAAGGATGGCAAGACCAAGTTCGCCATCGAAAACACCTCAAAGACCCGCGTCGTCCTCGCCGACACAAAGATCCACATCCTCGGCGGCTTCCAAAACATCCGCATCGCCCGCGAGGCCGTCGTCAGCCTGATCCTGGGCGCCCCGCCCGGCAAGGTTTATGGGAATCTGCGGACCGTGGCGTCGAGGATGAAAGAGAGGTTTTGAGACACACACACTCTCTCAGCATAGAGTGGTTTCTTTTGCCTCCCCCTCCCTCACCCACCAGGACTTTTTCTTCACTATTACCCATGGCGCGATGCATCAAAAAGCCTCATTTTTTTCACGAGCGCATATGATATGAAGCAATGATAAAATGGAACGGAGGGGGCGTTCGGGATGATGGATCGGTTTGCACGAAAACAGTAAGGGGGACAAAGGTGTGAGTGATCTGCCGCCTCTACTCATGGAAGCTCAGGCATATCGGTACAATGGAAAAGGAACAGAGATAGAAACCAACTGATGACTGCCCCTGGTAAAACTAGATTAGCCTAACCGATGTGGCTTCGGATTTCCAGCCTGATCCCATTTCGCGCCGAGCTATGCATACAGCAACAAAGCCTCCTTAGAAGCTGAGTCTTCAGTGTGGTTCTAATCCCTCTTGAGAGGTGTGAATGTCTCCTCTATTCCGTCCTTGGTGATGACCAACATCTGCAAACCATCGCCCACCTCAATATGTCGTTCTGTCGCACTGGTAAATGCATCCTTGACCAATCCTACAACCACATCCTTCGGCAGACTTTCGACCGGTCTTTGCTTCAAGTCAAGTCCTACACCTGACGCCGGTATGTACTGATTCTTGTAGTTGACCTGGTTGTCCAGAAACGGCATGATCAAGCTCGCCGCTGCGCCCGCGGCCCGGCACTGTTCTCGCTCGTAGCTCCCCACAGGATCGTACGAGTATAACGCCCCCTTACCATCCTCGTCCAATCCGCCCAGAATCGCGTGCACGTAGTATGGGAAGAATCTTTTCTGATACAGGATTGTAGAAAGACGTTGCGCGCACGCCTTGACGCTCATGGGTTTGTTGTGTTGGTATTTGTACATCTTGACGATAGCATCGAGGCGTTCTTTCAAGGCATTGCCGTCGGCTGCGAAGCCCACAACCGCCAGTACGATCCGTGATGACTGTTCGTCGGACCCGTCCTCTCCAATGCGGAACAATTTGGGCACGTAGCGAGAGTTGATGTTGTAACCAGAGGTAGACCGCGTGTCGCCGGCGAGGATGGCAAAGTCTGCACCTGTGATGCCTAGTGTGGAGCCACCATTGTCGGTGTATCTATTCCCAGGTCAGTAAGGTTACTGAAGTTCAGAGGACGATGGTGAACGAACGGATAGAAGGCATGTTGTTTGGCTCCTGAGGCCTCTTGTGCTGTTGCGGTGTGGTTTGCAAAGGAATAGCCCGGTTGATCTGAGGGTATGCGCTCTGAGTTCATTAGGGACGCCATGGGTGCGGATAGGTTTTGTATGTTTGAGGGTAGATAGAGTAGAAGAAGAGAGGAAGGGAGATCAAGGTGCTGAATCTTTCATTCATCAATGGCCTTTACGCCCAAATGATTGTCCCGAGTACGCAACTGCTCTCTCCGCCTAGTTGCACCGCCACACCTGTGGCTCGTCACGCCAAGCAGACACGAGCAGCCACATTTGGCGTTGATCTTTGAACAGGATCAGCACTGGGCTTTGAGCTTATCGTCCCATTAACCATTCCCTTGCGTTCAGTCCGTCTAAAGGACGGGAAGAACGTTCAAGAAATGAGTGGACTTGTCAGCTATGAGAGTAGCAGCGATGAAGAAGGGCTGCGCACCCCAGAGGCCGCATCCAGCATATCAACTAAGGGAAAACCAGCTGTGCCAGCCAACTCCGGCATCGAGAACAGTAGCGACAACCAAAGGTTACCAGCGACAGAGACTGGCACCAACACAAGCATCGGCAATGGGCCAATCCTAGGTCCCCTCATGCCGGTTCAAATACACAGCGACGACGATGTTGTCGAGCAACAGAGCTCTACAGAAACGTCACAGCGACACATGTCCGAGCGGGAAACTATACATGTGCTTACACAGGCGACCCATCCCATGACGGCCATTCCACCCTCTCCCCCAGGTTCTCCTGATCCCGCACTGGACGCTAAATTGAAGCGGTTTGTGGAGCTTAAAGCTAAAGGAGTTCATTTCAACGAAGACCTCGCGAAGAAGTCTACCTTTCGCAATCCTGCGTTGTTAGCTACTATGATGGCTCGGGCAGGAGTGGACGGCGACGACCAATACAGAACTACTCTACCACAGGAAGTCTGGGATCCGTTGGGGTTTCCTCCGTCGGGCTACAAGGAGGAATTGCATCGAAATCAGCAAACCCTACGGGAGCAAGACTCAAACCTCAAGAAAACCCTGTCAGCTACTGGAAAAAGAACCATCGAGTTCACCTCAGGCAAAATATCTGGAACTTCCAGCAGGGAATCGACGCCAGGAACGGCTACCAAACGAAAACGGCCTGGATGACATGTTTCCCGATTTCGCATCTTTGAGAAATGCTACCAGGGCTGACCAGAGCGGGATCGACTTTGCAAGGATACCGAGAAGCGAGTTGCCCTCAATGCAACCCTCCTAAAGGCATCCCTCATCACTGCAGGCATAAAATGCTGGTGTGTGCGGAGCATTTGTCAAGCCAAAGGATCTTTCCCAACAGGTGTGGTCATGAGCCCTGTGCCTCGAGGTTGTAGAAGAGGGACAAAGGGCCAATAGACGTCAGTCTGATATCATATCTCGAGGCTGTGCATGTGCCCAACCCGGAAGGAAGGTCAGCAAGAGTAGAGAGTTCCCTCAAGAATACGGGAAACGCCCACTACAGACCGCTCAGTGGTGATCAAAGGATCTGGTCGGTGTGAAAGGGTGTTGGTGATGCATATCCAACCCTGAAAAGGCGGACATGATTGGACTGATGCTAAGCCTAGGGCAGGCCAATCATACGAATGGACTAGGTGTGCTCGGGTTCCTGCAGCTGAAACGATCCGAGCGTCGGCTCGAGGTGGGAGGTTGACTCTGGCGGTGTCTGGAGAGAGAAAAGATGTCCCCTTTCCCACCCCTATGCGAAAGCTCACCCCCCTCTTCTTTGCAATACGAGTATTGAAGCAGGGGAAAGGACGAGGAATTTCTCGATGGCTTTGTGCCTTTGCCAGGGGGGCCGGTAACCTTCGCTTCGCTTCTCGGATTTTCAGGGTCCAGAATCTAATCGGCGCCGGGAGAATGACCAACAAGGAGCTCCAGATACTTGAGGATACGAGAGGGGTGCAGCGTTGGACCGTTAATTTAGAGGTACGGAGTAGTTCTGTCAAAGAGGAGGGTCGCGTCGGTTACATCTCTGTAAAGCTTGGTCAGAGGTTTGGTCTCCAAAAAGCGGGCCAGGCACGTTTGTTTCAAGCGTTTCCCGCGAGTGTTTTAAAACCAATTTGCGCAGATTTCTGTCGTTGCAAAATGCTCAGGTACGAGTCCTTTGCACGGAGGTATTGAAAAGTTGATTGGCGCACGGGCGTCAAAGAGAAGGACGATAGACAAACGGATGGAGGTCAGCCGGCTCAGCGTTCCTGCTGGAGAGATTCCTCTATCTCTGACCTGACGGAGATGTTCATTAGGCGAAGGTGGAGAGAGGTACAATCTTTTGGTGCATGATTGCGTCTTTGGTAGTGGCTTTGGCGCTGGTTTGGGCTTGTCGTGCTGCCAAACAAATGGGAACCCGTGGGAACGGGGGGCAGGTGACAGCCAGTGGCATCGCAGAGGGAAGATTGGCAGGCAAATGTTCCATTTTCCAACTTCTCTCCACCTCCACGTCTTGTTCTTCGTATTGTCCAACACTCGTCCACGTTGGCCTCTGACGGCCAATCGCCTGACATCTGGGTGTGCCCTCGGCGCTTACGGCCACCACCTGAAGCTTGCCCTCCGCTGCAATTGTCACTCGTTCTTTTGTGAGGACGCACGAGCAAATCGACACCGACTTCGACACTGTCTCCATTAGGCTCTTCTGCGCCCTCCGAGCCTCTAGGAACTTTGTCAACTCGTCCTTGCGCCGCTTCGCACAGCTGGCCTGTCAGCGGTCTCCAAGTGTTTCCCCCTGTTACTATTGCCAGTAATGGCCCAAAGTCTAAGAAACAACCCCCCCATTCCCTATGCAGCCTGATCGAGTTGCCTGAAATGTCCCAGTCGACCGCCGACACACTCCCCCCTCAGTCCCCCCAGAATCGTTTGGCTCAAACAACAGCTGCTGTTTCAACCTCCTCGCTGGCCACACCTCATTCGTACGTTCTAGCCTCCCGCAAACCACAGAGTTCCGCCGTGCTACAGGGTAGTTTAATCCCCCGAGACTACTTGAGCTCGTTATCCAGCTCGAAGCCGACGCCAGCACAGCAGAGTAAGATCGAGGACGACGACGACGACGACTTGTATGGGAAGGCGCCTACACCTCATGATTTTGGAAAGAGACTCGTTAAACACACACCGGAGGGTGAGGCTGCCCTGACACGGGAGAAGAGCAACGACAGCACTGCGCCGTTTAACGAGCAGGAGTCAAGCGTATCATCTGGTTCTCAGGGCCAAAAGGACCAAGGGGTTACAGCTCTCTCTGAATCCCCAAAGTCGTACGCTTCTTCCTCGACCAGTGTGCACCCACCAAATAACATGCCGCGGACATCCTCCATCGACTCTGCCATATCTAATATCTCCAACCCTTCGCACGCCCAAAGACATCCTGGGGACGTCAAGGAACCCACAAGAGATGAAGTGCACAATCTCATTGCCACGGCTGGGTCTGCGGAGAATCTAATCCAACACCTCCTCAAGGATAAAAGTCACGCTGCGGCTCAAAATGCCCAACTGTGGAAACTCGTTGACAAGCAGAGGGCACTCTTGTTGGGTCTGAACAAAGACCTCGAGCGGTTGACGAAAGAGAGGGACAGATACAGGAAGAAAATCAAGGAACTGCAGCCTCAGCCCTCTGCGTCGCAGGCGGACCGTCTCCGGCATGAAGAAGGAAACTCGCCTCAGTCCGAGGGGGAAATATCGATCGTCCCCAAGGATTCTGGACAGGGAACAAGCTTTAGGGCAGAAGGGCACACTCTGAGCAATAGCGTTGGCACTATCCAGATGCAGAGCTCACCCATCGATGCTGCCATGATGCCATCACCCCTTCACCTACAGCAGCAGGGACCAAAAATGCAGAGCTTGGCCACTCAGCTGGCACAACCCTCGTTTGCGCTCACCGAGGCAACTCCGCTCGCAGAGAAGCCAGCGAAATCTTTCCAGGCATCCAGGAAAGCACCGCCCAAACCGCTTGACCTGCGCCCAGCAAAAGAGGACTTGCAAGCTCACCAAGTCATAGTCCCGAACGAGGCGATTGTCAGTGGGGACGAAGACGAGGAAGAGCGGGAACATGTCCAGAGAGGGCGAAGGAAAACTCGTGAGGAAGATGACCGAGACCGCGAACTTCTTGCCCTGAAAGAGCAGGAAGCGAGAAGTCGGTCTAAAAAGGAGAAAAAGGCAAAGCCTGAAGGAGAACAAACCACTGCCCCGGATCAGATGCCTCATCCAGCGGCTGTCGCTGAAGTTAGCCAACCCTTACCTTTGAGACAAGATCACCTTTCCCCTGCCTCGATCACGTCAGGCTCAACAGGATCTTCTGCTCAACTATCGCTACCTTTACGAAGTCCCGGTCTTCCAATGAGCCCTCGTCCTATGATGGGATCTGTGCTTCCCATGTCGCCACGTGCTCCTGGAGGTAACTTTCCACTTTCACCTCGCGCGCCAAAGATGCCTTTACCTATGCCAACGACACCTGGTCAACAAGCACCTAACCCCCAGATGTTGGCACAAGCACAAGCGGCTGCTTCTGATTCTCATAAGAAGACAGGTCCTTCGTCCCTGTCGAAGATGAACACTACCGCTGGTGCTGAGTTGGATCGAGGTCAGATCCATGAGTCTCCCCTGAGTCCGGGTGACGTGCCGGTAGTGAGTCGTGGGCTTGTTGATCCGAGTTGGCCTGACCTGCTACTGCCACCAAACGCCTTACCCTCGATCCAAGTGAAAGTCGCTTCTTCTCGATTGCGACCCTCGAGAAACAGCATGCTGGGACTGAGGATGCCAGAGGAAAACGCTGTTTTCAGCCTATCGGTCTTTGAGCGTGCTACATCATCTGAGCTTTGGCGCGTGGAAAAAATTCCCACTTCACTTCCAAATCTAGAACAACAACTGAGATCTCATTGTTCCGATCTACCAAAACTTCCCGACCGAAAACTCTTTTCAGGTCACTCACCCGCTGTTGTTGACTCGAGAAGAAATGCGATTAATGACTACTTTGAAGACTTGCTGGATACCCCTATGGATGAACAGGCAGCTGCGATCGTCTGCCGATTTTTGTCGGCAGATGTCATGGAACGCCAACTCACCAGCATCTCACATGAAAAAGAGGATGCACAAAGCAAGCAGGCACCACAATCGCACTCGGGCATTCCAACCAAATCCGGATACTTGACCAAAAAGGGAAAGAATTTTGGAGGATGGAAGTCCCGATACTTTGTTCTCGACAGTCCAGAGCTGAGATATTTCGAAGCACCTGGTGGTGCACACCTCGGTACAATCAAGTTATTGAACGCCCGCATTGGCCGACAATCACAATCCGAGCCCTCCTCTAATGCAGAGGTGGACTCAGAAAACCAATACCGTCACGCTTTTCTTATCCTCGAACCCAAGCGCAAGGACATGAATAGCCATGTTCGTCATGTGCTTTGCGCCGAAAGCGATGCTGAGCGGGACGAATGGGTGGAGACGTTGTTGCACTACATCGACGAGAGACCCGTGGAGCCAAGACCGCAATATGGGGCGGGCATCCAGTCTTCGCACGCCAAGGAGGTGAAAGGGCCTCAAAGATTGGGCTATGAAGACGCAGAGTCTAAATCAAATGGAAGTCCACACACCCATAGCAACACGCCTTCACCCTCGATCGCGTCTAGCCAAACCCCGGAACTCCTCCAGGAAACTGCGCAAACCTCCAAACCGTACAATATCTCGGGCCCCATGAACGGCGCTGTCATTTCGGATGCTGGAAGCTGGGGCAACAAATCTGCGAGTAACAATAGTGGGAGCAAAGAGCGTGAGCAGAAGAAGCGCAACCTGTTCCATTTCCGGAAGCCGTCATACGAGCAACTAGCCACGGCGCAACCGGCTCATCCCAAGAGGTCGGAGCTCAATGCTCACCGAGGTGGGCACGTTAGACCGGTGTTCGGAATGCAACTCCAGGAGGCAGTAGAGTACTACTCACCGGTGGACGCGGAGGTCTATCTTCCAGCCGTGGTGTATCGCTGCATCGAGTTCCTTCGCACCAAGAATGCTGCCAATGAAGAAGGCCTGTTCAGACTTAGCGGGTCGAACATTGTGATCCGGCTGCTCAAAGATCGGTTCAATACAGAAGGTGATGTTGATCTCCTGGCTGAAGATGAGGACTACGATGTGCACGCTGTAGCCTCGCTGTTCAAAACATATCTACGCGAACTACCGTCGACGATTTTGACCCGCGAATTACATCTTGAATTTCTGAAAGGGCTGGAATTGCCAGAGAAGTCACAAAAGATTGCGACATTCAACGTTCTGGTACATCAACTCCCGAGTGCGAATTTCTCCCTGTTGCGCACGCTTTCACAGTATCTGCTTGAGGTGGTGCAGAATTCGGAACGGAACAAGATGACCATCAAGAATGTTGGAATCGTGTTTTCTCCGACCCTCAACATCCCGGCGCCCTTGTTCGCCTTGTTCCTGACGGATTTTGAGGCGATATTCGACAAACCCACCGACGGGGAGTCTGTTCGGTCGACCGAGATTGAGCGTGGGGAGGGGGCACTTACGCCAGAAGACATCCGATCTCCGCGACGGCAGATGTTCACTGACTTGCCGACGCCCATGTACAATCAAGACAGTTTTGCTCACAATGCCCGAGTTACCCACGCAAGTGCACGAGCTGAGTATCAACTTGATCCCTCGCATGACCTGGGATTTGCACCGATCCAACCATCGTACGAGTCTCGCCAATATGTATCGATTCCACACGAGATGCCGATGAGCGCACCCAGATACCCGCCACCACAGCCTCCCCAGCAATATGGGGGAAGCAGTCAGTACGGAGGCTCAAACAATATGATGGCTCCAGAAAACGCAGCCAGTGCCAGAGCACGACGCCGCGAGAGCTCGATGTTGTTCATGTGAATGACCACGTCTCGTCCTGACGAGTTCAGAGAGACGGAGAGGTGATGCACATCTCTCACACCATTGCTGGATTGTTATTGTTGTCTTTCATTTCCAAATACCCCATTTTGCAGGCGGGTTTATCTTCGTGCGGTTTCCTTTCCTCTCGCAGGAAAATCATTTTGTCCCAGGGCAAGCATCTGAGTGAATCTAGCTGTTTTGTACTATCTCCAAAGAGTGGAAGCGGGGCGGGGACCTTCTTCGCCAGCATGTCAATCACTTAATGAAAGCCTTTTGAGTCCATATGAAATTTTGGGGGCATGAGTGATGGGACGAACGAAAGGATACGAATGTGAAGATTGTTTATTAGATGGTCAAAGATGATAATCAACTTAGCTAGCGAATTTGGACCAGTAGCGGCGGGATTCAGCTCATGAGGTTGAAGGATGAACGGTCAATCGATCAATTGACCTGGTCTACCGATAACTTTGCCTCTGCTTGTGAATCTCGTATCCTGGTAACATTGATCCTTGTCGCCGACGGTCGATCAGCTGAGTGAGCGACGCCGCCGTACCAGGTACAGGCCACGAGTCGTCCTCACGACGGTGACCAAGTAGTCACGCGCCCCATATGATGCTCCTTGCAGGATCTGTCCCTAACAATGATAATCCTGGCCTCATTCAGCATCCTGATGGTGTTTTAGCTCTTCCCCTCGGGCAAGGGCTTAGTCAGTTGAAATTGGTCCGGGGTAACAAAGTCAGCAATCCCGGAGTGCATGTAACTTGTTGAAGCGAACGGCAGCGGAAAAGGAGGCCCTTGAGAGGCGAAGACTCGGATAAGGCACCCGATGCTAAAGATACCAACGTCGGGCCTCACAAAGTTTATCACTTATGTCCTCGTAATTGAATGCTCAACCGCTCAAGACATTGTCGTCTCCGTAGATGCCTAGGTGAGTAGCAGGCTCATTATTACTTCTCAGATGACATGGCTCTCCCTGTCATCCGTAACTGAACACACATCCTCTATTTGACACGTCACCAACGTTGGGAGGACAGGATTCCCAATCAATTGAACGACCCAACCCCCTTGCACATCTGATTCCCCTGAAAATCAACAGGCTCCGTCAGCCTCACCAGCCTTATGCATTAAGGCCTGACCCCTTTAGGACTCCGTTGCAACCTCCGATTGGCCGAGCTGGAGGTCTGAAGGTTAGACTCCATCGCGCGGCCGGAGCTAGTCCAAATATAGTACTTTGTGGATGCCGGGGTCCGTTGCCCGCAGCTGCCACAGACAAGACAGACCAGTCAGCCGCGTGCTGTGGTGCCTCGTTCGTTTCGCTACAACAAGCCTCCAGCAAAGCCATTAGCCAAGTCACCCTCCCGTTGTCCAACTAAACAGCTTGTCTTTGTCGCTCTGACTCTTGGTCGTCTGGACAAGCAACCCCCCCTCCCTTAAATTATCTTTTTTCTGTCTCCTGCTTCGTAGCCTGAGCTTGAGTCCGCCGTCGAATGACGCGCTTCCTTTTCCGCCACTCTTACGTCCTAAAAACTCGTGGCCGAGTGGTTGTGGGAGCTGAAGATCACGATCCGGTCTCTTAGCTCCAGGGTATGAGTCAAGAGGGGAGAAATCAAGCCCATTGAACAGTCTGTCCGACTCATTGAGCCGCTGTGCAAGGGATTTGAGACTTGACAAACCCTACCGAGTGCTCGTAGACTCTCAACGGGTAGATCTGCGTTGTTGGAGGATCCAATTCGCGCGCTCCCTCTCTCACTCTCTCACTCTCTCTCGGCCTTTTTTTGAACACAATGGCCCAATAATACCTGTTGAAGAAAGTGCCCAAAACAAGAACCGGGTTTAGTTTGATCATCCTTGGTGCATGGGGTGCGGGTTAGGAGACTAGCAACCGCTGGCTCCGCCTGTTGTAAGCGAATCTACTGGTAGCCTTGCCCAGGGGCCGCTCTGTTATACTTCGATTGCATGTTCACGTCACGCTACGGAAGTATCGAGCAACAAGGGAAAGCCAATGGCTATGGGATTGACACTCATTACTGAAAGCAGTAGTCAAGCCCCTCACCTTTTTGGCCTGGCCCGGATCCTGGTCGTTGTCTGCTCGACTGCAGTGACAAAGTGACACGAGCAACGAAAATATTTCAAGACACCCGCGCCCCTGCCTTCCTCTCCCTTCACTCTGGTCTGTGTCCTTCCATCTTCACTTGCGCCTTCCTCTTCACCACCTCCTTCCAACAGTTTTTTCGTGGGTCGCGTTCTGTTGTTCCTTTTTCCCTTCGACTCTGTCCTTCTCTCCGCACCGCGCTCCCAGACATGGCAGACGAGCCAAGTTCACCCAAGGACGTTCCCCAGGTCATGGCCACCGAAGCTCCCAAGGCCGAGACTTCAGCACCACCTTCCGTCTCTAGTGGGGAGAACAACAATGAGAAGGCCGCAGCTCACACGGCCACCACGGTCGACCTCGACCGTGTTGGTGAGACGGATGGCTACGTGCTCGATGAAGCTCGCATTCGCGAAAAGCTGGGACTTGCGCCCGATGTTCCCCTCAAGAAATCGAGCGACGGCAAGGTCTTGATTCCCCAGCCCACCGCGGACCCTGAAGACCCGTTAAATTGGTCGAGCTGGAAAAAAGCAGCCATCTTGGTGGTGATTGCGGTCAACGCTGCAACTTCGGATTACTCTGCCGCCACCGGCGCAAGTGCTCTCATTCCCCAGGCGACGCAATGGCGCATAGATCCCAATGAAGTCAACCATGCCACAGCTGGGTATGTCGCGATGGCGCTAGTCAATACCTGGTTTGAGCTAACATGTCACAAGTAACACATTCATGCTGGGCGTCGGCGGTATTCTGACTGTCTGGCTGTCTGCCTGGATTGGTCGCCTTCCCGTCCTCTTCTGGTTTGGATGTCTGTCTGCCGGTACCGCTGCCTGGTCTGCCGCTGCCAAGTCCTTCGAATCATACATGGCGTCCCGTATCTTGAACGGCATGTTTGCTGTTGCAGGCGCAGGTGGTGGTCTGATGTGGATCAAGGACGTCTGGTTCTTCCACGAGCATGCCAGAAAGATCAATATCTGGAGTACTGCCATTATCTTGTCCCCCTTCCTAGGTCCGCAGTTCATGGCCGCCATCCTCAGTGTGAGCACATGGAGGACAGGAATGTGGTTAAACTTCGGCATCATCACATTGGGATTGGCTTTGACGGTTATTCTTGGGGACGAGACATTCTACCCAAGACATCTGATGCCAGATCGAGTCCCCAAGCGCAAGAATCGTCTTCTCCGAGTCGTCGGTGTTGAACAGTACAAGACCAAGTACACCACCAACACTTTCCTGGAAGCTGGAAGCCGATTAGGATACACAGTGCTCAAGCTGCCGGTGTTCCTGACTTGCCTCTTCTACTTCTTTGACTGTAAGTGGGCTTACCTCGAGTGCTGCAAGGCCAAGCTGACCTCTTCCAGTCCCATGGACGATTGGAAACAATACCACCATCTCCGTCTTCATCATTCCTGCGTATAACTTTGACTTCCGTAACCTCGCGGCCGTCTACACGGCTCCCGTCGTCGGCGCGATCCTGGGACTTGTCATTGGTCACTTCATGTTCGATTTCATTGCCAAACTGTGGGCGAAGCGCCACAACGGAATCATCGCACCCGAAAACAGACTGGTCATCTTGTGGCTCGTGCTGCCGTTCAAGCTCATCGGCTACAACCTGATCGGCACGACCTTGCATCATGCTCCCGCCTGGTCTTACTGGGTTCTGGTGGTGGGGTGGGGAATGCACAACTTCGCCACAATTGTCACCACCTCGGCGGTGGGCGCGTACTTGCTGGACGCGTACCCGGAGGCAGCTGGTGAATGTGCGGCCTTGCTCAACTTTGCTCGAACACTGGGTGGATTCATCATCGGGTACGTGACAATACCTGCCTTGTCTTGTTCTTCTTCCACGAGCTAACATTCCTTGTCCATCCAGATATATCCAGATCAACTGGGCCACCAAAGCTGGTACACAGACAGAATATGGCATCCAAAGTGGTATCATGGGCGCCGCATTCTTCGTGGTCGTGTTCCTGCAATTCTTCGGAGCCAAATTGAGGCACGCACAAGGACCGTTGAACTTCAAGACTTACTAGGTCCGGGAGACGCGGAACTAGTCAGGAGTTGGTCGTGGGGATTCCGAATGGATAGTCTTGCGACCAGGACGTTGGAAAAGACGGAAGGATAGCAGAGACGATACATTTTAGCTTTGCAGTAGTGTTTAGATGGGATTAGCGACAGATTTACTGAATGCATTCCAACCTCTGCTGGCATCTTTGTGAGGCATTGAAACAGGTGAATGAAGGGGCACAAAAGGGGAATAAATGCCTCGCAGCCATGCAGCCTCGCTTAATCAGCCGGCGATGCCGGATTGGCCCGTCGACGTCATCCTGATTTGCTGCCCGCGGCGTCGATTGTGATTGGCCAGGATGGAGCTTCGTGCTGCTCTTTGCATCAGAAGCAAAACCAAAAGCTCCTCCACCTGTTTGATAAGTTTTCTCTGCCTTTACAACTCTGCGCACCACGATAAGGATCACCCCCGAACCCAAAACTCGATTGATGCTCCTCCGAAATGTCGCTGGCCAGGTCGTCTCGTAGCGCTCAGGTAAGAAAAGCTCAACCCTCCCCCAAAATTGCGTCGAGTACTGGAGATCTAATCGCACATGTTTTTCATTGCTCTTCCGCAGGCGCTGCTCCGTGCTGCCCAGCGGGCAACCAGGCCACACGCAACTTCGCCCTTTCTCGCAAGATGTGAGCAGCTTCTCCTACGCGTGCCGCACCTCAGGTCGAAACTAATATACTCGTCTCGCTCCCTCTAGCCTACGCAACGGTCGAATCGGACATCTTCAAGCCTACAAAATATGGTGGAAAATACACGGTGACATTGATTCCTGGTACGATATGGCCCTCGAGCCCTACAGCGTGAGTTGTGCTCACTCGTGGAACCCGGCAACAGGTGACGGTATCGGTGCCGAAGTCGCCGAAGCAGTCAAGACGATCTTCAAGGCCGACAATGTCCCCATTGAGTGGGAGCAAGTCGACGTGTCGGGCGTCGACTCCGGAGACAAACACTCGGAGGATCTGTTCAAGGAGTCGATAGCGTCATTGAGGCGGAACAAGCTCGGGTTGAAAGGTATCCTGCACACGCCCATCGAGCGGTCGGGCCACCAGTCGTTCAACGTGGCGCTGCGGCAAGAACTCGACATCTACGCCTCGGTGGTTTTGGTCAAGAACATTCCTGGCTTGGAGACTCGGCACAAGAACGTCGATCTGTGCATCGTGCGTGAGAACACCGAGGGCGAGTACTCGGGGCTGGAGCACCAGTCGGTGCAAGGCGTGGTCGAGTCGTTGAAGATCATCACGCGGGCCAAGTCGGAGCGAATCGCCAAATTTGCCTTTTCGTTTGCCCTGGCCAACAACCGCAAGAAGGTGACGTGCATCCACAAGGCCAACATTATGAAACTGGCGGACGGTCTGTTCCGCAACACGGTCAAGAAGGTTGGGGAGGACTACCCCAGCCTGGAGGTGAATGACATGATTGTCGACAATGCGTCGATGCAGGCCGTGTCGCGCCCTCAACAGTTTGATGTTATGGTCATGCCCAATCTGTACGGGGGTATTCTCACAAACATTGCTGCGGCGCTTGTCGGAGGACCTGGAGTGGTTCCGGGTTGCAACATGGGTCGGGAAGTGGCTGTATTCGAGCCAGGGTGCCGACACGTTGGTCTCGACATTCAGGGCAAGGACCAAGCCAACCCCACTGCCCTTCTTCTTTCGGGCACCATGCTCCTCAGACACCTGGGTCTTGACGACCACGCTAACCGCATCTCACGAGCGGTGTATGATGTGATTGCGGATGGGTAAGTTTGTTTTTGCCATATGAGTAAGAAGTCGGGCTAACTGGTTTCCAGCAAGGTACGAACTCGAGACATGGGCGGCTCGGCTACGACGCATGAATTTGTCAGGACGATTCTGGACAAGATGGAGGCCGAGCTGTAAGAACTGCAAGTCTGAGAGATGGTTCAAGCATGAAGCGTGAGACGCAGATGTCAATGCAGAGAGTGTTTGTTTGGATGGTGACAGAAGCAATGCGACGTTGACTGGTTTTTTCTTGACATTGATAGCCCAGCATTGATGTTTAGACATGGATTCCTGATTTTGATCTTGATTTCGGGAGTCTGCAATGTGCAATATGTTATGTGCAATGTGCGATATGCAGGATGCAATTCCTCAATGTGCGAATATACCGAGTATTCTCTTCGCACAATATACACAACGAGTACATGTGACAAACGACACAATCGGATATCATTACCGACCGGACCGAGCAGTATACAAGTCCAACGCGCACCATACGACATGCCCATACCATACCATACCATGCCCTGCCCCATGGAGCCTGTCTTGCCTGTAGATTGGATTCTGCGAGGTACATGTAAAGTTAAGCTCGGTAAAGCCAAAAAAACCCTTCCCAAAAGGCCATCCACTGATACAACACATACTGCTTAAGCCTCGGCTCAGCGATTCAACAAATCCTGGTGGCTTGAAACCCCACTCTCTCTCACACTCTTTGAGGGGAGAAGCGATGTCAGAAGGTCCCAGTCAACACTTTCACTTGATACCTGGTCTGGCACTGGTACTGGCAACTGGAAACGGGCAACTCGCAAGACCGATTCAGATTGGTTCGATCATACCAGGGAATGAAGGTGGGTGTGTCAGTTCTGAGTTTTTGGTATATATATAAGAACCTAAGAACCCTGGGGTATTCACGGCCGAGGTCATTGATCATCAATCACTAGTACTACTACAAAAAGGTAACGAGGGACTACTTGCATACATACATACGTACATATCATTATTCTCGATTCCATCTCACTCACTCACTCACTCACTTCAGCTCCTTCTCTAGTATTCGACAATTCACCACTTGCACCGGATCATATCCTAGGGAGTGTACCTAGGTAGTGGAATCTACCTCACCTCCTCACCTCTCTACTTCACCCATTCCACCCATTCCTTCCACCCACCTACCTACCTATCTACCACCAAAACACCTCCCCAAAAGTCCAATTTCAACCATGTCGTCGTCGTCGTCGTCCGTCCCCTCCCTCTCCACCCCACTCACCAAACTCCTGGGCATCAAGTACCCGATCATGCTGGCCGGCATGGCGCGCACTTCGGGCGGTCCGCTCGCCGCGGCCGTGTCCAACGCCGGCGGCATCGGGACGATCGGCGGGTTGGGGTACACGCCGAAGCAGTTGCAGGAGGTATGTCTCTCCCTCTCTTTCTCTTGTCTTTACCTCTGTCGAGTGGTTTTTATTTTTCCTATGGGACGTGGGTTTTTTGGGGGGGAAGGGAGGTGAGTGGATCGGGTTGGGTTGGGTTGGGTTGGGTTTATTGTCATGCTTTGCATTTCATAATGCTTTGATATGCTATGGTATTCCATACTATTGCTGTTCCATGCCATGTCGTGTGGAACACGGGTCAGGGGTATCAAGAATGAAAACCGAGTGTGTATAAAGGAAGGACGGAGTCTGGGTGGAGGAGGAAGAGAGCATGGAGGTTCGAGTACAGGGGGGTTCACCCAGACCCAAGACCCAAGAACACCCATCCATCCCTCGTTCCTCATTTCCCCCCTTATCATTTGTGCTTCAAATCCCCCATCCCCCGACGTCTCCCCAAAACCTCTGATAACGGGCGTTCCAGATCATCGACGAACTCAAAGCCAACCTGACGGACCCATCGCTCCCGTTCGGCGTGGATCTGGCCCTCCCACAAGTCGGGGGCTCCGCGCGCAAGACCAACCACGACTACACGCACGGACAGCTGGACGAGCTGATCGAGGTGACGATCCGGAACGGGGCCAAGATCTTCGTGAGCGCCGTCGGGGTGCCGCCCGAGCGGACCATCAAGCGGCTCCACGAGGCGGGCGTGCTGGTCATGAACATGGTCGGGGCGCCCAAGCACGCCGAGAAGGCGCTGCGGGCGGGCGTCGACATCGTCTGCGCCCAGGGCACCGAGGGCGGTGGACACACGGGCGACATCGCAAACAGCATCCTCATCCCCGCCGTGTGCGACGTCGCGCGCAAGTACCGCTCGCCGCTGACGGGGGAGCCCGCGCTCGTCGTCGCCGCGGGGGGCATCTACGACGGCCGCAGCCTGGCGTCGTCGCTGATGCAGGGCGCCGTGGGCGTCTGGGTCGGGACCCGCTTCGTCGCCGCGGAAGAGAGCGGCGCCAGTCGTCTGCACAAGGAGGCCGTCGTCAGCGCGGGCTTCACCGACACGCTGCGCACGCTGGTCGTGTCGGGCCGGCCCCTCCGCGTCCGCCTCAACGACTACGTCGCCAAGTGGGAGGCCCAGCCCGAGCGCATCAAGGAACTCACCGACAAGGGCATCGTGCCCCTCGCCTACGACATGGAGCACGACAACGACGTCGACACCCCCTTCCTCATGGGCCAGGTCAGCGGCATCATCTCCGACATCAAGCCCGCCCGCCAGATCGTCGAGGACATGGTCTCCCAGGCCGTCGACATGCTCAAACTGGGCAGCACCTACATCGAAGCTGGCGGTCCAAGAAGTCGATTGTGATTGCCTGGTCACTTGTGACCACGAACGAGAGGGAGAGAGATAGGGAGAAACAGAAAAAAGAGTGTGTGCGAGCGTGGTCACTATTTTGGGGAGTGGGTGGGTTATCTTGCCGCGATCTAGGTTGATGTACTCGTAGCGACAAAGAATCATTGTGAAGAAGCATTCTCGTGTCCATCTGCCGAACGAATCACACACCAACTTCTCCCTCGGTAGGGCAATGGTCTGGATGGCAGAGATTGATGGAGGACTCTCACAAAAGCGTCACCAATCACTAACAGAGGTCAATCGTTCGTGCAAAGGGAAAACCGCTTCATGGGTATTAGCTACCAATCAGTACTGGTACACTCGCCGAATCCTTTACAATCCCTATGTACGCCGTCATGGTCACCTGTAATGCTGTCGAAATAACACCTTGCCGGGATCTTGTCGGTCTCCGACGCGCCTTTTGTAGTCCCATGCCCCCGTAAACTATGCTTTGGATACTGTATACAATTTGAACACAGCGATTGACTGTTCCTGGTAAAGATGGATCGTTTTCGTCGCTTTTCGTCTGGACATGTCGCCGTGGTGTTACAAAATATCTGGGTCTGGCCCAAGATAATCAACCAATCTCCGAAGTCGTGTTGTTGCCCTTGTACACGGTGCCATGGACCCTGACACTGATTCCAACAGCAATTCCCACCGCGGCTCCAATGATTAGGAACCCGATGAGGATCTTGAACAGCAGGCGTTGCCGTGCAGACAACTGACTAAACCACACGCACCCACTCTGCTTTGGCTTTGTCATGCACTGCTTCTCTCTCTTCCAGAACTTGAACCCAACTTTGCCCGCCGAGTTCTGAGCGTCCTTTTTCTCTTGAGTGATTGACGGCGAGAGATTGAATGTGCCAGACTCGAGATCTTGAACAGCCACTTCCACGGGACTGCCCAGCTTTTTCAAGTCCACCGACGTTCGGGGGGAATCATGGTTGTAGAGGTAGAAGGGGGAGGTGATTTTGGCATTGCAGCAGGGGTCGAACTCTGATTTGGATCGATGGATTGAGGTCGGTGGTGGTTGTTCAGTAAGTTCAGTAGCTTCAACGGCGACGGCCATGGCTGGGGTGTGCTGCCAATACAAGCCTGAAGAGGTGCAGGCGAGGTAGAGATATGGCCTTTGAAGCCAATGCTTCCGAAAGGAAAATATCTGTAATGGTGCTTAAGAGCGGTGGAGGGATTTCAAAAGCCCATTTTGACCCGAAAGTTGTCAAGTCGGTGAGGATGGATCTCGGGTAACGAGGGCGAATATTGCTGTGTGCGAGTTGTGTGCGTGGACAAAAGGATGTTGACGGGGAGGGAATCTAGTTTTGGTCGTTTCGTGATTGAGGCAGGTTCAGGTGGCGGGCAGGTTGACGGTTGGCACCTGCAGCTCCTGTCAACTGTTAAAGTGGCTGCTCGAGCCAAGGCAGGAGCGTTGGCTGGTGATGTCAAGATTGCACCGTTCAAGGAGGCGGATGGAGTACAAGAAACCAAGGCGATGTCCAGCAGAGACTCCCTTTTCAGCTGAGTTTCACTTTCACTTTCCACTGTCCGCCATGGCCGCAGGGGGGAACCTACGGGTCAATATATTGGATTGGGAATGCCATGACCCATGACTCTCGTCGTCAGATGAGATGTGTTTGCTTCGTCAGCCACCGATTGGAGCTGAATCCGAAGTGCAATCAAAAGTGACCAGGTCCTGTGTGCAGCTTTGACTGGCACAGATTGGCGTGACTGGACGCGACAAGGCGACAAAGGGGAAAAGATGGGGAAAAGCTCGTGCTGGAGATCAACAAACGAACGCCACCAGTTATTCCCCGTTGACGCTAGAGGCGCCTCTAATTTGCTAGTGCGCACTATCATGTCTCACACTAACCATATCAAGGAATCCACTGGGCTGAGATGACATGTTTTTGACCCAAATTTGCACCTTTTAGTGGAGTCTATTTTGGCCTGCTTCGTGTTCCTAATTACCCGAAGCCTCGTACAGTAAAGGATGAAACAGATTTGCTGGAGGATGGAACCACAGAAACTTGGATTTGTGAGACTTGCATACGACTACCGAGTTATCGCACAGAGTTGACCAACGAGTTTTCTTTCTATGTCGACAGAACTATTCTCAAATGACCGCGTTCCTCGCAGAGCTGGGCGATGGCATCAGCGAGGCTGTTATTTGGCGGCATCTGCCAAGGTTGATAACGGGAACCTCCACCAAGAAACCTCGATTCTTTCTCCAATAAACCATCCTTCCTTGTTTTTTCTCTCCTCAATTTGGACTCCAACACAGTCGCCAGTGAGCAAGTCTGTAGACGACACGATTGTAAAACATACTCGGCGTCACGGGCAGTGCGCAACGCGCAAGGTCCTTGACATTAGCTGTTTTGAGGATGGTATTAGAAGAACATGAATATGTCGCTATTAGGTACGAGACTGACTGAATCGTGGTGGGTAGGTAGGCTATTAGGTGCCGTGGTCTAGGTACTCGGTACCGAGTACTGGTAGGCGACAATCGCCAAAGCTAGCTTTGTGAGCGGCACATTCCGCAAAGGCCTCTCTTGGAGGATGCTCTTTTGCGAGAAAAGAGCGCCTTGCTTGTACCGAGTAGATGGGGTCGGATGCGTTTGATCAAGCCAGAGGCGACTCGCGGTACTATTGGTGATCAGCGTTTTCTTCTGGTGCTTAAGTGGTGCCACTGTTGCTGCAGCCTGTTGTCCGTACGGACAACGGAGTACTGTAGGATGGTGGGACCATCCACTATTCCCCCCCTCCATTCCCCAGCCTCAGCCTTGTCTGTGACTCATTCATCATGTACGAGGTACATACTTGTATCTTCAAAGTAAAGAAGAGATGTAACCCTTCGCCGCCGTATGCCAGAGGTGAAAGATAACTCTCGTAGCAAAAGCAAATATGTGAGATCCACTCCACTCCTATTCTAAATATCTAGAACAATCACCTTTCGAGGCCAACGTGCTTCCTTGAGGAGGGACTGTCTCCATTTTTTGAGAGGTGGGAAAGCATGAAAGGGACCTAAAGTTTGAGCGAGCAGGCAGGCAACAGCGCCTTAAAACCCCGGTTTGTCTCTTCTTCCTGCCGGATGGGACCCGTCCGCCTGGGACAGCACAGCACACAGACGCCTAGCGGAAAGAGTTTAAATCCGCAGCGGGAATTCCCATGACAGGGTTGGATCGTAGTAACGAAGTATGTGCATGGCTGGACATGGTAAAGGCGAGGCAAGGATGCAAGTACCTCCTCCGTAGTCGTAGTACCGAATACGAGGTTCTGCGGGGCAAGTCATTGGGTGGATAATAATGGTATGGGCGGTTTTGAGGTTGTCAAGGAGGTTGAGCCAGCACTCTCGACGAATAACAAACAGCTGCTCAACAAGTATAGGTAGGTCTGGAGAGGCCTGCTGTCTGGCTTGCTTCGTGATGGTACATGTACCTATGCATCCTTCCTCTCTGGGCGCGGCTAGCGGGCCGCGGATTGAGATCCGGCCCTCGCCTCATTGCGGTGAACGGATTGCTGCAGGGTTTATGTGGCATGGCTGGCCGCCACGGCGTCGCCAATGTGATCTGGTTCGTAGCGCGTAACTGGTTGTCCCGTTGGCATGCCATGGCTAGCATGCACTCATTCCCAGGGTTATCACCTTGTCACTGCACTTGCAGGGTTTCTTGTCTGGTGGCTAGTAGTCCTTTGTTCCTCCGTGGAGGAGGGGGAGAGGGAAAACAAAGAGAGAAGCCCATTAGCGGTTCCTTTTTCTTCGGGCTCTCCTTTTCCCCAAGCAAGAGGGAATCTGTGGTGTAGACTTGAGGCTAGCTGGCTGGCTGCTGGCTGGCCTGGATGCTATATGGCTGGTGATTCTGGCACCTTTCTTTCCACCCGCCTGATTTTACCCAGAATTGATCACTCTTCTGGCCTTTGACCTGGTATCGATGCTTCTTTCCCCTCAGCTCACATGTCGACTGAAATCTTATATCACTTACACATCGTACACAATTCGCCATCTCGTGACGTGAGAAACTCGCGCCCCCTTCCTCGGAGTTCCTCGCATGTCCTACGCATGTGTGTATTGGGGCTGAAGTGGTGTAGCAGATTTCCTCCAAGGGTACACATTTGAGGCCGTTTCCGTATCAGAATGAATAGCCATCCGTGTCCCATTTCCCTGCTTCAACATGGGAGGGACGACCCCGTGTTTGATGTGCTTACCCTCAGCGACGACAGTTCAGACGATGAACCGCCCGACCTCGACCAGAACTTTTACAATGACGACGAAGAGCATCTGAGTAAGGGCGATGTGGCTACGGGACTGACCACGTGGTATGTCCAGTCATGGGAAGGCCGGGAGGCGTTCCGAGAACTCTATCAGAACTGGTAACTGCTCCATAATACTTCCGGTCCTGTTTGGCGCCTATGTTAATGTCACACCCAGGAAGGACGCCATAATATCATCGTTCCATCTTGACCCAAGAGCCTTTCGACCAGTCTTCAAAGAAACGCGTGCGCAGATCCAAATCACGGTCCACAGCAGCGTGACCCAAGCAAATCGACCAACCGGCGAACTTCTGGGATACATTCGCTTCATCCGCAGGGCTGGGACGGTGGAATTGGCCAACTTTCAGGCAGAGCTTCGACGCAGCAATCTAGGGCTGGGCAACTCGACCAAAGTCGGCAATGATGAGCTTGCAGGGTGTCACGGCGAGGGCTTCAAGTTGGCCGCCCTGGTTCTGCGCCGCCTGGGCCACTCGGTCAAATTTGCAGCCAGCGAGTTCTATTGGAACTTTGGACTGCGCGGACTGTACCGTACAAATCTCTATTGCCACTTGTCGCCAGCCAAACCGGAAAAGGTTGAGAAAATGAAGGCAAAGTATGCACTTGACCGTACCAAACCGAAATTCAAGAGGACCCTCAAATCACATATCTGGGAAGACGTGTCGGTCAAAATCGGCAAGGCCAAGGGGGATTATGGGCTCGAGGTCTCTGAAGACGAGTTTCGTTCGTGGCTGACGGTTTCGGTCGATCTCGATTCGCCCTCCTCCGACAATGTCGTCCAAACCCTCTCAGGCGATCTGATCCTCGACACCAAATTCGCAGGGAGGATCTATCTCAAGGGGTTGCGGATTGAAGGACATAGCACTGGTTATATGTTCGGGTACAACTTTGCCTGTGGCTCTATTGGCCGCGATCGAACTCACCTGCGACACCAGTTGGAAGAGACGGAAATCCTCGCCAATATTTGGGACCAAGCCATTCAAACTCAGAGGCCTGATTTGATCGACGCCTACATCAAACTGCTGCGTGATAAGGAAGATTGCCCCGACGTTGCTGTGACCAGTGACAAGTTATCACAGGAATCCGTGCACTTGATTTGGGAGCGGCTGAAAACCAATGATCCTGACGCCTTCTTTTACTGCGAACGTGACCCTTCTCAACCCGTCGCCGTTGATCAGGTTGATTTGATCCCAGCCGAGCTTCACAGAAGACCTGTTGCAGTCTCGCGTGCGCTGTGGCGCCTATTGAGCAAGTTCTCGCTTGTTCGAACTCCTCAGGAAGAACGCACCCGGTTATTCATGCACTCTGAACCAATAGACGCCGACAGGACACCTTTCAGTACCAATGTCCTCCGTGCTCTCCTAGCTTCGTTAGCTTTGCATCCAAAACTGCGCGACTTGCGCTTTAAGTTCGTGCAAGGCGGAGGCACGGATCTCGACCTGGCCTACAGCAAGGATGTTAAACGAATTCAAATCCACGGCAAGTGGTTAAGTTTCCAGAAGGTCCACGAACATGGCCTGTGTGAGGTTTTGCGGTTGACAGCGCCTGGGTACATTCGCGGAGAGGCGTTTTTCTGTGACCATGTGGTGGAAGACTTGTTTGATGCCCTCCTCTCCAAGTCGGGGAGCGATCTAGGTATTTCGAGCCCGAGCTTGCGTCGTCGATTGCGACGCAGGATGCGTGATCAGCTCGCGCTCATGCCTCGACTGGTCCGTGTTGCACGTACCGACGCGATCAGAGAACTCGAGGTTCGCTGGATTGGCAACGAAAGCGGACTTGTGTCAGCCATCTGCAACAAAAATATCTGCTATCACGTCACTCTGCACCGGGTGAGCACGTGCGAAGTGAAACGAAACGATGTAGTTCATGTCGATCGCCGCGGTGCGTATTGGTATATCTTGCTTTGAATCCCCTGGCCCAATGCTCATGTGTGAACAGACAGGCGCACGTCCAACGGTCGCCCCTCGCGGTCTAAGCAGCCCTTGTGCGCAGAATCCACCATGGACTGCCACTGCGCCTTTCAAATTGTCCCTAGGACCGACTCGATCGCAATTTTCACCGGGTTAGACCCGCATGAATTTTATTTCCCCATGGTCGCGCGAGTGGAAAACGGTTCCTTTTTGGCTGCTCCGCCAGCACCCGTGGCACCACGCGGGTTATCGTTGTCTCTAGTTGACACAGAAATGGATATCAGTGAAGTCAACGGTAACGAAGAGGTCGTAGGGGGTCAGGACATGTGCGTGTCCAAACCGGAGCTTGATGGAACCAATGGAGATGTCGTGGATAACAGTCCTGAAGTTGCCGACAACGGATCTTCAGCAGCAAACCAGCAGATGAGAAAGGCCATCCGCCGCGAAGGAGTCGAGATTTCTTTCGAGAAGGTGGATGATCAGCCCGGGTTCGAGAAAGACGACAGTGAATGGCAGCGGTGGCATGCTGAGGAGTTGCCAGGAGCATTTGCTAAATTGGTGGCACGTCGGGAAAAACATCATACAGTACGTTGGACTTTCTGCAAGCGCACGCTGAATAACCGACTGATATTGACTGGTGACAGCCGACGTTTCACCCCGTGGCCAGCCTTGAGTGCGCACACCTGGACTTCCACTTTGTGAAAGATGAATATGCACTCGTCCGCCTCGGCAGTGACAGTTCCTCGGAGAATGTCATCTTCATCCACGATATCTCTTATTGTGGGGAGGAAGATGAGGCTTCCACGGCATATTTATTGGTCACCAAGTATTCAAGACTCTGGTCGTGTTTTCCTGATTCCAAGCCCCTCGGGGTTGACAACAACGATGTGGTCGCCAATCAACTAGAACTGTTGCTTCATTTCGAAGACTTCGACAAAATGGGTTTGCGAGATGACGCTGAAGTCATTCAGCTAGGTGATATTGTCTCTGCGGCGGATCTGATGGCTGGCTCCAACACTGTCGTCACTGGTGTCGACCATGTCCTTCAACCCCCTCCAGGTAAGCAGGGGATACTCCAGTCATGACGCCAATAATGAGCTGACAGCACGAAACCTTCAAGCCTCGGAGGATGAGACCATGTTCTGTCGTTTTGCAATACGAGGGCCGGCGTCGGATGAGCAAGTCGCTTGCTGGACACCAATAGCCTCTCATCTCCTTCAACGCCGTGACCGGTGGCCGGCACCTCAGTTTGACACCACTTCCAGGCCGTCTGTTGTGGACTTCACGCCCGGCATACTTGGGCCTGCGGAAGGATTTTCGCAAGCTGGCTTCGACATTCGGGCTGCTCTTGGTTTTGACCAAGAGCGCCATTTGTCTTGGAAGGTATGGATGACGCATCGCTGAGACCTTTGAAAGCCCCCTTGTTGACCGATACAGATCCGACACGCGCAGAGTCAAGTGTATGATGGCCCACCGAGGAAAGTCCTCGACGACATCTGTTCCGAACAGCTCCACCCCCTGTCAACGCCAAATCCGGCACCACCAAACATTGCGCTGGTCGCAGGGGCAAACGCTCCTTTTCGCCTGAATGAAACGAATCAAAAGATGTCATCAGCAGAGAATTTTGTCACTCAGCTCGACCTTGTCAATATGGCTCTTGAGGGCCCTAGCAAGCCTGACTTTTTGGTAGTGCTGAGCTCGCCGGCCGTGCTCCACGCATCAATAGTGCCACGGTTTTTGGCAACCATAGTCAATTTTCTCAAGCATAGGCGGTCCGTCCACATGAGGCTCTGCCGCCTCAGAGAGCATGGGCTTCCGCAAGAAAGGAACCTGCTGCTCTTGGTGGCTTCTCCATTTTGCGCGCCGCTCCCCTGGTATCTGCACTGGCCAGCCTCTTCCAGCAGACCAGAAACGATCACGCTCCGCGACCTGATTGGCGATCTCGACTTTGACAATCCTCGCACTGGGGCGGGACCAGATCGAGCATTTGTGTGTTCTCCTCCTCTCGAAGGCATGCAAGAAGGGCAAGGCCGACGCGCATGTCCAAGTCATATTTACAATCACCAAACGGGGCAGCAGTTGCCGAATTGGAAGGTTCCTCTGCAGTGGGATTCTGACGGACTTGTAGCACTCTCCTGCAATCCCTTACCCTGGCAGCATCCAAGTAGGTGGTTTCAGAAGATAGCTCCTGCTCGTTACCGATTGTATAAGCTGACGATGCATCTCACAGGACGGCAAGACCTCCTCACTGTGCGGGAGATGGCTCGGCTCCAAGGTTTCTCCGATGATTTTGTTTTTTACCAGTCCACAACTGTGCAATATCAAGATGTATGGACCGCTATACCGCCGGTAATTAGCCAGCTTGTGGCAAAGACCATCCTGCACGTAATCCAGGGAGCGCTCAGGGCTAGAGTTGGCAGCCGTTTGGACGGTCAACGAGCTGGAAAAAGGCCCAGACAAGACGGTGGAGATTGAATGCCTGATGTCAACTCAGGCGCTGTATCAAGATCGAAGATATCTGAAGGGGATGTCGTAGAGATGATGCGGAGCCCGACACGGTGGACATGGGTGTCGCCGATTAACAGAGATCATCTGGTCGCGACATCATGCATATTTTTCTCCTGCACTGATCCACTTGCCCCCCGGGTGCCGCTATGGACCGTGAGACGCTGGAAATAGTGAAGGGCGTGTCGACAGAGCAAAGGCTTAAAGGATGTCATTGATGAAATTCGGGAATTCACCGCCCATATATGTGTCGGCTAGTGTAGGGAGGAATTGACTGACGCAGCAGAGATACCGTCTTTATTTGATCGTGTCTTTATGAGTGAGACTTGGATGGATGTTGTGTCGCTGGCCAAAGCCGTGTCATCTGAGTGGAAGTGTGTCTCTCAGTATCAACATCCCAATCATCGACTCAATGCCTGCAGGTGCCAAGCTTGAGAGGCCGCCTGCGCCCCTTTAACAAAGTGTCTTTGTCAGCAATAGGAGGGCAAGGCTGTCACACCATTATCCATTGTTCATTCCCTCCACAGTACATTACTTGATGTCCTGCATTATCCTACGCCCTGATCTATTTGCAAAGTTGACCCCGAACAAGCCGTCCGAGGCAGACGGCAAGCCAGTTGGCTAGCACGCTAGGTAGACAGCTCAAAGTCCATCCTGCTCATCATCAGCCTAGGTGTCGAATCCCTCGGCAATGCTCGGGTATCATCTATCTGGTCGAAATGCAACGAATGTACCTCGTCGTACGAGTACACTACTGTTGAAAGACGAAGTGGAATTCCTCTGATTGCCGGATCCAAAGTTTGTGATTAAACTAGCTTGCTTTTATTGAAAAGGAAAAAAACAGACAACGGCTGAGAGAGCGCCCAATCTATCGAGGTATCAAGTGATGTATGCACCGTAAAATCATCCAATGTTAACCCCGATGCTATGACTCTCTGAAGAAATCTTCTCGCACGATATGGCTTTTGTCGCACATGCTCCGGAAAATGCCACCGGCCTCAAAAAGATTGATAGGAGTGTCCAGTTCCGCAATGCGTCCTTGGTCCATCACGCAAATGCGGTCGTAGTTGATAATAGTCTTCAGTCGGTGAGCAATGCACAACACCGTCTTTCCGGCGAACCCAGTCCGCATAGTCCGCTGAATCTTCTCGTCAGTTTCAAAGTCGACCGATGAAGTCGCTTCGTCACAAACGATGATCTGTGAATTGCGAACTAGGGCTCGAGCTAATGCCATCAATTGCCGCTGGCCTAGTGAGTAGTTCAACCCTTCTTCGTCCACAGGACTGTCGAGATGTAACCGACTAGCTCCAGTGGGTGCGTTAACGTTCGACGTCGATGTGGCTGCAGTTCGTGCAGTGTCGGGGCGATCAACCTTCTCCGATGTCGCCATCTCCTCCCCCACGAGATCAGCTTTTCGTAGCGCAGCCCAGAGTTCCAAGTCGGAGTGTTCATTGAACGGATCCAGGTTGGAGCGGATAGTGCCTCGGAACAGAGTTGGATCCTGTGGGATGATTGCGAGACGTGACCGCAAATCGTAAAGGCCTACAGTCGAAATGTCGATGTCGTCAATTTTGATCTGTCCCGACGTGAGTTCGGTCAACCGGAAAAGCGCCGCCATGATGGACGACTTGCCAGCTCCGGTACGACCGACAATGCCGATTCTCTCTCCACCTCGGATGTGGAAATCCAAGCCATGCAGAACGAGCGGCAGCCCCGCTCGATATCTCATCTCGACCTTGTTGAACGTGATTGCTCCCGTTTGAGGCCAGTTTTCTGGCACTTCCGCGCCTTTCAGTGGTGCTTCCTCCTCCAACTGCGTGCCGTAGAAGTGCAGGCGTTCCGTGGCGTTCATGTTGTTTTCCACTTCTGCTAATTGCCGCACAGTGAACTGGATCATTTGAACAATAGCCAAAACGTAGGACAAAACCAAACCCGCTATGCTGGGATTCACATTGAAACGATCCGTCACCACCAAAATGCCAGTGACAAAGACAAGCATATTTCCAATCGCATCGAGTCGCGTAGATAGCCAGCGTTGGTTCGCGAACGTCAGATAATATGCCGAGTTCATCTGATCGATGGCATCCCGCAAGCGTGTCGCGAAAAAGCTTTGTAGCCCATATGCCCGAATAGATGCCACTCCTGAAATAGACTCGGAAAATCGTGCAAAGACTGTCGACCGCAAAACCGCTTCGTGCCGTTTGATTTCCCGTGCTGATGCTCTGTAATAACTTGACGCAAACAGGAACAAGACGAATAGAGGCCCTAAGGCCACAGCAAAATAGTGAAAGTATGCGATGATGAGGGCAAAGACCGAAGTGATCATGGCCAGGGTAAGAAAGTACATCCTCATGGCGTCGGTCAAACTGTTGTCCATCGAGTCGACATCCTTGGAGAACCGGTTGGTGATGCGGCCGAGAGGAGTAGTGTCGAAGAAGGACATGGGTGCGCGTAAAACTCGAGTCATGGCCTTTTGCAGCATGACCCTGCTAGCGTTGGTGCCGCTTGTGGAGAGAAGAGTCGCGAATGTGAACATGAGCACCGCTTGGGACAGTCCTAGACAGGCGTATGCGGCAATGTAGACGCCTTCGGAAAATCCAAACTTGTCACTCGTCCACCAACTGAGCCACAGGCTGGTCACTATGTTGGCTCCTTGGGATAAGACGAGGGAGATGAATATGAGTGGCCAGAGGATTGGAGACCCTGATGCACGGATGTATGCTCCCCAGACGGACCAGCTCACCGATTTGACAGCACGCTCTTCTTGCTGCATCAGGCCCGTGGGCTTGGTCTTCTTGGTCTTCTTTCCCGGCTTCTGCTCATTCGCATCTTCATCCTTTGCTTTCGCCATTGCACTTTCGTCCTCTTGAGCAGTCGTGGCCATCAATTTTTGAAAATCCACACTCGTGTTCATCAAGTTGTCAAAGGTATCGATGGCCTGAATATGACCGTCCTCCATCCAGATGATTCGGTCACATCGGGAAAGAACATGGAGTTGATGGGTCGCTAGGATTCTGCATTTGTCCTTCATCAAACCGCAGATTGCCTTGTCCATGATATGACGTCCAACATGGGCATCCACAGCAGAGAGCGGATCATCCATCAAGATGATGTCTGCATCAAAATAAATCGCCCGCGCAATGTTCAACCTTTGTTTCTGCCCGCCCGAGAGAGTGATGCCTCGCTCGCCGATCTCGGTCTGGTCTCCTGCCGGGAGGATTTCCAAGTCGGGTTTCAAGGCGCAGGCATCGATGACGTCCCTGTACCATTTGGATTTGTACGGCTTCCCGAACATTATGTTGTCCTTCAAAGTGGCATTCTGGATCCAAGCATATTGTGGACAAAACGCTCGAGAGGATGCCATCTTGACCTTGCCATCCGTTTTGCGCATGTCTCCCGCCAGAGCGGCCAGAAGTGAAGTCTTACCCGAGCCGACCGTGCCAATGACAGCGATCAATTCATTTCGGCCCACGGTGAAGTCCACGTCGTGTAACTTGAAGGGTTCCACCTCCGTAGTCTCACTTGCGATGTCATCGTTCGATGCCCCAGGAGATTTCTTGTTCTTCTTCGCTGCTTTTTCAGCCTTCTTCTGAGCCTTCTTCCTGTCCTTCTCGGCCTTTTTGGCAGCCATAAGCTCGCCTTTCGTCTGGAATGTGGCTGCCCTCTCCATATCTTGGTTAGCGGTCCTTTCCCAAGTGAAGGAGGCATGTTGCACTTCGACTGCAGGCTCCATTTCTTCATCCCACACGATCTCGTCTTCCTGCTCTTCAGACAACAGAAACTCCTGAATACGCTGAACCGCCGTCTGGGCGTCGGTAACTTGACCAAGAACCAAAGGAAGAAGATTCAAGGGCATCCGTAAGGAATTGAAGAGGGCCAAAGACGAAAATATGCGTGCCGGAGCAAGACTGTGGTCGGACAATGAGTATGTGATGAAAGCCAGCATGGCCGCAAACACTGGCATTGACATGGCGACCGCGTTGATGGCATTTCTGATGGAGAGCAAGATCTGGACAGCCCTGATCTCCCTCTTGCGAAGTTCCTTCAATCGGTCCAGGAAGCTCGTCTCCCATCCGAAAAACTTGACAAATCGCACAGAGCCGAGAATTTCCTGCGTGAGACCCACGCGCTGATCCGTAACTTTGTTGATCTTCTTCCTCCGGGCTAAGAGCGACTTGATGGCCTTGGTCAGGACGGGAAGCATGATGACCAGAAGGGCATAGCCTGACAAAGCACTATATCCAATGTTGATACACAGCACAATCAAGACGACAATGATTTGAATGGGCGACGTCCACAGGATATGGAATAGGCCGGAGGCTTGGTCAATACGATAAGTGTCGACGCTCATCAAATTAACAATTCTGCCATTGTTCCAGCCGACCCCGTCTCCGGAAATCCCAGCGGCTTTGTCAGGTGTAACTTTCGGGCCACCTTTGGGAGTGAGTCGCTTTGATAGGACGCGAGCAAGAGTCGACCTAGCTTCGTGCTTCTCATCTTCGGTCTGTTCTACCGTCTCCAGTACCCCATCAGCCTTGATCGCCTTTCCGCCAGCCTTTGCCCTGCCGGAAATTACCAGAGATTTCTCGAAAATGGCGTTGATCAGCACCGCTCTGCACTCTCCTCCAACCATCATGCCACGGTAGATGAAATGATTAGTCGCCATGGACTGGCATATTTGCATAAATGTGATGCCAATGACCAGGCCGATGCCATGACCAATGCTGGGAGATTTGCCGCCGAACTTATCTGCGACCCAGGCATCTGTGGCAAACTGGATCAGGTAGCGAGTGGTGAAGGGGGAAAACACTTGGAACAGGGCAGAAAATAGAGCACACATGGCGCCAAGTAGAAATTCGCCTCGGAAAGTGTCGAAAAGGGCATACATGAGAGGATTACGTTCCCCTCGTGCAACACGACGTTTGAAAGAGGCCGACAGCTTGTCTCTCATGGTGGTGGCGCTTCGGTCAGGATTGACGAGCCAGATGTCGTTCAGCTCAATCGGCCGCTTGTAGCCCGTGATCATGAGAGGATTCATCCATTGGAAGAGGAGTAGGCTGAGAAAACTCGCGTTGTATTCTCGACACACTGTCCTTTCTTCCGGTATAGGCGGAGGATTCCGACGGAACGGATTTATTCTGTGACGCCATGGTACCTTTTCAGGTTCGGTCTGATATGCAAAGGCAGCAGAACTGGCTTCAGTCGCTTCGGTCACTGTCGACTCGACCTTTTCCAACCGTGTACTGTCTTGACTCCTGCCTCGTCCTCCTCTTCTCGTGTCTCTCGGGACTTCCAGGTATTGTGCTCGCTCATCTCTCTTTTCCAGATCCTGCTCCTCGACGTCATTCCGGGAAATGGCACGCTCAACTTCTCTCTCGTCGCCGTCAGTGTGCGCCATAGCAGTTGGGTCCGGCTTAGGGAACGGTCAACAACGATTCAAGGTTGATGGAATCTGTCGAACAGTCCATGACGAAAAGACTGTCCAGGTGGGGAGGGTCAGAGAATATGTAGTATCAATTCCGAAGAATCGGTGACGGGAGGAACGAGGGCCGGGAAGTGATGCCTAGGAGGGGAACCAGGATCAGGCGCAAAACATCCTCGGTGCTGGCGTAATGGAAGGCAAAGCGGCCACAAGCGAGAAGAAATAAGTGTTGACTGGGACGGAGACATTCCACGGTCCTAGGGCTAATCGGAGGTAGAGGGACTTGACCGGGCAGGCCTCTCGTGATGCAGAGGGGTGGACACGAGAACCGGTAAGTCGAGCCATGTCGATTGGACGGCTTTTGGCTCGCAGGCTTTCGGCCTGGATGCATGGGTTGTTGAAAATCTGAACTTCGCCCTATTGGCGTAAGTGATGCGAAGCTTGTATTTGGCCGTTTGCCCCAACAGGGCCAAGTGGAACGATAATGGCGATACTGGCGAGGAGCTTAGCAATCCAAAAGTCCTGAAGCGGCCAATCTGAGATCTCCGCAAAATTTATTTGAGCAAATGAATCATGGCTTGCCTCTAATGATTGCAATATTGACTGTTCCCGCTGTTTATGGGATGTGGGGAGGGGTTGGAAGGGATCGAAAAGGTGGATGGCTTGTTTTTCGCCTCCGCAGTCGCAGGCATCCAAAGTGAACATCATCATGGGGTCATGGCAGACCGTCTATTCTTCATACTTGCGTGATTTCACCATCCAGACTCAACAGTTCTTGGCTGCCTGAACGCACCCTCCCCTCGGCTCGAGTCCTCAAAGCTCGCTCTGAGCTCCCTGCGTTTCCCTAGGCTGAGTTCTGCGCAACTGCTCAACACCATTCTTGCGTTTCACCAGAGACCGCTTTTCACTCTCCGAGTGATCCCTTTTGTTGTGCTACAAGCGGTATTACAGCGGCAAAGACAAATCACAAGGAACCCCCGGACATTATGCATGACTGCCTGAATCCCGGCCGCTAACCCCACCACCGTGAAATCGCAAAGAAGGGGATCTTTTTTGCCCCGGCAATTGATTCTTTGAACCTCGCTACATTTACCAAGCCGGGTAAGACGTGCCGGTAGAAACCAAAATCTCGGGCCCGAGATTTTTTCTAAACTTTCCGATCGGACGTGGAGGCAACAATTGCGCGATCCGCTACCCAACTGAGAATGGATAGCAGACAACCAACGCACCATTCAATCGAGTTATCTGCGTCCCGCTATGAACATGAGGTGGAAACAAAGCGCTATTGTAGCGTAAACTTGAGCATGGCCCGAAGGAAAGAGGAGGCGAGTCGGGCATTGAGAGAAGTCTGCTTACAGATGCTGCTGAATAGGCCCAGAAAGCAGGGTCGGTCCAGCTGGCGCACGCCCGCGGCTGCATACAACGTACTGTACCTATGATTAGCTCGCTAGGTCTATAGGAACGGAATATTGAGTAGGTTAGGGTTCCAGCCTTAGAGCCCACCTGATCTTACCAACACGTACTCAATACTTGTACATGCTTGACAGTGGCTGTAGCTTACCCGTCAACGAACTATTCTGCACTTCTCCCTTTTCCACCACCCCGTCTGGACAACCTCCAGAACTGGAGTATCGGGCTGACATTCGGGACAGGAGCCTGATACGAAGAACTTGAGACGCTAAAGCAGATGCATTATTCTTTCTATAAACACTTTATGCAGCAGGCGCAGCATTGCATTCCATGGCCTCATTGTCATTACCATCGATTGATTGACTGGCTAGGAGGTATGGCTAGGAGGTATGGCTAGGAGGTATAGGGGGCAGTCCTTGCCTCAGTCGGCAGCTTGTTCGGCCACTGGAGTCCTATACTGAAAGCAGACTTTGAAACAGGCGGAGTCGCTTTCAAGCTCCTCGAGGACGTGTCTTTTGATGCCTCGCCTGCAAAATGCAATGCACAAAACCTCCTAAAAGTTTGTACTTGCAGCGACTCCCCCAAGAAGGTCTGTGGTCCTGCGCAGTTCAGTGACCTTCTTATCAACCCCTTTCCAGGAATCTGGGCCGATGATCACTCTCAACAAATTTTCTGTCTTGATAAGCCTTCCAGCTTCGCCTTCTCCTGTTGCAGCTTCAAACATCACCTGAGCAGCCTTGCCCGGGTCTCCCATTGCTATCTTGGGCAAATTTGAAATGAGCTGAAGCCTTTGGTTCACCGGATGGTCGCCGCTATATTCGACTGACGGCTGAATGTGTCGACCTGTGCTCGAATTGCCGAATTCGGTCCTGTATGCACCTGGCACAATGATGAGCACCCTGATTCCAAACTGTGCAACTTCCTGACTGCATGACTCGGATGCAGCTTCCAGGGCAGCTTTGCTTGCCGCATAGACGCCGCACGCAAGACCCGGAGCGACGCCCTGCGTGCTGGAGACATTCATGATGACCCCCGATCTTCGTTTTCTCATCCCAGGAAGCACAGCCTGCATGATCCTCAGTGGCCCGAGAAAATTGACTTGCATCTGGAAAACAGTATCGGCATCAGGTATATCCTCCAAAGCGCCTAGAACACTTATGCCGGCATTGTTGACGAGTATGTCAATGCCACCGAAGAGGGATTCTGCAAATTGTATTGTCTTTTTGACTGCTTCTTCTGACTGTGTCGTATCGAACGTGATCCATTTCCCGCCACTACCTTCAACTTCCGATACCAATTCTGGCGTTTTTGAAGGGCTGCGTGACGAGGCGACGACAAGATGGCCCTTGGCGATAGCGTAGCGAGTCAAAGCAAGACCTAAGCCAGATGATGAGCCGGTGATGAACCAGACTGGTGCTGCTGATGTGCTAGACATTTCCATACGAGGAGCGCAATGATAGAGGGTCACTATTCAACAAAGGAGAGAATTCTATTCCACGTTCAGAGTTGAGCGAAGACGTCCACCATTGCAGTTCTTGTACTCTATGAAGATTCGAGGACGAGTGACTGAAAGTTTTCGGACATACGAACGGATTTTGCAGGTCAGTCGGCGATTGGCAAGTTGCTGGTACGCTGGTGTTCTCCGACAGGAGAAGATGCTGTGTTCTTGTCAGCTGCATGCCCAATGAGTTCTACGACTTTACATCACAACCGCTGCGCAGCGGATGTTGTCTTTGCTATATCTGTAAGTGGCTGACTCGACATGGAAAGCTGAAGGTGCCTGAATAAAGTTGAATCGAGGGGGAAAGGGAGATATCTGGCAATATTCAGGGTCTGCTAGACCCTTTCATACAGGGTTTGAGAGCATTTGTATAGGAATTGTTGAAGTCTTCAACTTTGCATGGGAACGACACTGACACATATAAACCTATGAGGTCTGCGAGGTACAAGGTTTTCAGGAAGACCCGGCAGTGCCTCGGAATGTGATCGGATGCAGAAAACGTGCAGTATTATTTAGCTGCAATGTGATTGGCTCTGAAATTGGGAGCATCGCACGCCACTTGCCCTCGACTTTCAATCCAATCTCAATCACCTTCAACAGCTACTCTCCGCTCCAATCCATCACAATATTCCCGGTCCTGTGCCATAAGTGCTGTTCCTGGCAAGCTTCGACGTCGGACATGGCAGCTCTACGCACAGCATCGCGCTTGGTGGCGCCCGCCCGAGCTACCATCCGATCCTCTTACGCTGCGAGATCATACGCCACCGTCACCAAGGACAGTGCGTACGATCTGTCTGCCAGCCGACCGCCAATTTCTCCCTCAAAGACCAGCACGGTGCAAGAGCCACGACCGGACAAGGATGCAAAGATCAAGACATTCCACATCTACAGATGGAACCCCGACGAGCCAACGTCGAAGCCGAGGATGCAAACATACACTCTGGACTTGAACAAGACTGGGCCCATGATGCTGGATGCGCTGATCCGAATCAAGAACGAGGTAGACCCGACGCTGACCTTCCGTCGAAGCTGTCGAGAGGGTATTTGTGGCAGCTGCGCCATGAACATTGACGGAGTGAACACTCTTGCCTGTCTCTGTAAGATTTGCGACTCATCTCCGTCCATGTGCCTCAAATTGACAATCCTTCACAGGCAGAATTCCCACCGATACAGCGAAGGAGTCCCGGATCTACCCCCTGCCGCATACCTACGTCGTCAAAGACTTGGTTCCTGACCTCACGCAATTCTACAAGCAATACAAATCAATCAAGCCGTTCCTGCAACGAGACACAAAATCACCCGATGTAGGTTCTCTGACTATATGCAGAGAAAGAACAGACGTTTACTGACACGTTTACAGGGCAAGGAAAACCGACAGTCACCAGCCGACCGCAAGAAGTTGGATGGGTTATACGAATGCATTCTCTGCGCCTGTTGCTCGACTTCATGCCCATCTTATTGGTGGAATAGTGACCAATATCTGGGCCCTGCCATCCTCCTCCAATCTTACCGCTGGCTAGCTGATTCTCGGGACGAACGCAAGGCCGAACGCAAGGAAGCGCTGGACAACAGCATGAGCTTATACCGTTGCCACACAATTTTGAACTGCTCGAGGACTTGCCCTAAGGGGCTCAATCCTGCAAAGGCAATTGCAGAAATCAAGAAGAGCTTGTCTTTTGCTTAGTTTTTGGGTGCGAGGAACCAGAGTTCGGGTTGGGCGTGGAGTACAGTATCTGTTCAGTACGACTCAGACCTCAAATCACACAATTTGGTCCGGTCAGATAGCAAAAATGCTGTATATGTAAATGCAATGCATGATACTTGACGATTTGACATTATCAAGGCATTTCACGTTCATACTCGTGACACGGAATGGGCACCCGGAGCCCTTCACACAGCGCTGCCGGTATCGTCATCATTATTGGCGGGCACTCTCCTACCTTATCAGGATTGGAAATGCACTAATCTCACTCGGCCGAATGCTTGCATGCGGGCCAGGCAGATATTATTACTATTAAAACCCCATAACAATCGCGCAATTGAGCCCAGGTATTGCGATTCTCCCTCCGGCAGGGCTAAGAGCGTACACATACATATACAATGGAGAGCTCATGCTCAGGTCCAGCTCTCGGCAGCCTACAGCTGTGGCTTGATTCCCTAAGACCATCCACCACCAGTCGGAGGACGCGTTCGACGGAATGCGTCCCGACCACGTCGCAGGCAAGACAACAACAGTCCCTTACCGATCGGCCCTTTGATCAGCTACATCCCCTCAACAAGGTTTCGGCTGCGGACGATGGCGACAATGAGACGGTCTTGTATTTGGGATATGGATCCAACTTGAGTGCTGAGACATTCAGAGGGAAAAGAGGCATACGCCCGATATCACAGGTCAACGTCCTTGTCCCGAGCCTATCCTTGACCTTTGATCTACCGGGAATACCATATTTCGAGCCGTGCTTTGGCAATGTTCGCTACAGAGATGTAACACCCTACGGAGACGGAGACACCACGACCACGAAGGACTACCACAAAGATCGTTGGAAAAAGGGTATGGTCGGGGTGGTCTACGAAGTGACAAAGTCCGATTTTGTGCACATCATCGCTACAGAGGGTGGTGGCGCAGGATATCAAGATGTGCTTGTTGATTGCTACGCCCTCAATGGAGGCCCAATGGAGGATGTCCCAATCATGCCCTCGGGACAACCTTTTAAAGCGCACACCCTGTTTGCACCCACAAAGACAACTCGACCTGATCCATCCTATGCACAACCAAGCCCAAGATACCTAAAGTTGATCACAGACGGTGCCGAAGAGCATGGATTGCCCCTCGAATATCAAGCCTTCCTCCATCAGATCCGTACATTCCACCTCACAACTATAAAGCAGAGGCTGGGCTCCTTCATCTTTCTGAGTGTATGGTCTCCCTTGTTCTTGTTCTTCATGGGTGGGGCTGCTGCGATATTTTTGAGACCAGACGGAACCTATCCAAAGTGGTTTGCAAAGTTCTTGAATGCTATGTTTGCGGCATGTTGGGCGAGTTACGACAACTTCTTCAAGGAGATTTTTGGAGATGGCGAACGGACTATGGGGGACAAGAATGCAGACCGTGAAGGTGACGCTGGCGACAAGATTGGTTCTGCTCTGGACGAGAAAGAGCCATTGATTGAACGGACGCAGCATAAATATGGAGCAGTGAGTGTGGTGGAACGAATTGTATGAATGAGTCTATGACAATTTCAAGAGAGATACATGGACGGTTTGGGTATTACAATTAGAGACGGCTTTGAATTGCCTTCTGCTTACTTTGAAACATGGCAGATGTGTTGAACACTCGGTGAGTTGAACAAGGAGTTTGTGCTCTCTTATATGGGTGGCCATCTACAACGATCCTTTAAACTCTTTCATCTATTCTTCTTGCTTCACTGCGGTCTCAGTCGACGCACCACTCCTACCACGCTTTCATTGCTTCTGATCCTTCGCCATCTCCCTATAATGGATACACAGTCTCATTTCCAGACCTCATTTTCAGCTCTTGTGAGATATCTCCAGCAAGGATTCCGAGCAGAAGGAGTCGTGAGGCAAGTCTGCGCCATTGAGTACCACAAAATGGAAGACTGATCTGGGCTCTTCTATGCAGACTACCGGACGAGATCGTCAAGCCGTTCAGGAAACCCTTCAATCCCACCCAAAGCGTCCTCCTTCGCAGTCTCCAGAAGCTGTTGGATGATGGCCGACCCAAGAATATCGTCCGTCTCGACTCACAGTCCTTCTACATCGTCGCGTCGGTTATTCTTCACTTCCCTTACTCGGAGACACAGAACAAGCTGCTATATCTTTTCATAGTCGGTGCCTCCTTGTGTTTAGCTAAATTGGGCTCATTCAATTAGGAAACCGTCCGACAATACCAAGATGAGAATACGTTGGCTCCAGTCTTGTCCCGGATACAAGGGACCGCGGTTTCTCCCGCAGAAATCCAAGAGCATGGCGACTACATCGGGAGGAAGCTGGGGCCTTGCGTACTGCGCCATCTGGTCAGCAGTGAGAAAAGACCACAACATCGTTGGAGGGTATTGCATCTCCCGCAACCTCGACCTCAGTTGCAGGAACATTGCACCAGGCTGACGCTGCACAGCTAGCGCAATTCCTCTCGGTCCTGCTGCGCTCCAGCTCGATTGTGACAAATCAGATAATGGATACTGATGAAAGGTATTCAGATGTCCGATATGTATACCTTCACTGACTCGAAGCCAGCCAGCACTTGACATCCATCCTCGAAAGAGAACAGAGCTATTTCCTTCGCATACTGACCGCCGATATGCTGCGAGAGCTTCTCTTTAATGGGGCAGACAGGGAAGCTCTGAAGAAGTCGTCCAGCAAGCCCAGCATTGTGGATAGCCTTCCCGTCTCAAAGAACGGCGACGCCACGTGGATGAGCAAGGTTGTCGAGCACCTCAGTGTAAATGATCTCGCAATAGCGTCTGCTGGACAGTATGAGGTTCGTGGCACGGTCTCCAAGGCTGAGGCTAAAATCCTGCAGGGCCGAGCGTATCTTCAGAGTACAGCGCCTCGAATGTGACGGAAACGAATACTTTGCAGGCTCTTCACCATTTTTTGCGACGGTGTCAAGCGAGGTTGCCTTTTTAATACCCAATGGCGGGGATATGCTCACATTATTTTCTGTCCCTGTGTCGAAGAACATGTCCCTCAATCAGCAGGCCCTGGATCCCGAATTATCGACAATCCTTGAAATCCGATATCCCGGGGTTGAAGGGGATCGATTTATAAATGGAGCCAAAGGCGCCATAAACAGCCTCGCGATAACCTTTGATGATCAGGATGCAGTGAAAACCTTCATTCAGATGGTTGAGGAGCGGCAGCATGAGAATATACGAGACAGAGTGCTAGGTGCTCCAGGAACTCCTAGAAAGCACTCCATTGCCTTTATGGAATTCGATTCAGCTTCAGTAGATGACAACCGCGGAAAGGGAACAAGATCGAATTCTACAGCGAAAATCGATGCTGATCCTTCTTCCCCTCTTCACAACATTTCATCGCGTAAGCGGCACAAACAAGATTCGACAGCTACATCTACGCTGCAGATTCATGCCTCCACGGTTCAGCTTGCCGAAAGATCAAGCAATGAATTGTCTAAGGGTGCATCGGGGCCGAAGCTCTCCCTAGAGGACGAATCCTTGATTGGACTGCCACATACATCTCAGAGTAGCCACAAGCGTGTGCGGTTAAGGGCTAGGATGACCTCAGGACGGGTGCAGCTGGGTCACAGAAATATGGAAGTGGATGTTGCGGAAGGTGCGGAAGGTGCGGAAGACGCTATTGAGAAAGAACCAGCATCCCAATCGCCTTCAGATGGTGTTGATCTTGACCTGTCTCATGACCCAGATCGATCCTTTACTACGTCCGGCATCTCAAAACCACGTCATGACACCGAGCCGGCCAACAAGTCATCTCCTGTTTCGGGAAACGAATGCCAAAGTATCATCGTAGTTGACTTTGCCCGCAAAACACCCAGACAAAAGATCGCTATGGCGAAAGTGGTGGTTCCCCAACCTGATGCACAAAGCGACTCTCAGGCTGAAGGAGGACCAGCCAAAATGGGCCTTAAGCGCAGAACAGTCAAAGACGCCACAGCTCTTCAGAACGAACAGATGCAGAAACCACTCGAAGCCACATCAGAGGCAGCTGACTTTGACCTCCCGCCTTCCAGTGATGAGGAAATTCGTCCCATAAAGAAAGCAAAGACGAAAACTTCTAAGACACCGACCAAGTCACCGCTGAAGGATTCCACAAGCATGAAAAAGGGGACTGTTCAGATCGCAGTTTCACCAAAACGGCACAAGAAAAAGCAAATCGAGAAGAAGATGATCAAGCCAGCAGGGCAAAAGTCCCAGAGGACGGCTGCCTCAACGAGGTCCAGGCGAGCTGCCAAAAAAACACCAACGTATATCGAGGAAGCTGATGAGAGCTATGAGGACACCACAGAGGAAGAAGTCGAAGAAAAAGAGAGGGAGAAGCATGAAACGCACGACAAAGCCGCGGAGGCTGTTCGGGGCTCCCTTCCCCTCAGCAAAGGGGCAACAAAAACGGGTCTGAAAGCTTCCCAACGCGGTTTTGCATCGGACATGCAAGAGATCCTTGACGGGGACAGCATCGATAGGGAGGATGATAGGGAGGATGGACTAGCACGAGGCCCACTGGCATGCTGCCCTCCGGACGAGCAACTTACATCAATGCACGGCTCTGTCGCCCGGCAGCCCAGCCCTGAGCAGGCTGTAGCGAGCAACGAGAAACACACATCAAAACATTCGGGCGAAAATGCCGTCTCCAAAACTATTCCTGGTTCAAAGGGTAATGATCAGCAGAAATCTACTTACCAAGGCGACTCGAAGCGACTGAGTGAAAGTTCGATACCTCCAGTGAGCGAAAAGCTACTGCGAAAGACTAAAATCGTACACTTTGGACCTCAAGGCCCTGGTAACCAGGCAGTGCCGATCAAGTCTCCAGTGACGCTTAGCGATTGCGAATCGATAAAGGAGATCAGTCCAGCCCCCAAACGTGTAAGGGTTAGGCAAGATGAACTTGTTGAAGACATCGACGAGCTTGTTCCGGACTACTGCGACGAGTCTTCACCGAGCCCGCCAGAAATCGAGGAAACCCGGATTCTATTTGCACACGATGGGGATGATATACCGAAGGAGCCTGGTGAAAGCCAAGGGCTGGATGTTCATGCACATGCTGACAACATGGGCGAGCAAATCGTCTCAGCTTCTGATGAACAGACGTGTATCATCAACGAACCAGAAACTTCCAGGCATGTTATCTCCAGAACTGAGAAAACGGCCAGTGGGAACGCCTCCCAGCTTTCTAGCCCTCCTCGCTCGCACAAGACCGGTGTACACCAAACCAGGCTACAAAGACCGTTCCTTGCTAATGATGCGTCTCATTATTACGCTTCTAGAGCCAAAGGAACGCAAATTACTGGAGAGTCGATAACCCAGTCCATAAAGACCAATTCCGCATCTCATCAGGGATATACGCAAACCAGAAAACCCGTTGGAAACAGCAAGAATCATGCAGGTCATCAAACACCCGCAACGAAAGAATCCAGCACACGGAGTGCTGTGTCGCATGCGCTCCGTTCAACTTCTGAGGAAATCATACAATCTGAAAATCCAGAGCCGACTCGAGAGTTGAACAACACGGGTCTGTCCCGCAGAGTCAGTGCTGTACCCAAGATTCACCGTGATATTGTGTCATTAACGCAGGACAACCCGGTGACGGGCCCGCATGGCATGCGTGATTCTTGCGCGTTGCTCCCGCATATTGCACCCGATTCAATGGCTCCGCCTCCACCACCAGCCGACTCGGTCAAGCAGCCAAGTTCTCTTCGCAGAATACGACCCGCAGCACAGGCTAGGCAAACAGCTCTACCTCTGAAAGCAATGAGTCAGCCGGTCATCACAGGGCCTATCAGGGTGAAAAAGAGTACGAGCCTGCCTCTCGTTATTGAGCCTGAGCTTGAGCCCGAATTACCTCCAGCAACGCCAGACTCGTTCTCTACGCGTCTTCACCTGCATGACCGCTTCTCAATTAATGAAGTGCCAGACAATGGAGGCCCGAACACGACAGGAGTAGACACGTGGCAGAACGTTGGTAATGACAGCTTGACTTTTGTAAATGGGGACGAAACAGTCTATGGAGATCGTCTAGGCCGTGGGCTCAAGCGAGGGCGGAGACAACAATCTGACTCGGAACATGATGGCTCGATGACTGCATCTCCTTCCAACAAACCTGGAGGAGACTCCAGACGAGGCGACTCGATGATGGCATTTCCATCTGCCCGTGAGTCTCAACGGGGTATGCTTGATGCGATCATCAACATAACTAACGTAAGCCAATCCCTTGTACCCCTTGGCCTGACTGATATGTGCCCAGGATGTCCTATTCCGATTCGGCGCAGAAGAAGACGCCATTAGATCGAAGGTCAGCGGATACGATCGTGGAGGGGGAGTAATTATCCAGACTCTAACCGACACGTGGACTCAACGTCTGGAACATGAGCGACACCTCCTCGAGGATATCTTGAAGGAGGAGAAAGAGGTTCTGACAACGGCGCTGCAACTTGTACAATGTACGGACCAGTTGGGTGGAAACTGGAGAGAGACCATTTATAATCAGGAGTTGACAAGGAAAGTACAGGACAAAGGCGATGGCCTTGCGCAGAAGATCGAGAACTTGAAGAAGAGAGGCTGAGCAATATTGAGCAAAAGTGGAGGTCATACGGCCGGGTTCCTGGAGGGAAGAAGAAGTAGCTCTCTGTATTCTGATAGACTCGGCTTTTTCCGACCATGGACTGATACATGGACAAGGTATAGTCTCAATGTATGTTAACTGAAGAGCAGTATTTCGCCAGACACAACGCGAGCTTTTTATATTAAAGAGTACCACTCTCTTGGTCAATGTTTCAGAAATGCCGTCCCGTAGCCGCCTGGGCGAGAAGATCCTTGGGCATTTCGATCGCCTCCTCGGTACAATTTCCATCCTTGTCGACCACGACGCCGTGATTCTTCTCAATCACCTTCCACTCCACGATCTTGTACGTCGTGGGCTCACTGGCCACGATGACGTGCTTGCCGTGGTCCTCGGGCTTCAGGGTGGCATTGGGGTTCTTCGCGCCCGAGGCATTGTCCGGGTACTTCCTGTTGAGGGTGACGCCGGCGGTGGTGCTGTAGTACAGGCTGGGCGGGTTCTCGACCGCGTGGTTGCGCAGACGCACAGCGATCAGCTGCTCGCCGTCGGTGCAGCACACGTTCATGGAACACGCCTGGACGTTCTCGGCACCCAGCGTCTCCTGTTGCAGGCGGATGATGGCGTGGAAGGCCTCGACCAGCGCGCGCAGCATTTCTTGCGGCGTGTACTGCCGCTCCCAGCTCTGCGGGCCGCCGCCGGCCGACCGGGTCAGGTTGGTCATGTACAAGGCCGCGAGGTGCTCCGAGTCGGTAGTGCCGTGGATGTTTTCGTACGCCGACTTCTCCAGCAGCGTGAGCAGCGGCCGGTGGATGTCGGTGAAGTGCGAGATCAGACCGTTGTGCATGATCGTGTGCCGCCCAAACACGAAGGGGTGGTTGTTGATCGCCGCCACCGAGGCGCCCGTTGCGGCGCGGATGTGCGCGAACGCGGCCGTCGTGGACGTGCCGGCGCAGATGCTGTGGAAGTTTGCGTCATTGTTCGGCGGTTGCGCATTCTTGTACGTGGCCGGCCGGATGCCTTCGACGCTGTTGATGAACGAGGAGCGTACGGGCGTGTACCACACCAAGCCGAAGCCGTCGACGTTGTTGAGGCGGTTGCGCAAGGTGATCTCGAGCTTCGACGTCTGCTCGCCAGGGGCGTGCGAGAAGAGTTTTGGTAAGTAGTGGTCATGGACCTGTTTGGCAATGCCGTGTTCGGGGGTGATGAGCACGTCCTCCAGTAGGCACTCTTCATCAGGCGAGATGTAGGCGAACCACCGACACATGTTGTATCTATACTCTGTTGTTCCCTTGGCTTGAATCCCACCGAATAAGGTATTTCTTTCTTTATATACTGTTTTTCCTTCTCGGTACCAGGCCCTCTAGTTGACTGTGAAGAGATCGGTTTCTATCCGAACAACGTCCTCATATAGACAAGAAAACGAATGGCCGGTCTTGTATGAATGTTATTTCCGTCGAGCACGGTAGATATCTCAGGCAGAGCGGAGAGGAGGCAACATGACAACAAGATTCCAGCTACTTATGTATAAGCGACGGGGCTACGCCGAAGGCGTTTGGATAAAACAAAAAGGAGGAAAAAGGAGTCCGAGAAAGGGGCCCGAACGAAGGGAGGGAAGCACTTTTGAAGTATGTTACACGACTGGGACATGGAAATATCAGCGTCCACGACGCCCCCACATTTCTCGAGCTGAGGTCCCCAGGGTGCCGTAGTCATTTTCAAACTCGGAAGTAGATGCAAGTATCTCTCCAAAGATGCCGTATACTCATACGCGATCTCAGAGCCACGTAATCAGTCAATCCGCTGTGCAGGGATTTCAGGAAAAGGGTAGAAGAGGCTGTGACGTCACCGCCCCTCAGATTGGTTTAGCATACTGTTTAAGCTTTAGCCAAGCTCTGTCGCGTACTAGCGTGTTCAATATCCACGCTACTATTCTAAGCAGAGCTTGGCAACTTACTAGTGCGGATATTGCTAAGGCATGGTTTACTTGTACCTGCACTTTGATTTCACCTTTCTCTCCTTCTCACAATCTCTCATCGCTATATTCCTCCTTGTCCTCTCTTGACCCTGCGACCCGCGATAGAACGGTACTGAAGATGTATTGCGTCTCAACCGTAGCGATGGATACCACAGAACTTCTCTCAACTCAGAGGCCAGAGCAGCTCCCGACCAAATACTACAATTTGATGCCCGGAAGATTTTGAAATCCCTGCTAGTTCTGATTGAACTCCGCCAGCAATTTGAGGTGAATCGTCTCTTCCAAGCCAGGGGTCAAAGCGACCGAATGCAAACCTAACAAATCCCTCAAATTGCCGGTGAGAGATTCAAACCATCGGCCTACCTCCCAAGGAAATGCCATTGCTTGCACTGAAGCCAGAACGGCCCAGCAAGATGGACAATCATTACCTGGAGAGCTCCAAATTCCAACGGAGCCCAAAACGGGACGACACAACCCCTCGGGAAGACCAACAGAGTCTCAAACGAGCTGTCTGCCCAAGCAGCACTGTCAGATTGTCTAGATAAAAGACGACAAGTGTCTTGATTCCACTATTGGTGATCTTAGCAAGGAATCGATGGTACTGTGCGGCCAAAAGCACTTACCACCAAAAGGGAGCCAAGCCAATGTGGATTTGGAAACACATAATTCTCATGTCAGAGGATCAAGATGGCTGGGCGCAGAAGTTTGAAGCACCTCAACACTGGCCGGCAACTTATTATGCCGTGCGTCTGCGTGGAAACCATTTTCGTGAGATCGAAAATTCCCCGTCTGGCAGCAACATATTGCGCCACTCCCGTTGCACCGCCTTCTAGCGCGTGTCTGGCCGTCCTGGTGAATCCCATATGGGGACCACAGAAAGTTCCCTATTCCGATGGACATTGAAAGCCGATCAAAGGCACCAGGGTCAAGTCCAAGAGGACTAATCCAAGAGGAGATGAGATCAGGAGTTCCGTCTCCCTAAATGGCCACCAGCATATATGAGGCGAACCGTCCTACTCAAAGCCAAGGGTCCAAGCGACCGAATGCAAAACAAATAAATCCCTCATATTGCTGGTGAGTAAGAGCATCTCTTACCATTCCCGTACGGGCCAATGCATTTATGTTGCGAAGATCGCGTTCGTCATTTGCAAATTGCTATCCGACAGGAACCCAACCAACTGGAACTGTCACAAGCCAACAATATGGTCTCCGCGAGTAGCGGCAGTGACAGTTCTCACAACGCTTGTGAGCTACGCAGTTGCGCGCTGGCGAACTGACGTTGGACCGGCTCTCCCAAAGACAGCGTTTCTCTTGTATCAGAAATTTCCTGAGCAATCCAAAATGGGCAAGCATACTGCTTCTACTGTGCAACAAGCACGAAGTCCCCTCTGTCTCCACATCGGTCCGAGTACCATGGGCTGAAAATTGTACCGCAGACAGCAAGATCAGAAATCCCTGGAAGCAACATCCGCTACGGATACGGATCGCATGGCACATCACAAATAGCCCCAAGGCGGCTCGAGGCAGATATTCATTGATATCTTTGAAGATCCATACTGTGTTCCCATTTTGCTAACTTTCAGTCACAGGCATATCCACACTCTGTGATGGCTATGTGCTGTCCCGCGACATATTACCAGACAGTCTTGTGCAGTCAACTTCGTCTCCTTTGGGTCTGTGAGCAGGTCCCATCGCTAGCAAGGTCGAGATACTGAACCAACTCAAACAGAATCAGAAGCTCATACACATTCACCGCCTTCGAGTATCCATCGTCAGCTCATCGCCTGCTAAAGTGCAAGACAAACAACGTGGGATGGTTTGGTACATCGGCAAGAGGGATCAAACACGATGTACGTGTGATGCCTCCTCCGTGAAGGGATATTGCCCCTGACCGGAACAAGAACCCGGATTTCCAACGATGCAGAAACATCTCGCCGACCGAGAATACAAAACGCAAAAGAGCGTGGCCTGAGACGTCAGGCCGAAGACACCTAGCATGCCTAGTGAGGATCATGTGGAGCATACGACGGGTGCAAAAGAGAGGATGGGCATATTGCGAAGTAATGAGACTCGGAAAGGGCAAAGACAACAAACCTACCGGCCGGAACAATCACGCCGCGCTCACCCTCCAGCGGAATATTACGACACAAGAGGAACGCGTCCGACTATTCAAGGAATTGCAGGAAAGTGTGAAAAGAGGAGGAGTCACAGCAAGGCGACAACCAGACTTTACTTGATATTCTGTTGGTCTCAGGATGGGTGGAGGGGACGAGGAGAAGAACACGATGGCGGTGGTGGTAGCGGATGTGATGGTCGGAAATGCCAGCAGGACAATGCTGGTTGGGCAATTAAGAAGATGGAAATCGGCAAGGCAGCGGGATGAACAGGTAATCCAGCACATTTGCAGACAGCACTCGGCCAAGCAGAATGGGAAGCAAAATTACAACACATTCATGGCGGCAGGGTCTCACTCTGGAAGGTTCGGACGTCTGTCGAAGGTTCAGGAGATGGGGGCATCAAGCGCTACGAACAACCGATTCAGATACAAATCTACGGGGGGCAGGAGGGCCGGGTTTCCAAGAGGTGCAGCAGTCCAGGTTGGCATGTATTCAACGTGGTAGGGGGCATACCAGCCTTTGCAGAGTGCAATACATACTCCACCAAACTCTTTTCTCACGCTCCTCCACGCGGATTCCTGTACAAGTAAAGTGGACGAGAACTGTCTCTTCGTTCGCGAATTCTGATTGCCTTGTCTATACAGCACGAACCTCCCTCTCTACCGCATCGTACAAGTTCTTGAACGAGAGAGCCGGGGACATCAAGCTCAACGATCCTCCCACTCTCCATGACAGTGACGCGATTGCTCTGACAGTCAGGAAAGGCGTTGATGCAGAGAATCCGCAACCGTTAAAAGAGCAAGTACGCGCCATCTTCGTCATCTGCGGACTGATCGACCCTATTGGCCACTCGAAAAGAAGAACATTTCCCGTCTTCTTGGAATGGAGGAAGATCTGGTCACGCTGAGAAATCCTCTTCTCTATGCGGGAAACGATGTTGGGATTTTGATTAGTGTTGTAAATACCAGTCCGCTGGGTGTAGGTAAACATGGGGCAGCCAAGGCTTTTCCAAGGAGACTTTGCGAGCCACTTCATCATCTCCCAAACGAGCCACATGGCACCTGTGCAACTTGTATAATAGACCGTTTCCTAGTCTTCTTGGATTGTTATAATGTATTTCTAGGCTCGTCGATCCTGCTGACAACCCCGTCATCGCTCCTGTCACCCCCGTACCTGTTCCACGAACTACATGCACAGACTCGGCCGGTTCGATTCTCCCCCCGATGTCCTTCCAGGTGCCCCAGAATGTTCCTTCGTTCAGCAGCACTCAACGCACGCATGAAGACACATACTGGCGGCAGAAGCAAACCAGTAATGGCCATGCAAGAGGAGGACCCGCTAGTGGAATCACATCCAAGATTAACGACATCTTCGGCGAAGACAGGGGTCTGCCCATGTACAAAGATAAACCGCATTTCCCCTCAAGTCGTCGGAGCGGACGAGGTTTCTGTCGACCAAAAAGAGTGCTGGCATTGATTTGTTCCGCATCACTACTGTTTCTCTGGTGGGTGGGATGGTTACCATGGAGCTCCCACCAGTACTACGATCCAGCCGACCACCAACATTCTTTCTTCCACGCCGAAGACTGGTCAGAACAGAGGGAGGCCGTAAAAGAGGTATTCAAGACATCCTGGGAAGGGTATGAAAAATATGCTTGGGGCATGGATGAATACCACCCTCTCTCGAGAAAAGGGAAGAACATGGTTGAAGGTGGCATGGGATGGATCATTGTGGACGCATTGGATACGGCTATGATGATGAATTTGACCTCGCATGTCGCCAAAGCACGAGAATGGATATCTACGTCGCTTTCTTACACTGCCGATCACGAAGTCAACACCTTTGAGACAACTATCCGCATGCTCGGCGGTTTACTATCAGCATACTACCTATCAACGACTTTCCCACATCTTGCACCACAGCGGGACGACGACGTGAATCAACCTGGAGAGGACCTATACATCGAGAAAGCGACGGATCTTGCCGACCGTCTCCTTGGGGCCTACGATTCACCTTCAGGGATCCCATATGCGTCTGTGAACCTAAACACCAGCCGGGGGGTTGGTTCGCACGTGGATGGAGGGGCCTCCTCTACTGCGGAGGCAGCGACTCTACAACTAGAGATGAAATACCTTGCAAAAATAACGGGAGAGCCGATCTACTGGACGAAGGCCGAGCACGTTATTGAAGTCATCGAATCCCAAAAACGCGAAGATGGTCTCTTACCAATCTACATATACCCTGCCACGGGCGAATTCCGGGGCGTGAATATACGGCTGGGATCTCGCGGCGACAGCTATTACGAGTATTTGATTAAACAGTACCTTCAAACGGGTAGCGTGGAGGATGTATACTTGGATATGTGGGAAGAGGCACTCGAAGGCGTCAAGAAACACTTGATCACTTATTCCGAACACGCATCCTTGACCATCCTGGCCGAAAGGCAAAGTGGACTCAACGCCCCTCTGACAGCCAAGATGGATCATCTAGCATGTTTCATGCCTGGTACCATAGCCCTAGCAGTGACCGAAGGACAGACGGTTGAGCAAGCGAAGGCCAGACTGGGGAGCACGTGGACAAAGAAACATGACGAGAACCTTAAGCTCGCAGAGGAATTGATGAAGACGTGCTGGGGCATGTACAAGGTCACTCCGACTGGCCTCGCCCCCGAGATCTGCTATTTCCATACCGACAATCCCGCTCCGCAATGGCGCGGACATGTTGACTCAGCGTGGAGACCGCCACATGCTGCCGAGCTCTCCGACGATGCCGATGCCGACTGGCGTCATGACTACGATATTCACACAAACGATGTGCACAATCTTCAACGACCTGAGACAATCGAATCCCTCTTCTACATGTACCGCATTACCAAGGACAGGAAATACCGGCAGTGGGGGTGGGAAATGTTTGAAGCCTTCCGCGAGCACACCAAAGTCGTCGATGAATTGACAGGCCAGGTTTATGCCTACACCTCCCTGGACACTGTGATGGAAAACCCTGTCAAAGAGAGGAAACGGCGCGATAACATGGAAAGTTTCTGGTTGGCCGAGACCCTGAAATATTTCTATCTGCTCTTCTCGGATGACGATTTCTTTCCTCTCGAAAGCGTTGTTTTCAACACGGAAGCCCATCCATTCCCGAAATTTGACATATCAGGAAGCAAGGTCTTTACAACAGGCTGGCGCAGGACCAAAGGCTTGACTTCTGAGCGTAAGTCTGAGGGCAGTGTGGTCGAAGATGACTTTGAGCAGCTCAAAAATATACGTGTTGGAAGTGGTGTACGCTTTGACGACAATGGAAACAGCATCCCGGTTCCCGCGGAGGTTGGGGAGCAACAGGTCCCAGCTGCTGTTGGCGAAAATGAGCACGATTTTTCTCAAGGCCTGTCAGCCCGGGCGCTTTCAGATGGCACAGTCTTGGAAAACCAGTCGCCTGAAAACGGCGTGGATATCGCCAAACAGGAAAGTGATTAAGGTGAACTCTGGGGAGAGGAAAAGAGGAATCGATCATTGTATCTTTGAGCCAGAAGATCGGTAGCATCTCCTGCTTGATCAGGATACTTTCTGACCAGAGGCATTGGCTTGTCCGCATACATTGATACTCGAGAGCGCTGTACCAAAATCTGGCTGTGTCTGCATGGAAGCAAGGCTGCGCGTGCAATAGTGCTTTTGGACGATTGGGTCAGGATCGTCATGTCGGGTCTCAACAAACAGGAGCATTGCAGGTTGGTTTTCATTTTGGGACAAAAAGCGAGCCAAGGGATAGAAGGCGTTTGGAAAGAAGAATCCCGAACGAATCATGTTTTCTGGGCATTAGCGGAGATTTGAAGTAACCATTGTTCATGCTTTCTCTTGGTGTTTTGGTCGAGTGTTTGTGGATCGCCATGATTTCGCCATTCGCAAGTAAAGGCCATCGCGCCCGTTGTGGAGCCTTTGTCCACGATAGCATGCGTATGATTCAAGGACTCGACGGATGTTCTAACCCGGCACCAAGCATCCATCGAGTACCGTCCTTTTCATGCATCAGACACGGAGCGTTTGACCCTCTCAACTCCGTATTTTCAGGAAGCCTTTAGCCTGGCCTGGCTTACGCGGAGAGAAAAGGACCGCGTTCGCGACACACAAGGTCCATAAGTTCGTTCCACACCCTCGCCCTCCTCGCGTTGAGGTGGGGGTGGGTATCGTCAAAGTCGTATTTCGTCAAGAGGTGGTTTTCGTCATTCGTTTACTCCTGTGTGCAAGTCTGTCCTGCTTGGTTCCTTCGTTCGTTCGTTCTGTTCGATGACAGAGGTCCGTGGCCATAGTAGATGAGGGGGTGGTGATGGTGATGATGCTTTAAAACTTGGGCCCTCTCCTCCGGGCGGTATATTTCGAATCCGTCTTGACTACCTTGCCTTTATTCCTCATCTTCTCCTTCTTCTTCATCACCCACGCCTTACTGCCCTTGACGTCGTCCGGGGCCCCGCGCCGGCCTCCGCCACCCTTGTGCGCCGTGGACATCTTGGCTTCCCGGATGCGTCTACCGTCTTCGATGTCGACGTTATCCATGTTCCTGACGCGCTCGGTGATGTCGCCCCCGCCGACGCTGAGGACGAGATACGTCTTGACGTTCTTGGTGCCGCCGTCGTCCTCGAGAATGCCGGCGCCGAACCCGGCGCGCACGGCCGCCTGGGAGATCATGGTCCGCTGCGCGTCGTTCTTCGGGTAGAACTGCAGGACGGCGCGGCCGCCGCGGCGCAGCGACGCGTAGAGTCCGTCGAAGAACCGCCGCAGCCGGCCCTCGGGTGACACGCCGCTCGTCTCGGCATTACACAGCCACTGCACCGCGGAGATGCTGATGGCGGCGTCAAACGTGCCCGCGCGGAAGGGGACGCCCTGGCCCATGTCCGCCAGGAACAAATCCCCTTCCACATCCTCCCTCTGCAGCGCAATGTCCAGCATGCTGGGCGATATGTCCATGCCCACCCAAATGTGCCCTTCTTCTGACAGGATCTCGCCCGACAGGCCCGACCCGCAGCCGACGTCGAGGATGAACGAGGGGGAATCGAGGTCGAGGAGCTCCAGTGCGCGATGCGTCATGGAGGCCTGGATCGACTGGATGCGCGACGACGTCGTGTACTTGGCCGAGGCCGTGTCGTTGTAGTACAGGTCCGGCGGGAGGAGGTCTTCGGGGCGAGACATGATTGCGATACTTTTTTGGCGGTGACGCGGAGAAAGTGGGAATTTCTCGAGACTTTCCCTGTTCCCTCCCCGGGACGTTTTCTGTAAATCTTTTGTTTAAAGTGCCACAGGCACAAACGACGTGGTCGATCAAGGGTGATGCATACTGTGCAATGTAGGTTTGTCGTGGTTTGCGTGGGTAGGAGGGCGCACGAAAATTAAAATTTCTGGTGGAGAACTGTGCCAGTCAATTGTCCAAATCGACTCCGCAGCAAGTGGTGGATGGATGATGTGCGCGCAGTCTGGGATTATTTCTGTGGGGACTTTTTTTGGTCCTGGGGGAGGCTTCAGCCTCGTCAAGCGCAAACCCTCCCACAGCCTTGTTGCACACCGAGACAAACTTTCTTAGGTGCTCTCACAAACTGGTGACAGAGAGGCCTCGCGTGCTAGTCCACCTCTTCTAACGATGATATTCCACAATTATACGACGTAGAATTGTGTCTGTTCGTGCTAGGCGGGCAACACACCCAAACAGTGTTGTTTGACTATCCGCAACGTGCATAGCCGTCCATAGAGTGATGGTCGTCGCTTTGAGATATAACTCGGGCCGGATACAGAGTGTTACTTGCATATATTATCTCTCACTCCTCTGGCGTCGTCATCCTACACCTCCCAAAATCTAGGGTTTCTAGGCTGGAATGTCACTCTTTTTTCGATTTGCTCTCGGCGCTTGTACCGCGGTCATTCGGAGGTCTATCGAAGTACCGTGTCCGTGTATCTCAATAGCACCGGCAATCGGTATGATCACAGTACGACAGCGATTAAAAGGCATCAGTACCTCCTCCGGCACTTCAAGACATTTGGGGTTTGGCGCCTGATGGGGTCGACTTGAAAAGATCAAGAGCATTTCAGGAGAGAACCGACTTCAGCCGATCAGTTTCGTCCATTGTATGTACGTTACGTATGTTATGTACATAAATTGTCATTCTTTTCTTTTTCTTTTCTTCTATTGCTGCTGAACACAACTGACTGAATCTGGCGAAAATTTGCCCAAAATGCGCTGTTGCGCCCACTTTCCAAACTTTTCGCCCCCAGAAAAACTCCCCCAGTCGATAGGTAACACCAGGTGAGTATCAAAACGAGTGTGACTAGGCGGGAGAGATTTTCGATTCTACGCCGGCGAGCAAAGCCCACGATTCATACCGAGCCCCTTTGCGCAAGAAAGGGCGGGTAAAAAATTTTGCATGTATATATGTATAATCCAATCGTCGAGGCCGGAGACTTTGTGCATTTTAATCCTTGGTGTTGCGGTCCGAGTCGGCCACGACGGCGTCCACGACGTCCTTGTTGAGACCTTTCCAGTTCGCCTTGCCCCATAGGAACCAGAGAGCCAGAGCGACCAGCTGGACAAAGGCGTTGATCGGGAGGGCGTAGTTCATGTCGGAGCCGTTGATCGGGAGGAAGGACGGGAAGCACAGGAAGACCATGATGTAGGCTGAGTAGATGACCGCAAAGATGTTGATGTAAATGCCCCAGCGGCCCAGAGACCATCCAGGGGGCTCGACCCTCCCTCTGTACCGTGCCCAGATCATACAAGCAATGGCCATGAGGTATGATTGGTACAGGCCGAGAGTTGAGAGCGCCACGATGACGTTGAATGCGACGCTGCTGCCGACGTTGAGGAGCGCCAGCAACATGACGATGAAGACCGGTAGCCAGACCGAGCGGACGGGGATGCGGTGCTTCGGGTCGATGTACGAGAAGTAGGCGGGGAGTGCTCCATCTCGAGACCAGGCCCAAGTCAATCGAGATGCAGACGCAATGCTGCCGAGACAGCAGGCGAGAGTAACGATCATCGATAGGCCCACCATTGCCGAGCCCGCCCTTGTGGATTGAGTCGCATTGATACAGATGAGCAATAGGGGATATCCCGAGGAGAGCAGGTCGTTGACGTCTCCAGCACAGAACAGGAAGACAAGCACCATCCCGTATGCGAGCGCCCCGTTCATGACAATACTCCAGAACATGGCTCTCGGTACTGCGTGTCGCGCCTTTCGCACTTCTTCAGACATATGGACTGCTCCATCGAAACCTGTAGCCACTCAATCAGCTTCCGGAAACTGGCACATATCTCTCGGCGTGTGCTACATGTAACTTACCTACGAAACCCCAGGTGGCGGTAAGCATCCCAAGGTTGAATGAGATGTATTCGTTGTTCCACCCAGAAAGAGCCGACTTCTCCAAGAAGACAAAGTCTGCCGTGTGGCGGGGAGCGAGTGTGACCAACACCGACACGAAGACCACCCACATGATGATGTGCAGCAGACCGGAGAGCAACTCGATCCAGGGAATTGTCCAAAAAGCGTACTGATTCATCAATCCCTGGACAAGAAGCAGGGCGTAGATGATCAAGGTCACATGCCATCCGTGTGGAATGTAGGTTGGATAGTTGGCAATGACAAGTGCCTGAATCATGAGGGCAGCGATGTTGGCCACGCCGGCCAAAAGTGAGATCCACGAGAACCAGGTGATCCAGCCTTGCATCCAGGTGATGAATCGTCTGTGAGATGGAGGCGCGAGGTAGTGAGTCCAATGGTACTGCGCGCCTGCGATTGGCTGTACCGAAGCCATCTCAGCCATGGATGCGACCTGGCACAGCACACCTGAGATGACAACGAAATAGCCAAAGGAGACGGAACGAGGACCGCCATTCCAGAAGAAGTATGCAATGTTTCTATCTGCGATCAGCTTGTATCCAGACAGTGAAGAGGAAGATGTCAATCATACGACGCAATGGCCTCCCAGGACGACATATAACTGAGGGCGAAGAAGAAAATCTGAGCGAAGCTGAAAATTCTCTGCGAATGGTCTTAGCCTTGTGCAGTCAAGTCCTTGTGAGTGAAGGAAACCTACTCGGACTCTCGTCGACGTGTTTCTAGTCCCGTCAGTCCTTTGGCCGCGATACTGCGTTGAAAACTCTCTCTTCTCATCTTCAATGTTGACTTGAGGCCCTTTGACCGGGCTCATCTCGTGGGACTCCATCTTGGATGCAGATAGTTACCGAAATGTCCTAGAAGAAAAGAGGAAGAAGCAGTTGAAGAAGGAAGAGAGGTAGAGAAATGGAAGGAGTGACAGATTCAATGGCCTGCAGGATATGGCTTGCCGATGGTCCCCTGAAAAACGTGGACAGTTTGCCGAGATTGGGCCTAAGCCACGCAACAGCGAACAAGCGTGTAGCTTGTAGAGAGGTGAGACGTTTGAATGGACCAAAGTACGCAGTAGGCTGATAAGGGGGAGGTGGAATTCAAAAGCCATCGGCCGGTTCATACCTCGTGTTGACAACGAAAGCTCGCTTGGAGGAGGGGATGGATTGTCTGGGGAGATCCCACCAATTGGACTGAGAGTGTCTCGAGGCAGAACAGACGGCGACTTGAACTATAGAGAATCCCTGGCTGCAGGTGGCACAAGCAGGGTGCCGTTGAGGAGCACGACTGCATGATTGTCTGGATGGATCGGGTTGCTTCGCTGTAGAGGGTGCAGGTGGGTACGACTTTTCCCCACCCCATATCCCGAGTACAGACTCCAGATGCGTGCTCAGAGGTATCTTTTCTGCGCCTCCGGGTTTCACCACCACAGTAGACCCTGTCGACGGGGGACTGGCCACTGCCGGAAACGCGAAAAATACAACATACTCGAAGGGGAAGTTGACATGCATGGTCCGAGCATGGGTTGGCGAATTGTATGGCCAGCGCAAGAGGACTACTCGGTAGACAAGCATGATAAGGATCACTGACAGGAAAGTCTGCGTCCAGACGTCGTTTGGCGACTCTCGGCAAGAATGTCAGTGGTTTGATGGCTCCCAATTAGGTGCATAAGCCGGGATAGATACAGACAAGGTCGAGACACAGACAAACTAGGGGCGGGGAACCAAAGGATCGAGCAGGGGGCGGGCCGCGGTAGTTTAAAGAGTGGAAACGGATTCTTGTTCCCCGGCTGTGTCGATCAGCCAGTTCATACCGTATTAGGACTAGGGCTTTCTGCTGCCAAGAACCACCAGTTTTGCAACCCCTCAGGCTCTTATCCAGTTCAAGCTTGGGATTGGCTGCCTGTCCATCAATTTCAGGTCATGGCACCGCTATCTTTGTGTTGCAACTCATGTCAAACTACTCGGTACTTGTAAATCTTTGTTCTCGGCTCTCGGGGTCCCTAAAAGTCATGGAGATGGCACTTGGCATCTGGGATACCACCTAGTGAGAGCCCCCAATATGCCGCAAGCCTTCTTCGTATTGCGATCCTGCGGCTTACTGCAAGCCTCCCTCTTTCGACCGCGCTATCATTGACCAGGGTAGCGAGCGTCCAGGGTCGGTCGTCCTTGGGGTTTTCCCATCGGTCAAGACAGTGTCAAGCGGCCCGCTTTGTCCCGCTAGCCTCATGCCATCACTGCGAAATACAACTCTGCTTTCATTGAAATCTCCTAGAGATTCTGGGCAGCATGCCTGAACTAGGTAGAAGCGTTGGCTGCATGTGGGCCTTGCATGTTTGACCCTCAAATCACAGAAAGTCACAGTTGTTATCTGCCTGTCCTTGCCTCGAGCGATGGGATCGCCACCGTTGTGGTGAGCTGATGGGCAAAGCTGTGTGATGAGTCTGGTTGTGAACTTGGTCATTCGTTGCCTCGCAAGCCTTTTCCAGCTCAAATAGCCCCTGAACCGCAATGGTTTTCCGTGCTTGATCTAAATGATCAGCAATTTCTCGCCAGTCGTCTCGGAGGATTGGCGCAAGCGAGCCTGGCAAGCAATGGAGACAGCTTGCAGACCAGTCCAGAGCCCCCGCTCATGGGTGAAGTGCCTTGTTGATGCTGAGAGGCTGAAGTGGCTGGATCACCAGAGTGGGAAGTCAACAGTATTACGACCCATGATAACGTTGTGACTATCGCCCTGTCACAACTTTGACATGGACGAGAAAACCCTTCGTCACCGTTGGCAGTTCATGGAATTCGCCGCGAGCAATGCGAGTGAACATGTCTAGAGTCCAGAACATACCCTTACATAGAGCCTTGCTGTGCAGAGCCCGTTTGAGCCATTCGCTTCAAAGTCGGTCAGAAGGGTCGGGGGATCTTTCTGGCCTGGTCACCTAGTCCGGGAAATGAATCAATGGTGGCGGCCCCCGGCGAACGGCCCATGCTCGTCGCATTGTTTTCCCTTTCCCTTGTGCATTAGCAGCGCTGTTCCTGACACCTGCCAGGGTCGTGGATTGGCCAGTTCTTTTTCCTTCACGTGTTTGCTGTACGGAGTAGGCTTGGGCAACGGGGGCCATCGGCTAGGGCGTCTTTGAGGCATTGACTGCTCCGTATACCGTGCATTTCGTTTCCAAGATCCCAAGTAACAGCGACGCCCAGCTTGGCCGGCAGAGATATACCATATCCTCGCCTCCCCCTTGGGGTCGTCCACTCCTCTGCTACCAGGACTTTCGAAGGAGAGTGTATCTAGTCTATTCACGCAGGACGGTCACTCTCATCATGTCTGGTAGCGATACTGGTCAAGGTGGTATCTATGAACCCCTCCTCCCTCCATTACAAGACATCACCCCAAAGGATCGTGGTCCAATCGCCCTGGCCACGGCAGTGACCCTGCTCGTCATTTCTTCGTTGACTGTGGGCGTCAAACTATGGACGAGATATGCCACGACTCGAAACTTTGGTGCGAATGACATTGCAATGTTTGCGGCTATTGTACGAACATGTTCCTTGGAACGTGCTGGGACAGTCTGCTAATTCGTCTTTGCTGCAGACATTGGCATACGGCCAAACTATTTCCCTCTCCCTTGCCGCTCAGAAGGGGTTGGGTCGACACCAGACTGCGATTCAGGAACCGGATCTCATTGAGTTTAGCAAAGTAAGCACTCCTGTGGCTGCGAATCGTGGTGTTAGAAAGTGGCTGACGTGCCATCAGTTGTTTTTTGCTTCCAACATTCTTCTCATCCTGGCGTTGGCCTGTGCCAAAGCAGCGGTGACTCTGCTTATCATTGCCATCAAGCCGCTACGAGCCATCATGTTTGCCTGTTATGGGATGCTCGGCTGCATTGCACTCTGGGGAGTAGTCAGCGTCTTCGTCGTTGCCTTTCAATGCTCACCAAACCGTTGGTCACTCGGCCCCAGCTCAGGCCCCGACGCACAGACTTGCATCGATCAATATGCGATGCAGGTGGCAGTGCGAGCCGTGGATATCGCAATCGACGTAGGAATCGTGCTCCTACCAGCACTGATGATGCGATCGGTACAAGTTCCGAATGCTAAGCGGTGGATGGTGGTCACACTGTTCGCTATCAGACTGGCGTAAGTTGTCCCAGATCTTCTCTCAATGAACAGCTGACTGAAGACCTTACAGGACACCCGTATTCACAGCAGTCTCGATTGTCGCATACGACGACTTCTATCACTCTGTTCCCCAAGATCGCTCCTGGCACGCCGTCACACCCTCCGTTTGGACGTCCTGTGCCTTGAACCTGTCAATTGTCACGGCCTGCATTCCCTCAATCAAGCGCTTCCTGGCCGACTGGGCCGCGGGTCTCAGTGCCATAACCATATCTGAGCCCTTCGAACTGGAGCATTCCGCTGGCAAGACCGGTGCCGGGCTCACATACGCCGCGGGCAGCGGCATGGGAAGCAAGATCGCCACAAGATTGGGATTTGCGACCACCAGCAAGGCCGAAATCACGTCTACGGTGCGCAGCCGTAGCGACAATGACGACGACGACACGATTTTGAACACATCGAGAAATCGCTCGCGGGGCGCCAACGGGCGACAGCCAGACAATACATCCGAGAGCGTCAAAGGTCTCACGGACGGTGTGATCATGCACTCGATCGATTACCGTGTCGAGTACGAAGACCCGACGATCGATCATCGCGACTGGAGCAGTCGTAGCAGTGGCGGTCGCTGAAGTGCTCCGTGCGAGACCAACGAAGATCGCGGACATGTCATTGACGGAAAGAGAAGGAATAGGATATATATATATACATGTACAACACGATATGATGTTCTGGGAGGCAAGGGTATATTGTCAGCGCAAAGAAGCGACTCTGGTTGTGTACATCAAGTCTACTCGTTAAAAGTCCAACATGGTACACAGTTGGACCGGGAATGTGGCTGGTCAAAAAGCGTGTGCATCAAGGGTCGTTTGGCCATGTCAACACTTTATACAAATACCATTTCTGATCCCGTTGATTGTTCATATTGGACGTGATAACTGAGTGGATAAGTTGTCGATGAAATAAACCTCATACTCCGGTAGTTCCCCGTACTGGTACATTCTGATATGTAAAAGAATCCACCGGCGAGCGATTCGCGGGCGGTGGCCCCTGCTGTGCCGCTCGTGCCAGCCGATTGTGGCCGCCTTGCCGCTTAGCAAACATGCCAAGAACCCCTTTTGAGGCTGAATCGACGTCACTCTGTGCAGGCTTTTTGTCTCGTGTTTGTCAAAGTGTCATTTTTACCCCCCTCGCGTCGGTTGGTCTGTGTATTGACTGAACAGCTTGGTCTCAACGCGACTCCCGAATTCCTCTCTTCCTCCGCCTTCCCCTTCGATGGCCTTTCCCATCTTACCGTCTACCTCTCTGATTCCGGCTATCGTCGTTGCAGACTCTTAATCTTCCGGCCACATCGACTCGGCCTACTTGCGCACACAAACGAATCATGTGGATTCTCCCCATCGTGGGGTACACCGGCCTCATACTCGGCTTCGGATTCCTTACTCTCTCCATCGCTTCGGGCCTCTATTACCTCTCTGAGCTGGTCGAAGAGCACACGGTCCTCAGTGCAAAACTTCTCAAGCGCCTGATTTACGCCGTCGTCACCGCACAGTTGCTCCTCTGGCTCGTTGATGGATTCCCCTGGTACTTGACCTTGTTGGGTGTGGCCAGTCACGGCGTCTACGCGACGAACTTGCGGCATTTCCCTATTGTGAAACTGTCAGATCCTTTTTTCCTCTCGAGTTGTGCCTTGGTCATCCTCAATCACTGGTTATGGTTCAGGCACTTCAGCGATGTAACTACAAGAGGAGGCCCATATCGGGGTGCACCACCGAGCAGCAGGCGGGACTGGTATTCAGCACCTCCAGTATATGATCAACCCACCTTTACCGAGATTGCGTCGTACTTTGGACTGTGCGTTTGGCTCGTCCCATTCGCACTGTTTGTCAGCCTCAGTGCCGGAGAGAATGTCTTGCCGAGTATGGGCTCCGAGTATGCCACGGGCGAAAGAGAAGGTGTTGGCTTCAAGAAGGGTCATAGAAGGAAGAACACCGGAATGGCCAAGGCGGCTGTTCATGCCACGAGAGATTGGGTTACAGAGACGGGTGCGGTGATGGGATTCTGGCACGCTGACAATATTCGGCCTGTATAAGGATAAGAGCCGGATCAAACCATTGGCTCGCTCGACGTTGATCGATATTTTGGCACATGTGGACGCATCACCTCAACTTCGGGAACGAACGCATCCTACATATATGTCGTGCCATCAAACTCTGGGCAGAAGATGAGCTGCAGGAGTATAGCTATCCGTTTACTGGAGTCTACATTGCCGACTATACTAGCCGACAGAGCCTCCTGCCAGAGCCGCGTGGGGAACATTCTAGCCAACGAAGAGCAGGAGTGGCAAGGACATTCAACGCAGACGGAAAGAGTCACGAATTGTGATCATTGCGCATTGATGACAAGCCATGCCAATGCTGGAACTTTGGTGGAACTTTGGTGCAACTTTGGTCGGGACAAACTGCGACTCATCTGAGCCTAAATGCTCCTTGACCGAAGATGCGCAGATCCACCCGGTCCCTACATTTTCGTGGCTTTGCGATGTTCCACGCTCTGCTCTACCTTGTCCATATGGATCCTGGGACATTTTGCGCACGAATATTCGTTACTTGAAAATCTGCCCTGTGGCGACCTGACTTGTCAGATCGAGAAACCGGACCCACCACCGCCAGTTGAGTCCAAGTCGAGGTCGAGGTCGAGGCCTCTGTGTCGGCAGATATGCTCTTCCGCCGCGCTGATCAGCGCGAAGGAGCAGAGTTGGAGTTCCACCACATGATGTCCAAGCCATTTACTTTCCCTGGCATCCTAGCCACATGTAAGGTAAACGCGGAATTTCTATCACTAGGTATTATGTAGAACTCGGACGATCACCACGAACATGATAATGACAATGACAATGTCTGATGCCAATGATATAATATTGATGACAATACCAATGCCAGTGACCATGATGATGAAACCGTCCAGGAGCAGGACCAGGACCAGGACCAGGACGCAGAGTTGAGTCGAGTTGAGCCCAGACGTCCTTTTTCCCAGGTATCGGGTCTCAGCGGATCCTTGATAGATCGGTTGATAGATCGATTGATAGATATATCCAAAATACGTGCGCACATACATACATACATACATACATACATTCATAGATGTATGAGAGACCAGATATTCACGACGCGATCAAAGCAAATCGTAAAATTTGGTACGGTCCTGCAACGCTCGCCTTCCATACCGTCAAGTCGAGTGTACTGTACGTACACACATATAAGCGAGGGAGGAAAATTCCGCCGCTAACCCAGCTGCTCGGTCAGTCAGTCAGTTAGTCAGTCAATCTCTCTCAAGCTCCTCCAACACCACTGACATCAGGCCAGAACCGCCGCTCGACGTCCAAGACATGCTTCCACACTGCGCGGTACACGTCCAGCTTGCGGTTGACGGCGTCCTCGCGCTCGGCCAGGAGGTCGGTCAGCTCGGCGATCTCGGCGACAAAGACCTCAAAGTCGCTGCTCGTCCAATTGGGGATGAAGGCGTCTCGGAGGGCGCCACCGTCCAGGTCGCTCGAGTGGCGAGGAGGTTCGTTGTGATTTTCTGTGTTGGGGGCAGTGATGCTGTCATTCTCGTTGTTCTTGGGACCGTTTTCGTTCACGTCCCTGCCAGTGGTCTCGCTGTCGTTGATCAGCGTGTTGACCTCACTCCCTTCCAACTCTGACATGACACCCTCCGACTTTGTCGTCTCCTTTTCGTTCCGACCCACCTCGGCGGTGGGCTTCTCCCAGAAAGACCTGGCGTAGTTCCATGCGCTCAAATACACAGTCTCGGTCGCCCACAGCACAACCATACCCTCGAGCAGGCTCATACTGGGATCGGTCCAGAATGCTCGAAACAGGTCGATGTATTGCTTTGTGGCCTGCTCAGCGGTAAACATGCCATCGGCGCGTGTGGGCGCGTCCAACTCCAGCCCATACTTGGCAGCGGTGTCAGCGAAGAATCTCAACTCGGCGTGGATGTTCTGCAAGGCGCCACTCAGGCAGTTGACGATGCGCCAGCGCAATGACGTCGATTTATCCGCGACGTTTGCGTAGGGTAAGTCGACGCGGGCGATGAGAGAGCCGATGAAGCCGATGTAGGCTTGGGCGTAGAGCCGGTCTTGGGAGAGCCATCGTGATAATACGTGTTTGGGTAGTTTACCCTGTCCTGCCAGACGAAGGAAGGGGTGTTCTGTCGCGTGCGCGAACTGTTGCGGCGCGGAAGTAAGCAGGATGTTTGTTAGCGATGGCGGTGGACCTGTGCTTATTGGGGGTGACGAGATGTATGGTTGGTTCTGGGCTTGTTGGTGAGAAGGTAGATTGTGGACGTGGCTGCTTGGGTAAAAGTACGTGGTTGTATCGCTGTAGGCGTGAGGGTTTGGTTGTTGGATGTTGTAGCTTTGAGGATTGGCCTGGCTACCCTGGCTCATGACTCCAGTCGTACCAGAAGAGACGGACATCTGGTCGCTCATGACCGATTGACGATGAATGTAGGGCCCAGGAGGGCCCTGGTGAGGGTAATAATGGGGCGAGTTGTTCCACATGGTCGGCGACTGGCTGAAGAGAAGCTGGTCTGCAAGACTGGAATGAGGCACCAAGGCTCCTGGATCCAATCTCTACGCTCCTGACCAAGATGAATCTGCGCAACAGTTGTCCCGAATCTTTCGACCGCGACGCAGAGGCCCAAAAAGTCCTATCCAAAGCCAAAAGCGTCGTCGTCCCAAGGTTTACTACCAATGTCTCTTTCTTTCGGTGAAGCTTCAACGCATCTGGACAGCTCTTGAGGAACGCGCGGTCAGCGGCGGCAAGTGGAGCTTGGCCGAGATGCGGGAGTCAGCAAACCAAGAAGTCGAGCAGGGAGGCAGACCAGCGGATTGGTGTCGCCCGCTCGTGCCACTTCAAAAAGGTCCAGGAATACGGTACGTGTCGAGCCGGTGTCGAGGTAATGCAGGTGGAGGAAGTGGCAAAAAGCACTCCTAGCCTCGCAGAAACCCTGACAACTCTAGAATGAGGAGCCGGTCGAGGTGTAACGGGAATCAACCTCCCACGGCAATGGATATGAAAGTATCTAGTTCGCTAGAACGCCCGTATCCGTCGGCTATCGGGTCTTCAGCTCGCCTCGTGTCGACGACACCCGATAATGTTGTACCCTCGTATCCCAGCTCTTTCGAGGGGCCCGCGAAATTGCAGACCAAAAGCCACGAAATACGGCGTCCCTTTGGCGCAGAAGCGGCAACCAAGGGGGGAAGACAAAATGGCGATCAATTGCGGTCCACGACAATTACGTACAGAGACTCGGTTGCTGAAACGTCCTGGTCTTTGTCCTTTGTCCGCCTCTTTCTCAAGACACTGTCTGCCTCTTATCCTCAAAAGATGTACCAGGCTGGGTCGGGTCGCGGGGGGGATGAGATGTAGTTCTGTCGCGGTGGGGGCAGAGCTGCAAGTGAGCTTGACGAGCGTCCTTTCTCTGGTTGCGATTCGCTCTTCGGTCCCCCGTAGAAACCCAGAAAAGCACAAATTCGGACAATCGGGTAAGAAATCAGGATCCCGCCATTGAAAGGTCCAAACCCAAGTTTTCCGTGGAGTAAGTTCGGCGAGAGTCATTCTTGGGTATCGTTGACAGTTCGGAAAAGAGGTTGCCGAGTTTTTCGAGGTAAAGAGGGTTTATCGACACCAGGGCGACATTGTCAATATACACTCTTGTACCTTTGACTGATTGACCTCGTTCCTTTTGTCTTCTGAGAGCCGACCATTGATCATTTAATCAGTAGCGCATAATCCATCCTGAAAACCGAAGTGGACACAAATCACCCCATATCGACCCCTCCAAAAAAATGCCTCGAGTCTTCCTGATCACCGGCACGTCAACTGGCTTCGGTCATGACTACGCCCAAGAAGTCCTGGATCGCGGTGACATTGTGGTCGCGACAGCCCGCGATCCGACCAAGCTCTCCTTCGCAAACACGACCCCCGACACATACCTGGCGCTGCGCCTCGATGTCACGGACAAAGCGTCAATCAAGCAAGCCTTCTCCGATGCGCTGAAGAAATTCGGCCGCGTCGACGTCGTGGTCAACAACGCCGGGTACGGTCTCGCGGGCTGTTTCGAGGAGTGCACCGAGGAGCAAATCCGGCAGCAGATGGATATCAACTTCTTCGGCCTCCTGGACGTCACCCGCGAGGCGCTGGAGACCATGAGGGACAAGCAAAAACCTCAGGGCGGCTTGATCCAGCAGATCACCAGCGTTGGCGGACAGCGAGGAGTGCCGTTCTTCAGCATCTACTGTGCAAGCAAGTGGGCTGTCGAGGGCTTTACGGAAGCTCTTAGCCATGAGGTGAAGCCCGAGTGGGGGATCAAGTTCACACTGATCGAGCCGGGTGGCTTCAGGTATGTTTGGGCTCTCTCTGCCCCTGCTCGTCATGGTGCGATGGTGGGTGGTTTGTGACAGATAAATGAGTTATCGCCACCACAAACGCACTGACCAGCGAAGCTCTCGTTCATTTCATGCTTGCCTCTACTAACATTTCTCCAGAACAGACTGGGCTGGTCGCTCGATGACGTTCGCAAAACGCCACCCTGCGTATGACCGTATGTCTCTTCTCATCTTGTCCCTCCTCCCCCTTAGCTCGCCCCGTCACCTGTCGCTAACAGATATTTCAGACCTTGACGCCGAGAAGCACATGACAGCCCGCCATGGCAAACAGGCAGGGGACCCTAAAAAGGGCGCAAAAGCCATGTACGAGCTGGCTGTCATGCCCAACCCGCCATTGCGGGTCGCCGTGGGCACCGACGCCTACAAGGCGGTCATGAACAAGTTGGAGCAGTACGAACAGAACTACACAAAGTATGCCGAACTCAGCAACTCGACAGATGTGGACGGTTATGTGCCACCACAATGACCGGCGAGTTCTTCACGGTAAGACACACGGGATTCCCTTGTTTTTAAGACATACGGTAGACTCGATAGAATGCATGAATACTTGATACAGCTGATAAAGGGCCAGTAGAAGGGGTTGGCAGTGCATATTCCATCAGGATCCCGTTTGATCATGAACATGATGATTCCCGAGACAACCTTGTTTTGATCCCAATAGTTGTGTCCACGGTGCTCAGGACGGTGTGTCCTCTTCTGGTGTGACTGCCCATATATGACAATCAAAGCACCCAGACCTGGTGAGGTCTTTTGGCCTTTCTTCAAGTGAAAATATGGGGAAAATTCTGTAATGTACATATACACATTGGTGTGAAATAAGTGAAACAACACAATCATCTGGCCCATTAGTCAATGAACTCATTTCCGATCCCATACCTTGTCGGCTTTTGTCCTCGCCCAACATTCCCCCCATGCCACGAGCACTGAGATCATCATGGCGCTGTCGCGTTGCAGTTTCCTGTGTCGAAAGGCCTGGTCCAACCTGCCGTCTTGCCTTAACACCCAAGATCGTGTACATACACAGAGAACGCCCGGTCTTTGAACTCTGCAATGTCCCATTGAATAAAGCAAATCAAAAAGAAAAGAGACAGAAAAAGATGCAACATGAGGGGTATCTGTAACAAGGCCGAGCAAAATGCTAGAATCGGATAAAAACCCCGGCAGCATACGTCTGTCAATGCTTTTGACTGTGCCATGTTTTCACTTTTCGTACTCGAGCTGCTCATCGAGCTCGAACAATATCTGTAACGTCGTATTCACTTTTCCCTTCCTTTTGGTCGGCGAGCAAAATCGTTGTTGCTTAAGAGTGCTCTTCATTATACTGAAAGACGTTTCAAACCCGCTGTTGCTGTTGTTGCTGCGTAGCGCTAGCCAATTGATGTTTCAATGAATTAATCTCCTCTTGCATATTGTTGATCCGTTGCTCCAGGCTAGTCACATACGCCCATAGGCGCTCCTCTTGCGCGAACATGACTTTGGATGCTTCTCCACTGCCATGGCCGGAATAGCCATGACTCGACAGACTATTGCTGTGAGACGACAAGGGACCACTTCCGCTCATGTGAGTCGGTGGCCCGCTAGGCTGCGTAGGGGGATGGGCCGGCCCGCTTTGGCTGGGTAGAGTGTATCTTGCATCCGGCGGGTTAAGTACATGAGGAGGTGGTAGCTGTGGACCACCCGCAGGCACACCGAGAGAGGAACCTGAACCGCCTCCGGATCGTGTGTGCGATTGTGGATAAAAGGTCGTGCTTGGGGAACGGTTCCTGCCAACGCTGCCTTCGCCTCCGGTGCCTTGACCGCCCCTATGTGTTTGACCAGGAGAAAGAGGTTTGGGGCTCTCTGTCATTGGGTTCTGCGGATAAACAGTACCTGGAGCTGAAGGCCGTGAGCTGGAGGATGACCCGGTCATGGGTGGGAATGGCATTGGTGCGGCCGACGGTACGGCAGCACTGCTGGGGCCTGCATTCTGTTGGCTGAACCCGGTCCTAGGAGGAAACTGTCCACTGGCGATCCCTCCAGGGGGGCGGCCCTGTATCGGGGGATATGTGCTCGGAATTCGAGAAGTGTGGGCCGGGTCGTCTAACGTGTCATCCCCTGAAGGTGCTTGTCGACGGATACCCGGCCGTTTGTCATTGCCCTCTTCATCCTCTAGAGGTTCAGGTTCGCCATAAACCACTCCCTCCATTGACTCATCCACGTCCACTTCTTCTTCCCCGCCAAAACTGCCCATGCTGGATCTCCGGCCGGCGCAACCCCCCGGCCCTTTGTTATGGCGCGCTAATGCATCCCCCCGAGCAAACTTCCGGCCACATTTAGGGCATATATGAGGCCTTTCGCCGGTATGAAGCTTGGTGTGCCGCTTGAGGTCATGAAGACGGCGAAACCGCGATGAACAGGTCGAGCAGACGTAGGGTTTTTCTTGGCTATGCGTTAACAGATGGCTCTTCAGATTGTGATGACGAGTAAACTCGGTGGCGCAATAGGGGCATCTATGTTTCTTGCTGGAAGGAGATTTTGTACCTTGGCGTGTACCGGAATGAGGCAAGCTCATCCCTCGTCTAGCAGCGTTTTCTGCTACTTGCGGCTGTAGGAAGGGGGTTGGATATGAGAGCGCCCCTGTCTTTGCGACATCGCTGGGAGAAGTCGAGCCTGCATCTGCATTCACCACCTGGCGGAGTGTTTCTTCAAGCGCGAGTGGGCTTCCCACGGTGGTGGTCATACCCGAGACCCCCGGCATGCCTTCTAGCGTGCCCAACGTCCCGCCGCTCGACATGCTCGTGGGACTGGTCAGCGCTGCATGGTTATCGCCACCAAAAGAGCCTTCCGGAGCAGAAGCGGGCAGTTGCTGAATGTTTTCTGCGACTACAGCCAGTGGTTCACTGAGGGTAGTGGTGGGATCTGAAGGGATTTCTGGTGCTGCCTCGGGAGCTTTGCTCGTCGCAGTCTGGTCTGAGCCCATGAGCGCACTTCGGGCTTGGTGGAACGGATTTGGACTTGTTCCAGATGTCGGCGGAGGTGTAGATTGAGGTGCCTTCTGTCGTTCCTCGGCGAAAGCGGCAGCGGCAGTCATGAAAGGTCCGTCGAGTCTCGGTCTCTTCCCGGGCCTCGACGACTCTTCAAAGTCGTCGCGCGAGCTAGCCCGGGCTTTGGAAGGAGGTAGCCCTGAGCTGGGAGGTTTAGCGAATATAGGAGAGGTCGGAGCAGAATCCACTGGGGATAATTTAGGCTCTGGGCTGGAATCAGCCATCAAAGAGATCTGAAGTCGCAAAGGTGACTGTAACCTACGTGGAACGTCAGCGCCCAAGTTCTTCAGTCCAATGCTGTATGCATGCCACATCGCTTTTTGTATTCAATAGAGCTGGATAGGCGTCAAGGGTAGCACCAGGAGAGAAAGCAAGGAGGGTTGCGACACGATTACAGAGGCTTGAGGACGGCGTACCTTTTGTAGGGCGCATAGGGTGGACAGTGCTGGGGCTTTCCTAAGCTGAAAAAAGTGGGCTGAGTACGAGGCACCTCTCAGCCTCACCGCGGAGCAGGATGTTTTATTGTATAGAAGGACAAGTCGAACAACAGACGCCGACGAATGCCTGTCCCTTTCTTCTCCTATCTCTTAGACACCCAACCAAAAAGAGTGCGCAGCATGTTATGAGACGCACTGTATGAGTAGGCCAGTTTTTCAGTGGCGCCTTTCGTAGGATCGAATTGCGGAACGGGTTTTCCAAGAGCCAGGCTGAGGTATATTGAAATATGTGTATTATGTGTTCGGACGAATGAACAGCTTCAACCTCAATTCAAAGAGCGAATCCGACCGAGCTTCGAGGGAGCAGGCGATGAAGAGAACGAATGTGCGAAACGGGCGAAAGTTGCAAAGAGGTCAGGATTCGACGGTGAGGGGAAATGGTTGAGGAATTGCGCGCCACTGAATGCGATTGGGATATAGCTTGGGGATCAGCGGCCCAGGAGAGAGAGGGTTCTGTTATTTCGCTGTGTTCAAGTCGTGTACAAAAAAGGGCGAAGGGAAGGACTGAAGCGAGGAGGGTAGGAGAATAACTGGTAGGAAGGTGTGTGTTTGACGAGCGCTGTTAGGATCTCAACGGGATAGCCGAGTTGAAATGACGAGAACGTTTGACAGTTTAGCTAGCTGCAATCTGATGGATCGCGATTGAGAGCGGGGATTCAAATTTCGAGAATGTGAGAGGCTCGTTAGATAGAGGTTGAACTCAAAGATTGTCAGGTCGTCAGATCGTTGGCCCTCATACAACAGAAGTTTTTGGTTTTTCTGGCAGACGGCTCGCGACCAGCCGAGTGGAAAAGGATGGGAGAGATGAACGACAGGACTCGTGTGGTTGTGAACCGTTCCAGTGGTCGAGGGCTGCAGGCGATGGAGATGGTGACGGTATTCGAGTGGAGCACCAGCAGCAACAGCCAGCAGCAAGGAGAGGTCGAGTGGCTCAGTCAGGCAGGCCCGTGCTGAACAAACTAATAAAAGGGTCCTACTCTTGGGCGCACCCTGGCTGGTGGGTTCTGCTTGGAACGGCGTTGTGGTTTGGCTGGTGGGACTTGACTGGGCTTTGACTTGTGCTCGAGGATCCTCCGAGCCCACCGTGTTATTCTGGTTCGACGGAACAAAGAGAAGGACGGAGAGTAGAAGGATGATGAAAGAGGAAAAGAGGCGCAGGCAAACCGAATCGTGGTATGCAAGTGGGATCGGAGACTGGGGTGGGAGGAAAAGAGGCAGGTTCAAGAAGCCCTGGCAGCTAAGGGCTGCAGGACGCTGGACGTGGATTCGTTTTAACTTGTCTCTCTTTAGCCGGGTGCCCGGGGTGGCCACAAGCGGCTTGAAGATCGCAACAGAAAAAAGATAAACAGGTGGCGTCGTAGACGGAGGAGACGAGGACACTGGGCTACCCCGTAACACCCCCAATGTCGCTTAAGTCTTTTGAGCCACTGATTTGCGGTGGCATCTCTTGATTGACTTTGGACGGTTTAGATGTGGCACATGAGAGGAGCAAGGGCAGCGAGCAAGTTTGTGGAATGACGAAGAATGATTCGTGAGTTAGGAGAATTGATTGACAAACGTCCATGCGAAGGGATCAAGTGTGGAAGTGTGGCAGAAGTGGCAGAGTGGCAGTGTTGAGGAGCTTTCAGCCAGTGACGTTGCCTTATGACGCCCTGATGCCCCCTCGGCCCCAGGAACGGGTGCCCGCTGCAGGTGCAGGTGCAGCTTGGAGGGTGGTGGGTGGTTCAGTCAAGAGGCTTGTTGACTCTGGGGCCATACCTACGTGCCTACCTAGGTACCTATGAACCTAACATCACGTACCTACACTGCCCTCAGAGCTGCCTACATGGACGAGTAAGGATTCCTGTCCGTTGGACATGCCTCTAGTGACTTCTCTAGGGACTATCTTCGAGCCTCCCCCGACAAGCTCTCTAATCTCCTTGCTCTCACTTTGTCTCCTCCCTCCCAGCGATCGATTGACATCCACGGTGGAACATCCATCCATCCATCTCCCTAGGATTCCCAACTCCCGAGATGACGCCATGTCATCGGTGGCTGCTGGTGGCTGGTAAGGGCCCAGCGCAGCTTGGAGCGCCTTTGGCAATGGTTGCCCATCTCAGCCAATCGTCCTCCTCATCTCCAACCACACTCACCTAGGGAGCCCACCAACACCACCACCACCATCACTAGTTCGTCTTGTGAGCTAGCTCTTGGTGAGCTCTCGCCAACAACGTCACACGCTCTTGGACATTGTTGGTTAGGATCCAACTCCGCTCCATTTTCTGCTTCAACTGGTTTCTCCCAAATCGTCGAGGTGCTGTCCTATTTCGGCCAGGTTGTCGACTCGACTTGCAAAAATCTTGAGGTCTTTTCTACGAGAACAGGCTGGGTGGCGTGCACTAAACTGAAAGAAGACCCTCCCCACGACTCATGATCGATACAGATAGGTGGACAAGGCTTTCAGGTACCGCTGTCCTGTGGCTGACGTCCCAACGCTGACCATGCGCCCAGTCATCCAGTCTCACTGAAAACTTCCCGATCCCTTCCCTCTGAACTGTGATCTTCATTACCTTCTTAGCGGTCAAACCCAGGGATTACGAGTAATCTTGTCCTGTACGAATACGCAGTCTTGTCGGATTTTTCTCCCAGTGACACCAGAAGGGAATACTAGATTGGACTGGGCGTCTTGGTCACCATTAGGACGTCGCAGATCTCAATGGACTGTGGATGATTGCTTGGATGGCCAGCCTCGCAAAGACGGCATCGACTAAATACCTCTGAGGTACCTTGTACAGGGGGTTATGTCTCATGGACAGGAAAAAGCCGTTGTTTGATCCCTATACTCGGTGAGACATGCTCAAGAGCATCCAAACGCGGTCACAGTACTCGGTACACGCCTTCGAGTCCTCGTACCAGTACGGAGTACTCGTGTGCAGGCTCAAGTGGGCTTCAACTGCCCAACTAGCGAACGGGACAGGGAATACCCATGCTGCACCCGCAGTCATCCTTGCCTGGCCTTGTGGCTTGTTAGGCTCCCCAACCTCCAGTGCGCCACTGGAAGCTGCCGGTTTCATCTAAATCCCGAGCTCGCCGATTACCCCGAGTGATGAGCCTCAAGAAATTATCAGCCAGCCCAACGACACGCTTGTTACCAAACAGACTTGGGAGTATAATAGTGTTTTGGCATTCACTTCCAATGTCAAATCAGATCAAGCTGCTAGCTCGGAAGATTCCAGCTGATATTATGTGGCAGCTCTATCAAAATGAAATCTGCTGAGAGCTTATAACGCAGACGCTCGGCTTCATCACAAACGACTATTATGTCAGATAGGTAGGTCGTTTGGCCGGAGGGAAGCCAAAACCCATGCCTGTTCCACAGCAAATCCTCGAAATTGTTCTTTTGGTCCTGAAACGGCAGATGCGCCGGTGCTGACCCACTCTACGCTGGTTCGTGGGCCGAGACAGTGTCCTTCTTCAACCGCTGCATCGCTGTAGATGTGGCGGCCGCTTCGAAATCTCTGTAATTAGGGCTAGCCCCAGTTGCGATGAGATCTGAGATGCGTTTTCTTTCTCGGGTCACTTCGGACAGATGACCAGATATACCAATTCAGGGACTATTATTTGGAGCTGCACTATCGAACTCTGTGAACAGGCACCACTTCAGCTTCCGTCCATGGTGTAAGTCGATCTCCAACCTTGATGCTAACAGGCGGCCAATGAGAGGAATCATCCGCCAGGTGGCCAGCTTTCAAACACATGTGTACGCCAAACCACACTCGGCCGTCCTTGCGCCTTGTCTTCGCCAATGTACTGAACGGTTCTTGCCTCCTCTGTGCGCTTTTCTGATCTACGCAAACCATTTGACATCGTTGGCATGGCCCCAGGACTTCGAAGGCATTTGCGCGGTCATCTCCAATCTGGACGCTTGCCCACTCATCCTCGATGTATGGCGACTCCATTTGCCCTCGTTCAAGGTCCTCAGCAATGACGACGTTGGCACGGAAAGAGTCGGCGGTGACAGCCCTGCCAATGCCACCGTTCTGCTTGATTTGCTCATTCAGACGATTCACACTGGACCGAGAAACAAGTAAGATCGGGCTTTCATTGGACAAGGCGATTGATTTTCCGACCTCGGTGGCTTGTTTGCCCTGCTGCAACCCAGGCACTCGCACTTTAGCCTGCCTGATGGTACCGTCGTTAGGAAACCTCGCGAGCGTACAAGGAACTCCTAACGCTTCGGTGAAGAAGTCCACTACTTCGGGAGAAGTATAGACATGGACTTGGATATTTTCGCCACATACATTGGATGATCTGTTGGTTGTGCGTTCACATTTGGTAATCGTGTCGGCGCGGACGGCGTGTGAGTCCAAACTGAGGACGAGCGTCCTTTTGTTTTGCGAAGACCCTGGCACGAACGAAACCCGAAGGACGTTCCTTTGCACGTCAATCTCGGGCCAAATGAGTGCCATCCTGGGGAAGCGCTTCTGACTCAGTGCAAAGTTGGTGCCCTCGTGGACGAGACACCATTCTCGATCCCACGCAAGTCCTTTTGGTCCCACTTCCCACAGCACATCGCTTGGGACTCTATATGCTGCGCAACTTTTGATTGGGAAGACCGACAGGCTCTCTACCACGAAACTTTGTGGCCTCAGGGTTGATCCGATCACCGGTGGATGCGTTTCCGTCTGTATCGGTCCGTCGCGGTCCATGTAGAACTCTTTGATAAACTCGAGGAAGGTCGCCACATCCTTCATGTTGCTCATTGCACCCAGACTCAGCCGGATTATACCCGTTGGTTTCCCGTTGATAATGTCGTTGTCATCTCCGCACCGTTGACCTTGCGCATAATTCTGTTGCAACTCCTCCGTAGAGAGCCCCAGGTCGCGAGCGACGCCGCCAGGATTGCAAACACCCCCAGTCCTGAACTGTATACCCTTGACGATTCCAAGTTTCTCGACCTCAGCATTACTTATATATCGGCCGTGGCTGTCTCTCAGGTTGAATGCGATATTTGGTCCCTGGGTGGAAGAATCCGTAAGTGCTTCAGAATAGATGATGCAGATCCTGCTCCCGTTGGCATGGCGAAGGCTGCGCACCTGATCTCGCAGTGCTGAGGCCAGGAAATTTGCATGTTTCGAAACGTTATCCATGGACCCATACAGTTCCCTGTGCACATGCAGGGCTGTCTGCAGTGCAATGATGCTGTGAAATGCCACAGTCCCATCCTCGAGGCTACTGTGCAACGACGGGGTTTTCTTCGCGTGCCAGCTATCACCCAGCACAGCTACCGAGTCTACCGTCCCCCCACCAAAATAACTCCGCTGGCGGAGGACATCACCCGAGGCCTTCCGGACTATTAGAGCTCCCAGATCGGGAAACCCGAAGATCTTGTAGAAGCTCAAGGCTGTGAAGTCGGGCGCGGCTGAGTCGTCCGAAAGATCGAGCGGAGCCGTTGATACCAGGGCGGCAGCGTCGAGGAGGGTATAAATGGGGTGGCCAGAAGGCTGCGTGGCGCCACGTATCCTCTGGATCCATTCCAGTGGCAGCCGACGGCCAGTCATGTTTGATTGAGCGGGATAGGCAAAAAGGGACAGATCTCTTTGAATGGCGGAGGGTTGACTATCCAGAACGTCCAGCCATGCATCCACCTCTCTGTCGCTGGCAAAACAGGTTGTGTCCCTCGTCGCCAATTCTCTCACTCCAACAAGGCTCGTATGGGCCTCGACATGATAGTAATATCTGAACCCAGATGCGGAGTCTCGAAAGGCATCTCCAACGAGCTTGATGGCTGCTGTCGCGTTGGGGACGAATATCAGGTCGAACTTGTTGGGGTCAGCATTGAAGAACCGCAAGACTTGAAGACGAGCGTCATCAATTCGACGAGAGGACAGTTGCGAAGACGCTGACGCAGAGTGAGGATTGCCAAATATGTTCCCCGTGAGCTCTTCGGAGTATCTTTGAATCAGGGATTTTGCATATAGCGTGGTCCCCGCGTGATCGAGGTAAGTCGTGTCTTTCAGTTGAGGATATTCCGCGTCTCTGATATCGTCAATGTTGGTGATGTAACCCGTTTCCGGGTTGATTTCTGCCACAACTTGCATTCCGCGCAGGGATGAAGCCAGTTTTGCGCCGTCTGTCATGGCGGCCATGGCCTGAATACCTGCCTATCTCGACGGGCTGATGTCGGCGGAGTTGCACCGCCCATTGATTTCTTGAAGAGACAGAATGAGCGTTGAATATATCAGCTCTGCTCCTCAGGAATTCAACCAGGCATGGAACAGAAGGAAAGGAAGCCGTAGATGTACGACGAGTACGAACTCTGATGAGCGATGAAGGGGAAACAAAGTCATGGAAATGGACAACGAACGAGGTTGAAGAGGGACAACTTCGGCCTTCTCCGATGCCCGATATTCCCGTCATCTGATTGGTGCGGAAACTCGCTCTTATCTCATTCTGAACGGGCCAGTTTTTCCACTGTTCTTGTCATGCTTGTTAATAAGAATGGTCAGACAAGCACTAGTCAACCAGGAATAACTCTTTATGGCCCATTGATCACGGTGAATGACCGGCGATAAAGTGAGGGAGGGGCCTTCGATATACTTGAATCCCTTGAAAATGCTCACCGGGAAATACAGCATCTCACCTCTGAGACTTTCGTACATCGTGAGGGGAAACATGGTAAAGCCATGTCATGTCCAGCTGTGACCTGCGAGCAGCATCCTCATCTGCACTCAATCATTGTCGGACTGTTGAGTACAGAGCTCAATATGCCAGATTGGTGTGTCGTTTCGATCAAGGAACCGTCTGCCCTCACAATAGATGATGCTTGAGGAATAAAAAACATCTCTGCAGCATGCCGCGAGGACGATAGTAGCCTTTATGCTTCTTCAAACGGACCAGAGTCTCTGAATTCAAGGGAAAAGGAGCCCAAAGGAAACGCTGACCAGGCTGCCTTAGTCCAAATCCAGCCATGAGGCTGAACTTTGCCGATTTCGTCCATTTCCTTGACGTCGGAGACTCTTCTCGCTTTAAGGGGATTTTCTGCTCAATACTCCTCGTGCTCCTCTCCTTTCTCCACCCATACTCCGCGATAGATGATGATGATGACAAAATGTCCGGCGCCGATGATTTTAAGGTCGTCAGGGTCATCAATCTACGGCATTTGGAAATGTCCCACTGCCGACACTATCCACTTCCAGCACGGAGCTCGAGCAAGCGTGCCTTGGCTCACCTTTTACCCTGCTTGGCTCGAGCATTGAGGCTAAATCGTCCTTGTTTGGGACCTTCTATCACTTGTTGGGATCATATCCCCGGACATCAGACAGGTCCATTCGGTATATCCTAGTCTGAACCTGGAATCTTGTGGCTTCGGGCCCCTGGATCACCCTTGGTTGCCATTCGACCGCCGCCAGCCAAGGGCTTTCGGGCTGACTGTCGACCTTTGAGAATGCTCTTGTACGAGGCTGTCGCTTTTGGATGTAACCAAAGTCATTGGTTCTGGTTGACGATCGACCACTATCACTGCCGTGGCTGAACCTCCATGACCGACCCCAGATTCCCATTTTCTCCACCTTGAGAGGGCCCACCCTCCATACTCGTTCCTGCTTGCGGCCCTCTCATGCTATTACCAGGTATCGCCGTGGCTATTGTCGCCTCCAGCTAGGGTGATATAGGCGGTAAGCGAGGATAAATTTGCCTTCATCATGTTGTGATCGCGGCTGTTCCTCGGAGGTGTCCCTGCAAGAAAGAGAAGTGAGAGAGGTATAAGTCCCCTCGGCCGCCTGTGAGGGAGGGGAATGCTTTGCTCTCACTATCAGTGTTGTTGAAGCCGATATCGTGCTCATCATGGCTACTACCAAGATATTCAAACCGGCTACCCATGAGGTTGGAGCCTCGGATCCTATTCTCACTCGCATCGCCGAGGAAGACAAAGTGCCCTGGTTTCGCAAGCGGAACTTGCGATATCTCTACTTCATGCTCTTTCCGACATGCATGGGCATTGAGTTGACTTCTGGATTCGATTCGCAAATGATCAATGCCCTGCAGATTGTCCCGTCTTGGATTGAATGTACGACCCCTACCAGACTGATATGCGGTAAGACATAGGCTGATCTGTGGCAGACTTTGGCAACCCTCAGGGGTCTCTGAAAGGCATCATCGCCGCGGCATATTCTCTTGGAGCCATCTGCTCTCTCCCCTTCATTCCGATTGTAAATGAGAAACTCGGAAGAAGAGGATCGATCTTCCTTGGTTCGCTCATCATGGTCGTTGGCGCCCTCATCCAAGGGTTTGCGCGGAACGGTCAGTCCTCAGGTTGAAGCTTAGTGAGAGCCATACTAACAGAGGTTTAGTTGGCATGTACATCGCCGCACGTCTCATTCTGGGTTTTGGAATACCGACCTGCATTGTCTCTGGCTCTGCGCTGATTGGAGAGCTCGGGTATCCCAAGGAACGCCCTGTGTTGACGTCTCTGTTCAACGTGTCCTATTTCATAGGTAAGTGTCTTCCCCGCCGAAGAGAAATCTCTTCAGTCCGTATCGGCTGACAAGGAGACAATGGCAGGTCAAATTGCTGCTGCTGGAATCACTTTCGGAACGAACAGCATCGCAAGCAACTGGGCCTGGCGGATTCCATCTCTGCTCCAGATGGCACCGTCAATGTTGCAGCTTTTCTTCGTCTACTTTTTGCCCGAAAGCCCACGTTGGCTGATCACAAAGGACCGCCCTGAGGAAGCGTACGACATCCTTGTCAAATATCATGCCGAAGGCGACCGGGACTCTGAGTTTGTGCGTGCGGAAATGGCTCAAATGCAAACGACCATCCGTCTGGAGCTGGAGGCGTCCAGGAAATCTTGGTTGTCCGTCGTCTCTTCCGCGGGCATGCGGCGACGTGTCTTCATCTCGTCGTTCCTCGGCCTATTCACCCAGTGGTCGGGCAATACGCTGATCTCATATTACCTCGGTGACCTGCTGGCCATGATCGGTCACACCGACAGCATCTTCAAGCAGAAGATCAATCTCGGCAACTCGTGCTGGTCCCTTGTCTGTGCCTTTACGGCCGCGATGCTGGTGACGCGCTTCAAGCGCCGGACCATGTACCTCGCGTGCACGTGCAGCTTACTCGTCGTCTACATCTGCTGGACCGTGACGATGCAGCAATCCATCTCGGCCGTCGACGCCGGTCGGTCAAACACCGCGGCAGGCACCGCGACCATCTTCTTCATTTTCCTCTACGCACCGTGCTACAACATCGGCTACAACGCCCTGACGTACACCTACCTCGTGGAGCTCTGGCCGTACGCGGAACGGTCTCGCGGCATCGCCGTCTTCCAACTGTTTGGCAGGCTGGCCGGGTTTTTCACCACGTTTGTCAACCCCATCGGCCTGGACAACATCAGCTGGAAGTGGCTGATCACCTACTGTTGCTGGCTGGCCTTTGAGATCTGCTTCGTGTGGTGGTTCTTTCCCGAGACCGCGGGCAGGACACTGGAGGAATTGGCCTTTTGTAAGTGTTGCCGTCCATCATCCAGAGAGGCTGCCTTCCCTCAAAAAACCCCCTCTCTCCGTGCCCTACACTTCCCTACTCCTATTTAACCTTGTACCCATGAGCCTACCGGGTTTATCTACTAACACCTTGTCTGCGACAGTGTTCGAGGACAAAGCGCTCGCCGACCAGGCAGTCGTGGCTGTCGAAAAGGTTGTGCACCACGAAGACATGGACCCCGTAGCCATGGACGTCAAGCGCGCCGAGATTGGCCACGCCGAGGTCGTCGAATCCGTTGCGGAGAAGGTGACGAAGGTGTAGTGCCTACAGAATTACGGTTTCTCTGCAGGCCAGTCAGTCCCTCAAGACTTGGGCCTTGAGGCTTGAGGCTTTAGTTGGAGTGAATCAGGGTATTTGTTGGATCTGGTGCGAGCAGGCAATACCACATGACATACATCGGGGGCGAAGAGACGGGATGGAAGCAGAAGATATGAACTGAAGTGAGTCGGGAGCAACTGCGGTTTCGGCTGGGACGTCTATACGAGGTACTCTTCGCATCGTATATTCCGAGTGGTATTCGACACAGGGACGGAATACCTAGTACCCTGTATATGTCTATACGTCTATACATCCCAGGCCAGACTGGCTGGACGAACGATACCTCGTAGCATGGCAGCAAATTCGTCATCTTTTATTCTGATTTTTTTTCTCTTTATGTAAAGATTGCTATGCAAAGTCGTTTCGCTGCGCGCGCGAGAGATAGAAATGCTATGCACTGTCTCATTTCCGCCCGTCCGCTCCCTCAATATCCGCCGGCGGTCAATGCCCTTACCCAGGTGAATAGCCACGTCCGAACCGTCCAAGCCATGCCATGCCACCCCCCACAACCAGCGTCGCCGTCGCTGCATCGCTAAAATCATTGTAAGCCAATCGAGCGGCCGAAACTTCCCCGGCCGGCCTAGATTCGCAGCAGATAAAAGAAATTCGTGAGTTTTAGTAGTTCTGGAGCCTAGTCCACCTCTTTGCGTAGAGCTGTAATCATTGCTATGGGTTGCATGGGAGTCGGAGTCTGTCTCCTCCAATTATACGACGTATCGGTGGCGACTGCTGCTCCTCCTCGATCCAGAGCGAGAGTGTCCCCTTCGGCTGCTGTGTCGCGATCGTCTGACCTCCTTTGTGACGACGACTCTCTCATGTCGGTGGAGGAAGAGTGCCAGCACGAAGGTGAAGAAGAAGAGGATGGTATTCATAATCCCCAAAGCCCAGGAAGCCTTCAGCATAGCGCAGTTCTTATTGAGATGTAACGCCAATGACGAACCGCTGCTCCTTCCGTAATATCCAAAGGGGCCGAGGTTGATGAAAATGGAACCAGAGGTGAAGTTGCCGCAATCGGCGTCGTCAATGCCACGGAGTTCGACATCAGCGGCAATGAAGGCGCCCACGAAGCAAAGATCGACGAATGCGACGAAGAGGGCCGAGCGACGGGTCGATCCGAGACGGAGGAGCGTCACGATGGCCCAAGCGCAGGCTAGGACCGAGACAATAAACAACGTCAGGATGAACGACGGTGTCAGTTGGTTGTTGTCATCGAAGCCATCGACGAACCATGCCTGAAGAGCGCTTGTCAGTTGATGTCTACCTTGAATAGTACCTACATAGATATCTGAGGGGAAAGACAGGGACGTACCAGCATGCCAATAACAGGTATCAATGTGACAATCTCCACGAACCTCCAGAAGCAGAAGAGTAGCCCGCCGAGCATCTTGTCTCGTAATAGCTGGGATCCAAACACTGGCTGTATAGATAGTAGTGCGACTCAAAGACGGTGAGGCCGTCGAAGAAAACTGAAGCCGATGGTGCTTCCGTCGCTTGATATTCAATGCGTGCGGGGTCGGGGTGATTGGCGAGCGCAAGTCCTGAACAGATGGGAGAAGCGCAGGAAGCAAGATTCTTGGAAGAGATCCCCAGCTCCGGATAGGATATACACAAAGTGCGAAATGAAGTAGAAGAGAATATTATTTGGGGGGGCAAGATAGGAAAGGTACGGACAAGAGGAGGCTGGGCGAGTCGTTGAGATCAAAAGGGTCTGGCCATGAGGGCGCATCCTTTATCACTCCGCACAATATCACAGCATAATAGCAGTGGCTGGGCGCCGGGTACCATGATCCATGGGGGGGCATCATGGGCAAATAGCTCCCAAGCTAAGCGGTTCCACGTCGTCATCGCACATGGGCAGCCGTGGCAGCCACAGGCACCGGCATCACCCGACAGGGGGGCAGCTGGAACAGCCGGGGACACCTGGAGCGAACTATTGCAGATGGAGTTCGGCAACTCATCCTTCCTGTGGCTGCGATTGGTGGCTTGCTCCCTTTACTGGCCTCTTCCTGTTTTTTCCCTCTTTGCTTCTTGCATTATTGGGATGCCACAAATCTGGGAACGAAGCCTGAACCAACAGCTCCTCCAGACCGGATCGACACCTATCACTCCTTGTATCCGCTGCAGATGGCGTATTTCGTACCTCATACCCATCAGTGTCGCTGACAAGACTTCCCGCCTGTGCAGCACGCCGTTTGAAACATGTACTCGGTTGGCACGATCACTCAACACCCTTCTGCCCTCAAACGCCAACTGCCATCTTGCGATCCTCAAACCCTGCATATGTTCGTTCTAGTTGGACCGTTGGAGTCGGGAATATTGTAAAATCTGGTGCAAATTTCAGTCCCACAAATGGCGCAGGAGGCAGAAGTTGCAGGCGCGGATCGACAGCAAGGTGAACTTCCCACTGCTGAGGAGGTGCTTGCAAATCCGTCCGATCAAGAGGCCCTGGAGCTTGGCTCGCGGCTGACAGTAACAATCACAAACCAAAGCACTTCAAGGACGTATCGGTGGTGGAAGAGACATATCTCCATGAGCGTCCCTCACGTTACCTGCCGTGACCACTTGGGTAAGGATATGTGCTTGATGTTGTCGCCGAGACACATGCGTCTCTCGTCACTTCTTCGACCTGTTAACAACTAACTCAGCCGTAATAGCGAACGAAAGGACGTTTTTGGGTTACCTGCGAACAGCTCAGGCATTTGCTATGGTAGGAGTGATTCTCGCCCAAGTCTTTCGATTAAACCACAGTCTCCATCCAAACCCGCACTTGGGCTTCTTTGTCGTCGGTGTGCCGCTATCGTGCGTGTGCCATGGCGCCGCTGTTCTTGTCTCTGGTATTGGGGCCCTGCGATTCATTCGGCATCAAAAGACCATGGCTCGTGGTTATGCTCTATCTGGCGGATGCGAATTGTCGAGTATCGGGATGCTAACCACTCTTGTCAGTACTAATCTCTTTCCTTACATATCTCCGTGTCTGCTAACATGGTCCAGATTCTCCTCAGTATCTTTCTCCTGACGCTGATCATAAGCATCGACAAAGGTTGATTGCAATCAGAATCGTGGTCCGTGCTCCTCTCCAGTAATCCTGCCCGCAGACTCAATATTACGAGGAGAGGTTCCGAACAGTTTGCGTGGGTCCAGAAGAGAAAAAAGCCTTCCCGGTGAGGGTTACCTTCACAGACTATCCACGGCATTCGATGCCGGGACCAAAAGGTCTCTTTGGTGCCCTCTGAGAGCCATAGCCCTTCCGGATCGCGCGTATATTTGCCTTGGCTGCGGCAGAAGCACAGACCCCGAGCCATTACTCGCTCTATAAATCACCTCACCCTATCCCTCAACCAACTGAACGATGTGGCCCTGGAAGACCCTGACGACTATGCCGAGTACGTCGGGCTGAAAAGGGAGTGCGGCAGCACAACGCATGACCACCCGTTTCCCGAAAGGCCACTCGAAGGGGGACATCCCTCCGCAGTGGATGCCATACAGAGTTTGTGGCAATAACGTGCATAAGTGGCCTTTTGCCTAGCTCTATAACTCCGGATCCCAGTTCCACACGACTAGGCCAATGCGTTCTGAGAACCGAGCGAAACCATGGGGGCTAGATGTGCGCTCGGGCCAGATTGAGCAACTGCAACCCTAATGGAGTGGAGAATGATCGCACGATTTCATCGGATACAAGCTCTATGATGCTGAGCATGCGGAACTATCGAAGTTCACCTACGTTCCAGAGCACAAATTCACCGGAAAAGGTGTTGAACAGATGCTGCTTATCACCCTCATCACCCTCTATCAACGTCCTTGCTGAACAAGGATCGAAATCCATTGTCTTTTTCCCCTTTGGCTCACCACTCCTGCACCATCTGTTGGACCATATCCACCCTCCCCAATCCCTTGAGTCTGCCTTGCTACCGGCAAAATGCCTGACATCTTGGACGGGTGGTTCCGAAGCGGTCGCTGAGGCGTTCTGCGCAGGCTTTCCCTTTAGGTATCGCCCACCAGACGGCCGGGCAATATCATATGCGACCCAAACCCTGACCCATTGACTCACTGCACGGGGACTTGCCAACGACTGCTTCCGGATGTGAGCCACCTCGCTAATCCTGTCAACGACCCTGCGGCACACCCGTTTGCGTCCAATGGGTATCCAACAGAAGCGCCGGGCAAGGCCATCACGTGACCTGACCTCCGCCCACGGATCCATAATCCATTCCCTCCGCCATTGGGTACATCTGGCATTACCAATCGTGGTACCCTAGGTCGAGGGAGGACGGCATGTACACTAGAGCGGCTTTGAAGGTTTGCCCATGGTTGGAATGTTGGTAAGTGGCCGACTGAGGGGTTTGGACCGACCCGAACGTCTGCCTTTCTCCATGGCGGAGCATCAAAATGCTGCGTCTGGACGTATACAGTCTTTCAACGTCATTGTCGTTTGTCTATGGATGGCAGTGCTCTGTCTCTTATCACCAAGGCAATAGTTCAGCAGTCGCTAATGACCTGAAAACCCTTGTGTGACCTGCTGGTCCATCCATTTGCCTTGTTTAGCGCAATGCGAGCATCTTCATATATGAATCCCACTTGCTCTCATGGTCATCGAAGTTTGATCTCCAGCTTCTTCCCTCCAGCATGTCTGTACCTACTGAACAGTTTTCACATCTCGCTTTTGTTGAACACAACCCTGACGCACGGTTGCTGGATGAGATGCGGTTCAACGAGACCACCCTGGAGGAGAGGAAGATCCTCGTCAGGGACATCATCTCGTCGTTTGACGCCTACACCTTGCCGGCAGAATTCAGACCGGACGTCTATGAAAGGATCACGGAAGAGCAGGCCAGAAGAGCACCCACTGAATGGACCATCCGAGACGACTTGCATGCCACTCTGATGCAATGGGGATCCCACGATGAGACCGCATGGACACTGCTGCGTAAGATTTCACCCAGGGATCGAGCACTTGGGTTTGGACAAAAGCTGCGGAGAAGGTTCAACGAGCAGTTCGACCGGTATGATGAAAAAGTGGCCCATGCACGCCGTATGACAGCAGCAGAATTGAGGACAGAGATCGCCGAGATATGTACCGAACTTCAAGCCCTTGCACGTGCTGCTACTACTGAGGCAGGCCGATATAATATTACAATGGTGGTGCTTGAGGCTTTGGGAAAGGTCTGCGACCGGGACGACGAGCTTGAACCTGCTCGACGCAGCGTACGCCTATCGATGGAAGGTGCTACTGGTGGCGTTGACGTGGTCCAGACTCTCTATCGCAGCCTGATCCAGGATGTCTCGATAGACTTCATGCTCGATGCACTCGATGTCATTGGGGAGAAGTGGCCCAGGACGTTGACGACTCGCGATGCAAAGGACCAATTGTCACGTATCACTGCGATACTACACGAGAAGGCTGCTCCACACGATTACCAAACCAGGTTACAAGCCCTTCTTGCAGGCTAGGGAACAACATGAGCACTGGGGCTAGGAGCCTACATCTCCTCCCTCAGCTTACAAGGAAACCGTTGCCTGAGAAGAGTTGCGATGCAGGGATGAGAGGCTCGATTCCACTGTTCCTCTTGGGGGTTTGTTTTCTTTTTATTTCGCATTACTGACTGCGGATGGTGTGGGCATGTATATGACCTTCTTATCCAGCGTTTGAATGTCTTGCTTTATTTGCACTGGTGCAGTAATGCTGCCTGTACGGAGGAGGGTGCATGTCTCAGTTCCTTGTTCTGCTAGAATATGGAGAGGTTGATTGTGTATGCTTTGCAAGCAATTAATGACGAGAATTGGTAGACAGGATGCCGAGGACAATTGCTGACACGATGTTTGTGGTTCCATTTCGGCTGATGCATTGACACTGAGTCGTGCTTTTTGAACACGGCGTTATGATCGCGGGGTATCGTGAGACCAAACAACGTGACAACCCACTTTGCCTCTTGGCTATCCCACATGGAACAATGAGCATGGGGAATCCCACCCCCACATGACGCCGAGGTTACCCATTAGGCAGGACGGAGCTTGCAGCTTGGAGCTGGGCATCGTGAGTGACAGCTTCCGAGGGAGCCACCACGACGTCAGAAACTCCGAGTACAATAACGGGTGACAAGACAATGTGGCAATGTGACCATAGCAAGCTGCCTATAGGGGAAGGAAACCCGCTGACTCGACCGAGTCGAAGACGATGATCAAGCCAAAGGAGTTTCCGAAGAGGGTACAAGGACAAGTGCGTAGCAAAGAGGGATCTGCCTCGACGTGTGCCCCGCAACCAGTTCCGCGCGTGCAAGTGCTTCAAAGGAGGAGAGAGATGGTCCAGACAACTGCAATTGTACGGTTTTACCCCTCTTCAGAAGACGCGTCTGCTGCTCAGATCCTTTAAAGAAGTCCTGGGCCATGGCCGCGGCACAATCCCTCTCTCTTTCTTTCTGCGCCTCTGTGCTGCTGACTGCCTTTTCCTTGACATCTTCTTTCAGTCCTCCTTTAGCAAGTTCTTCCTCTTGTACAACTTCCCACCACCATGGCGAGCGTTCAGGTTCCGGCCAGGCACAAGGCTCTGGTGTATGACAACCCGGGTAGCATTTCCACCAAGATCGAGGAGATCGAGACCCCCAAGCCTGCTGTTGGCGAGGTTCTGGTGAACTTGACGCATTCAGGAGGTGAGTATCTTGTCCTTGTTAACACATGGAGGAGAAATAAACAGTACTGACGTTAATCGATTAGTCTGCCACTCGGTAAGAAGCCCAGTTTGGTCGATTTGAAAGACGAAAAGACGATCGTGTTGACCTTGATACCCATTTCTTTTGCCCCCACAGGATATGGGCGTTATGTGCAATGCATGGGCATGGCTTCCTGCTCCTACACAGAAAGGCCAGGTGGGCGGTCACGAAGGCGTTGGTAGCGTTGCTGCCCTGGGGCCTGGCACCGAGGGTTCTGGTTTGAAGATTGGCGACCGTGTGGGTATCAAGTGGATTGCCTCTGCTTGCGGGAACTGCCACCCTTGTCTTGTTGGCGCAGATGCCTGCTGTACTGCAGCAAAGATCTCGGGGTATGTTCATGTAATCCACATCACAGGTGAACAGCATCGCCCTAACTCCTAGATTAGGTACTTTACCCCGGGGACGTTCCAACAATATGCCATTGCCCCAGCCCATTATGTCACGCCCATTCCAGATTCACTTCCCAGCGATATGGCGGCACCCATGCTGTGCGGCGGTGTCACTGTTTACGCCGCGCTCAAGAAGTTGATAGACCAAGGGGCTCGCCCGGGAGACTGGGTTGTTATCCCTGGCGGCGGGGGTGGGCTTGGTCACCTGGCCCTGCAAATCGGTGCTCGAGGAATGGGATTCCGTATGATCGGCATTGACATGGGCGCCAAAGAGAAGTTGATCAAAGACTGCGGGGCGGAGGTGTTCCTGGACCTGTCCAAATACAGTCGAGACGATGCAGGAACTAAGCAATTGGTCGACGACGTCAAGGCTGCGACGGGCGGTGGTGCGGCGGGTGTGGTAGTCTGCACAGCTAGCAACGTCGCTTACGCCCAAGGCCTGAGCTTCCTCAAGTTCAGAGGTACCTTGGTATGTGTGGGTGTGCCTGAAGGCGCCCCAGTCCCGATCGCCACAGCAAACCCAGCAGCACTCTTGACGACGGAAACGAAGATCATCGGCAGTGCAGTCGGCAACAGGAAAGAGGCGATCGAGACCTTGGAGATGGCGGCCAGGTGAGTCCATGTTCCTTGCCCATCGCCTGTACATGGCATGTTTTGCTGACACTCTAAACAGAGGTATCGTCAAAACGCATTTCGAGGTTCAGCCGATGAGCAAGTTGACCGAGACTTTTGAGAGGATGGACAAGGGCGAGTTACAGGGGAGAGTTGTCATCGACCTGAGTGGGTGATTGAACAGAGAAAGGAAGATAGGAAATAAATCAGACCAATCCATATCAAAGGCTTCGTAGGCTCATGTTGGAGTGTTTCGTGTCGCGTTGTGTTCTTCTCGACCAGGCTGTGTGTGGTGGGTGAGACTGTCTTGCGCAAGGCTGGGATTCCAGCCTTCTCAGCCGCCTGCCTGCGCCCCCAAGAGACTAATTCCACCTGCGCCCGCGAAAGATATATTTGGCTAGGGGATTTGTTGATTCCCTGTACCCTCAATCATTGCACGTCTACCTCCAGCGCTGAAAGACGGTTGGTAAGATCAGCGGCTGTCGGCTTCTTAATGGCCCGTGGCAAACCCGTTGCAACTTTGAATTGAGGCAATGAATCCATACAATCAGCAGCCATACGGGTTTCCACAACACACCCCGGGCCCGCCACAACCACAGTGGCAAGCACCTCCTCGACGACAAGGATGGGGTGACCCCAGACTTCCAGGACAGCCACAACAACAACCGCAATCCCCAATATCTCCCTATCATACCGCCGCTGTACCCGCGTCGAACGCATTCGGACCCCCTCTCCCGCCGCCTCCTCCGCCACCGCCGTCCCAATACCCTCCACCGCCGCAGTTTGATACACATCAATGGGGAGTCAGATATAACCAAACATTGGGCGGTCAAAATCAGAATCAATCTCAGGAACCCAAACCTGCTTTGCCGCCGCGTCCTTCCTCTGTCCTTGGAAGAGTGAGCCCGCAGCCTCACCAGACAGCCTCATTGCAGCAGCCGGCACCGGCACCTTCGCAACAGCAGTATCCGACATCGTGGAACGATCCCTATCACACGAGCTCGACAGTACCCCCACCTCCACCTCCCCGACCCGCTGAGTATCAGGCTCAGATACAGGCTACACAGCATAACCGAACTGGGACTCCCCATCAAGAATACTCGTTTCAACCTCCCTCACATCACTACGATCCTCCTACAACACAACAGAACGCATGGAACACGCAGCATGGACAGTCAACGGGACAACCATATCATTCAACGCCGCCTCCTCCACCGCAGACATCGGCCGTGTTGGATGGTCCATTGGTGTCGCCAATAGAACCTTCGAGTGGTTATTGGACTACTGGTCATCAGCCGCATTCAAGTACAAGCCAGGCTCCCAGTCACTACAATCCTCCTGCTGGAATTCAGCCTCCAGACTTCAAGCCTGCTTTTTCTCAGGCATTAGCTTTCGGTGGGCCATCTGATTGGGAACATTACGATCCCAATGCACCTCCTCCGGATCAAACACCCACGAGCCCTCCATCAAATCCTCTATATCAAGGCCCTATTTCTCCTCCACAGATACACGCCAACCTACCTGCTCCTCACCAGACTCCGAAGCCTGAGCCTGCTCTCCCGACCCATGCCGTTGAGATTGGTGTTGCCAGTCCGGTGACGCCCCGAAGGGACTCGCGGACTCAGCCACCTCCGGTAGTAGACAGCGTTCCATCCCCACCTTCGCGACCTGTTGACGAAGGGCCTCCTTCTGCTGGCGAATATAGCGGCAATGTTTCGGCGCGTTCTGACAGCCTCAATGACGCAGGCAACATTGACAGTGTGATTCAAGCCTGGAATGCTCCACTGAACGTGCGCTCTGCTCATGACTCGACACCGAGACCCGAATCTCGTACGTCTGCTCCACGGGTCACATCTCCGGACCCAGGTCTATCTCCAGTCAGCGTCAAGGTGGTCGATCCCTACGCCGATCTAGAGCCGGAGTTCAAAGCCTCGCTGAAGAGGTATGCAGCGATGCTGCGAAGAGAGGCAGAAGCCGAGCATGATAACGAGAAATTCGAAATTTTCCAGAGCTTCGTCACCAAGGAGCTAAGGTTGAGGAGCCTGCTTTACGGGGTTGAACTGAAGAAGGAAGCAGCCAAGGAGGTCAAGAAAGCGGCCAGTCTGGCAGACATCCAGGCCCTTGTGCCCAACGCCGCCTTTCCTCCTAACGAAACGAGTAGAGATCCTGGCCGAAGCAATCAGTCAGTCGAAAACCCCTCTGGGTCACTGGCAGCAACGTCGCAAGGCCAGCAATCACACACGCAGCCGCCGATCAGTACAGTCCCAGAAGTCACCCCAGCGAATGTTGTGCAGAAAGAACAACCACAGCTCGACATTCCTCGGCCTGCAGACACTGTGTCTTCTACCCCGGAGTCGTCAGCTAAACCAACCCAGCAAGACCGCCCGAAGTCGAAAGATGGCCCTCGTGTTATTATACCAGTGTCAAGCCAAGAGGAAGCCTATAGTCCTGGAGGACGGCCGTTGATGAAAAGCATTGAAGGTGGTAGTGAGGAGGAAAGCTACAGCCCCGGGGGTCGCCCACTTGTGACGAAACCTGCAGACGGTGACGGAGAAGCCTACAGCCCTGGTGGTCGTCCCATCGCCGGCAAAGCTAATGCGACTTCATCAATGAAGCCTCCCCCAATCAGCACGACTATCCAACAAGAGCGAAACCAACCATCAATGAGTATGTTATCGCCCAGCAACGATGCCCCAATGGTTATTGAAGACTATGCAACCCCTGAACCACCCTCCCCAAGCATGAACGCACCAATGGTCGTGACCACCGAAGCTTCACATGGTCAAGCCTCGCCGGGACGACTTCCCCAGGGGAATGGTAATAAGCCAGTCGTGCCTATCAAATTCGAACCTCCTCGTCCCGCATATACGCCATTTCGCTACAATACTGGTGTCCAGGAAGAGAAGAGCAAGACACTACAACCAGCAGATCAAGCGTATTCCTCGTTGCGAAATTCGGTAGCCGACTCAGGCCGCTTGATGGTTCAAGATACGGCACTGTTAGCGCCTGCTAGACCGTCCTCCTCTGGCGGAAAAAAGGAACACGAAGAGGCATTCATTGGCTTGATCAGAAAACAGAGTATGGCTGTAAGGCAAAAGACCCCAGGACCAGGATCTGTGCCTGCGGCTATCAGACCTGGCAGCGAACCCAAATTCAATGCCTCTTCTAGGCCTGAGCCTCCTCTCGTCATGCGTGTTGGGACTCCTGCTACAACATCGATGAGAGTAGAGCAGGCACCATTGGATCCCCTCAAAGCAGCTGTGACTGCACTGCGTTCCCTGTTGCCGCCCGTGGCCGACATATTTTCGCCTATAGAGGCCAATCCTGAGCATCCCAAACTCAAACTCATAAAGTCCAAAATCGACTCCATCCCTGACGCTTTCTCCTTCATCCATGACGCAGTGGTGGAATGGGATCGCACCAACCGACTTGTCCGTAAGGAACAAGAAGTTGAACGACAGGCCCGCCAAGAAGAGTCCGAAGGACGCATTGACGCTCTGTTCAATGACAATGAGATCGGCTATGCAGATATTGGGGAGCTAGAGGCGGAATTCAAGCTCAAGGAGGCTGAGAGGAGGTTCGCCGAGGACCAAGCAGAACTGGAAAGCTTTACGAGCCAAGTCTTTGTGGTTGTGACGGAGAAGCTGCAGAAAGAAATCACGGAGTTGATGACGGCGTATACCATGGCAATTGACTTGCTCGATATCGACAGTTTGGCCGTGTCTCGCTGCTTCAAAGCCAATGATAGGAGCAGTGCCGTGAGGATGACCGAAGTCATGTCGTACGTGCTGGCCTTGTTCAACAAAATCGAGGTCCGACACACCAAGTTGGCCGAGGCGCATGTGGAGCGTGAGAGGCGTCGCAAACGCCTCGAACTCACCGTGCTATACGCGAATGGTGACGTACAAGGCGTGAAGAAACTTGAGAAAGAATTTGCAGTGGCCGAGAAGATGGCGGTTCTGCACGAAGCACGGGACCGCGACACAAGGGCGAACAAGCTGATGGATTCATTCGATCGTGCCACAGTCCGCGGACTGGGCGATAACCAGGTCTTCACGGATGAGCTCTTTGGCAGGCTTCAAGAGGTCAAGAGGGCACTCGACGCCGGAGCACTTCAGAACGAGAAAGAATGGTTGTACGAACCTGAAGGCGCAAGAGAAACACTATCACTTGCTCAGAACGCCCTGGACACCGTTATGAGCGATTCTCGGCGATTACTCGCACTTTCCAACGAAGCAGATGTGTTGCTCAACGACGCCGACTACAATGTGTCGGTTGCGGAAGCGCGGGTAGCCAATGCAGACAAGCCCACATATGCGAACCTGGAAAGCGAGAAAGCCAAGGAGGACACAAAGTTGATTGAAGATATGAATGTGCGGATCAGCAGTGTCACCAAAGGGCCACAGGAGGGCATCTCATTGATCCGCGAGTTGATTGACCGGATTGGAGACGATCCGGCGCACCAGGAAAGGATCAAGAAGGCGCTCGAGGCCGCAAAGATGAGGAATGCCAACGGGGCGGTGAATGAAAGTGGATGATGTTGAGCGGGAGGCAAGGGGAGTAAGACTGGAAGAAGAAGAATGTTTGGCTATTGTATTTTGGATATCTATGGTTGTATTTTCTCTCCGCCGCCTGTGTTTGGCCATGTTATTTATATAGATGTTGCATATATAAAGGCGTCCATTTTTGGGTGGTTCCTTTTGGGTTTTATATTCTTCTGACTTCTGTCCAAGACACATCCCTTTACCGAGTATAGGTAGGTTCTTAGCGGAGTATTCTCTACTTTGGAAAGTGACCATCGAGAATGCTAGCATAACATAACATAAAATGTAGCCTCGGTTAATCATGAGATGAGATGTCTAGGTCTCTTTAATCTTCGTCCTCCTCCTCCTCTTCTTCTTCTTCTTCCTCCTCCTCCGCATGATGAAGAGTGACGAAGGGGGTGCGAAAAAGGGGGGAGAGACTCTATATATAACTAATAAACAGATACAAAAACCCTCTGGCGATTCATGTGTCAGGTATTGATAGCTCTTGGGCGTCCTACTTGGCTTGAATTGTATGCACGTGCATATGTGTATATGTACCATACATACCTATGGAGGCACCCATATTCTCGTCCCCGTTGCGCTGCGCTCCCTGGCGCCCGCTCGATTGACCAGTCTTGAAAAGGGAAGAAATTCAAAGAAAAATCCAAGGAGAAAAACAGAATCAAAATCATAACCAAAATCGTGCCTTGTCTGTGTGTACTCGGTATGTGTCATTCGTTCATTCATTCATTCCTTACTCTCAAGAGATGTTTTCCATCTCTAAAACCACCTGCAACATACGACATAATCCTTTCATTCGACGCACGCGCGCCCACAACTCGTCGTCCATAGTTGCTGGCTGAGCCGAGCCGAGCTGAGCTGAATCATCGGTACGGCTACACGCGGGGTTTCTTGCGGTACTTTGAAATCAAGTCGTCGCTGAACAAATGGTTCTCGCCGCCCAGCATGCCCGCCGTCACCATCTCGTCGTCGACGAGCTCGCGAAGCATCGAGTCTAAAAAGCTGCGTTGTTCCCGGATGAATGCCTTGGTGGCCTTGGTGTCGAAGCGGCGGGCTCGCTTGCCGTCTCGGATCTCCTTCAGGTGGGCGCGCACGCGCTCCTCTAGCATCTCGAATCGATACTCGGCGTACTGCGAGTAGAGCTCGCGGAGGTCCGAGATTGGACGCACCGTGGTCAAGACGGTGTCGTCCTTGATGAAGGCAGACTTGGGCCGGAACGAGGTCACCATCGAGATGCGTTCCGTGGTCCCCAGGGCCCGTAAGGCTTGGTGCTCGATGTAACGACCTTGAAGGACGATGGCATTGCCCTATCATCTGTCAGTAAGGCTGACGACGATGACGACAACAACAACAAGGACACGGCAAACAGTATGCAGTCTGGCTTGGGTGACTTACCATTGCTGGACCGCGGACCTTCATGATCTCGCCCGTCCCCGTCCTCAACGCCGTCTCGCCACCCACCATGTTGGTGCAGTCACTGAGCATCGTGACACAGACAAAAGGATAGCTGTCTGTGTGCCAGTCGACAATAGGCTGGTCGTCTTCATACGGACACCCCGAAACACCTTCGTCCGCTTCTCGATGCGATTTCTCTTCCAGCGCTTGCTGGACGGCTTCGCTTTGTTCCTTGGTGTTGCTGGAGATGTTGATGTGGGCAATCTCAAGGTCCATGGCGGGAACCAGTTCGACACCGGCGATCTTGGACACAATCGAGAGGACCTCGGGGCTTCGCCAGGCATCATATACAAATGGTGCATATCTATTCTCCATTCGTCAGTAGCCTGTCTGCCTCAACGATGATCCTCATGGAATGACACATACTCGGGAGCAAACCCTCGCAGTTGGCAGTGTGCCAACTCGCTAGAGTACTTGCAGTTGTCCCACACCGGCTTGCTCAAAACCTCCGCCCTCATCTGCTGAATTGCTTCCGCGGTGAACAGAGGAAAGGGCTCCGACACGGCATTTGGCGAGACTCCCATGTCAGAGAATCCTATCTCCTTCATCGTCCATATCTTGTTAGGGGCTTGGTAATTGAGATGCTTCGCTGCGTCAAAGGTCGGTCCGCTTGGGGCTCTGGGTGCCATGAGGTGCAGGTCTGATCGTTTCCTCTTCACGGTGCCAAAGGCTGGTGCTTCTGGAGCAAGAACATCGGCTGAAGCCATCTCCCTTGATGATGTCGATTATATGTACTTTGAACGGACCACTAGCAAACAATTGTGACGGGTGGTGACCACTATATAGTGCGAAATGAGCAATCAAAGCAACCGGAAGACGACCGTTTTGTGAAGAAAGGACAAAAAGGTCAACAAACACTTGATGATAATGAGACGTTTGTACAATCAAGCAAGAGGAGTCAGATCTTATACCAACGCTCCTTTCAGTCACTCTTCAGCAAACATGGACCCTCCTAGGTAAGGTGTATGTGGCTCCAAGCAGCTTTGAATAGGCCACGCCAACATCAGATACCACTAGGAGTCCGGATGAGGTTTGAACCCAGAAAATCCTCCACACTGTCGACCGTTAGCTCATGGGATCAGATTGTGCAAGCAAGACACAGTAAAGAATACTCCACCAGATAGGGCAAGGACGGAAAGAAACAGTTCTGGATTGAGGGAAGCGAGACGTCCAACTGCAGGTCAACAACTGTCCACAGCGTCACAATTCGCTCACAGAGTTGCCCGTCTTATCAGCCGGCCAACAGCCCTTATCATTGATCTGCCTATCGGGAAGGCTTGACTTTTGAAATGCTCGACAGGTGTGGATCGTGGATGGCTTCCATCGGTCAGGCTATTGCAGGCGCCCGTTGGCGAAAGCTGGGGGATGTCTGAAAAACAGCTTGTGGAGACCATCAGAGTGCCATCACGACAGACAGACAGACAGACGACACCTCGTCTTCCACGGATGGAAATTCTTGCTTTGTTTGGATTAAAAACACTGCCCATTGCCTGCTGCATTCTTCTCGACCCCGGTGACGGACCTGGATCCTGTCATCTTTCACATGTGTCAACGTGCAGCTGTAGGTTTTTCTCTCTGGCCGCACCGAAGTGCCTTTCGGATGTTCTTCCATCCAACGGTTCTGACAACGGTGTGAACAGAGAATGCATATGACATGTGTACATCACCATGGACCACCAAGGTGAGGAACATGGCGGATAGGTGTCAATTTATGGGACCATAACCGCAATATGTCTGATGAGGCAGCCCAACTTTATGTCGGTGTGACTGGTGAACATCTCTAAAAGGGTTCCTATTATTCATTTTGCAGCCAACAGCACACGCAGAGAGGGGTCCGACAGCATCGCTTATTGACCTTGATGGTTGTGGATAACCCCCGCTGTGAGGTGGTGTATGGATCTGTTGACCAGATATGGTAACGTGCCGGGATGGGCAAGGAGCTGTCTCTGGGCCCTGTGTAAGATCCGTTTGGCCAGATGACAGAATCCACCTCTGAGAGCTCGCTGAACTTTCAAGGCATCCTTGCTGATCCGGTCGACACAGGGAAGTGCGGTCCACAGTTGCAGATGCTTGCACATTGTCAAGGTTTGATATAGGGATCAACCATCAAGTGTCCTTTGTGCTTTGTGCCGAGCATGGGTGAAGATCGTGAATTGGGAGGGTAGTCAAGGAGCCGTGTAGAACAATCAAGGGGTGCCTGATGCAAAGCCTGGATTGAACTGCTGTTTACGAGTCAGTTACATTTGGTTAGTGGATTGAGCGACGGTCACCCCGAGAAGGATGCGATCACGCTGAGGAGAGTTCATCTTCCATCCCACAATCCAAAGATAGGTTGATCCTGAAATAAAAGGATAATACACTAGAAAGACGTACAAGCAGGGAACGCACTAAGGCCTGGGGACAGGTCAGCGGAATTGGAAGTAGCCTGCAATACTGGTAGACTGCGGCTTGGAGGTGGGAGGGTAGAGGGCTGGAGGGGTAAAAACAATGATATATTGTGGAGGTGGAGGGCTTATCGATAACGCAGTTCGGTAAAAGCTTCCCGGTTTGCCTGTCAAGCCTGTTAAGCGCAACAAGGTTAGTGCCGTCTGTGCCTCACTAAACTCATCCGCCCAGTCGGTATCGCAGGCACGCAGCCAGCAGTGATCGACGCTTTGCATCAAGCACCTGCAGCTACTCTGGCAACGCTACCCTGTTTACCAAACATCAATATGGCCTCTTCTGCGCAATCAGATCAGGCTGCTTCTTCGGAACCACAGATTGATGCTTGGGAGAAATCAAAAGCGACCTTCCAATCGTATGCACTTCGCAATAACACGCTCAGAGACATGAACCCTGCTAATGTGTGCCCCAGGAAACGAACATCCGAGTATTACGATCCCTGCCAGGAGTTTGCGAACAGGAGTATAAAATGCATGCACAGGAATAAAGGAGACAGGGAGATGTGCCAGGACTACTTCAAGTGAGTGATCCCATTTGGCGATGCTCGTCGCCACAAAAGGCCCGCCTTCATCGAGGTTGGGTAGCGATGGGATGCATGCCTCAACTGCGAAGAAAGCGGTACGGCATGAGGCTAACAGCACGGTCACACACACAGAGCCTACCGCGACTGCAAGAAAGAATGGGTATGACAACTCGGATCCAAGAACATCCCGCCAAAACACTGACGAATTTGACCAGACTGCGAAACGGAGAGCTGAATCGGGCTCGTGGTTGGGGTGATCACTGAGGTCATTTCTTGGTATTTTGGGAACTCTGAGGCGAATATGGGAGGATTGTACAAAAGCAGAACTGATACCCTCTGTCAAGGCATAGCGCGGGAGTACATATACATGAAGACCCGAAAAGAATTTCTACTCCAAACCACAGTACGAGAGCTGGGCCCGTGCCGGACTACATTGTAAGAATAGGCAAAAAAGCACCAAAGAACGCATCTAAAACTCCTTTAGAGTACTCTGACTCGGATCCTACGAAAGACCAAGTCTCACTTTGCTGTAGCCAATACCTGTAGCTTCCCAGGTTTCTGTTCCTGCCTGACTCGCAGGGTCACGCAACATTGGATTTCAGCCTTGCCCACACAATTTCCCCGCATCGTAAACTTCGCGCTCATAATTCCTCCTCGAGGGCACGGGTCCCGTTATTCCCTGAACATGTCCGATCCAAGCGTCAGCGAGCGAAGAATACGGCCGATTCAAGATGCCGTTGCGAGTGCGAACTGGAAGCAGGCACTGCAACTTTGTGACAAATGGTTCAAGAAAGGTGAACGGTCTGACAGGTTTCTGGTAAGGGTTTCGGTATCGCTCACTTCGTAGAATAACCTTTTCTAACCGTGACAGGCCCTGAAAGCCTTCGTCCTGGTGAACCAGCCAGACAAGACCCAATACGACCGAAGCCGGGAGGAGGTTCTGGACCTCTGCAAGCGTACACCCCCCCTCACAGAACCAGAAGCCATCTACCAACTTCAAAATGCTCTCAAAACCCTGTCGCTACACGAAGAGAGTCCGAAGCTCTGGGAAAGGGCCCTCAGCGTTAAAAAGGATGACAAGGACTTGTACATGAGATGGCTCAACCAAGCAGTTGCAGACAACAACTGGAAGAGTGCTCAAAAGGTGTGAACATATAAAACCAAACCAAGCAAAAGACCATCCACCTCAAAACAGCAAGAAGGGACTGGCTGACATGGGGCCATCCGCCAGGCCACCATGGGTTTGCGGAATTCCTTCTCCAAGGATAGAGACTACGAGTTTTGGAACATCCTCATGTGCCATCTGATACATATGCAACAAGACCTGCCTGAAAAGGAGCGCAGCTTGTTTGGAACCCTTGCGTATCGCATGATGTCCAAGGCCGCGGAGGCGATACCTAAGAATGAGGTGCGTCTTGAGACTGATTTTCGGTAGGAGCGTCGAAAGACTTACCGGTCAGCAGGAACAAGCATCTTCTTCCACGAAAGCAATCTCGGAATCGGAAGAAATTGCGTTGCTTGTCCAAGTCTTCAACGCCACGGGCCATGGCAAAGAGACGGTCAAACTTTTGCAGGGACAGTCGCTGAACATGCAATCTCGAGTCGGCAAACAGGACCCTCAATTAGTGCTCTCTCTACTGCTTGATTCTTTGCAGGTATCAGAACAATGGGACGAGGCTTTCAAAGTGTGCCAGGATCTGTTGTCCCAGCCAGAACACCAGTCAGACGACCGTATCTGGGAACTATGGCTTCAGTCACGATCAAAATTACCAGAGGGCAACGGGTAAGGCAGCTGGAAGACAACATATGGCTACATTGCGCTGACATCTACGCAGGCTAGATACACAATGCAAAGAGCTCCTTGGTTCTGTGTGCACCATCAGGCCGATTGTCCGCGCAGCTTACCTCGCGAAGCTGAAGTTTCAGCAGACTCAGGACGACGAAGCCGATCAGGACGGTCTACTGCAAACTTGCAAAGACTATTTCGAAGCGTTTTCATCCAAACCCTTTTGCTTCGATGATCTGAAGAAGCCTCTCCAACACCTTGACAAGGCTCATTTCGATCAATTTCTGCACACAGTCTCTAGCCATGAGGGCAATCTGGAACGGCTGTTCGGCCTTAAATTGGCGTATAGCACACTTCCACCAGATGCATCCAGCTCGGAGCTCCTCGAATTCACGCACAGAGCATTACAATTATACCAGACGTCCTTGTCCGAGAGCCCTCCGTGCCCAGAAGCAGCCCTCCTCGCAGTTCTCGCAATCCTTCGAATTGCTAGCAGCAAAAACTCGCCTTCGATGGCCCTGTTCGCCGTCATGGTTCTTCAAATCACTCGCTTAAAATTCGAAGATTATTACATTCTGACAATCCTGCTGGTTCAGCTCCAGTCCCATCTCGGATTACTTTCTTTAGGTATGGACAACTTTGTGAAACTCAGTGTCAAAAATCTGCAGTGGGAAACAGTTGGACATTGGATCCTCACAAGAATATCCTCGTTGCATCCAGCCTCTGTTACGGCCCTGCAGGACGAATTTGACCCGCTTTGGGCTGTAGACACAGGACTTACAGTTCTGGAGAATGCGGATAATGCTTTGGTCAGAGGAATTCGCGAAGGCTTGCGATTTAACAGTTACTCAAACATCCAGAACAGCGTGAAGATGCGGTCGGAGATTGAAAGCAGCCTGGTCAAGCAGATCTATGCCATCGAGGAACGGAAGATCCGGCGATGGCGAGGGGAGCCTAATGACCATACAGTCTTGCCACTAACAGACCCTTCGAAACCCCTTGTCGACAAACGAGATTTCGGGTATATGCCTGACTATCGTGAAGAGGACGATCAACTGCTGGCGAAGTTTCGATGCGGACCTCTTCCGAAGGAAAGATGGATACACGCCATGGCACTGTTTGACAATATAGCCACTTATCTGAAAGCAGAGGTGGCATCACACACTTCCCTGATAGCAACAGCGTACGAGAACCTGAAACAGGCGCAACTCCACGTGTCCTGGCCTGCTACAGAAGACCTATCGGCGGAAATGACAGAAGCTGAACAAGCCAATCTTACATGCCTCAAGATTCTCGCCCAGGCAATAACTTTATTCAAAGAAGGCAGCATCACCACGCCTCAGGCATCTCAACAGAACACCTCCACATCTCTTTCAGACATCCTTTCCGACCTCAAAACCTGGCTTTCGTCCGCACTCGCGAGCCGCAGGAATAGTACCTCTGGGTCGATCATTGCGGGGATTCGTGTGCCATCGTGGGAGGATCTGCACGGAAGCTTCACACAACTTGAGACGTTGCAAGTCATTGCAAACCTCACTTCCCTGGTGACCAAGAAGACCCAAAAGTCCGCGAAATCTTCGAAGGCTGCTTCAGACTCCATCTCCAAGGACATGATCTCTGAGATACAATCACTCATCACCGACCTCGAATCTCAAATCCTGACAGATGTCCGGGAGCTGAAGTCATCAATCAACGAACCCGGCGTGCTGGGCAAGCTGGTCGACTTGGGAATGGCACGACGCGGCAGCGACGCCGAGGGGAGCGACGGTACCGAAGGAGACGTTCTCCCTAATGGTGAGAAGTGGGAGAATTTGATTGAGAGCATCTGCGACGAAGTGACGATGGAGACGATCTGCGGGGAGATCAAGGACAGCTGGGACGATGCACTCGATGGGGTTTTGGGCGGAAAGGGCAAAACTCGAGTTGGGAGATGAGTAGGAGGCCAGCGAAGACGAGCAGAAGAAGGGGTTGAGGACAGAAGAGACGAGAAGCGGGATAAATGGAGAGACGGATGCAGATGGGGAAGAAAAAGCACGGACTACCGATGAGCAGAGGTACTGAATACCGTATTAGGGCGACTGGGTTCACATTTGTTCGTTGTGCTCTACACTTTATACCTAGGTACCGAGTATGCATCCTCCGTCTGGGAGATTAGAGCTTCCTTTGGCACGTTATAGAAACAGGAGCTGCTAGACACCCTATATGTAGACAGACATATGACATATGTGGGGCGCTCGCTCTCTCCCTCTCATACACCCTCTCTCATTGAATGTAAGTGTTAGTCTGGTGAAGCTCATATTCCGGGTGTACTACGCACACAGGTACGCAGAGACAGATATACAGACAGACAGACAAATAGAGAGCGAGAATGCGGAAGCAAGGGAATCAAGAGAGGCATCACAAAGCCCCCAAAATTTTCCATACGGGAAGAGTAATAGGAACGCCATATGCCGTTTACCCGTTTTCCGTGTGTGTGCTAGATGCTGTTCGCGCACGTATCCTAACCCTCCGGCCTCCTTCTGCTAGTATGCGTTCTTGACATACGACACAGACTCCAGGCTCTGCTGGTCGATCCCGCCATTTAGTCTTGCCGCCCCTTCAGGAGTCTCTTCGTCACCTTGTCCTTCTCAATGATGTAGACGTGTGCGCCCCAGCCTGACAAGGCATCTCGATCCACGGCGTTCAGTAGGGCTTGCGAAATCGTTTCAAAAAGGTCCTCCGGTTCCTGGTGACAAGCATCGTTAGACTCGACATTCCGGCAAGAATGGGTTGGAATATACGCCCTGCCGTGGCTTGCATGGCAGATAGACAAGAAGTGGTGTGTAGGGATTGCGCATAGATGTGTCTCACCAAATCCGGCTCCCATAGTCCTTCACACGTTCCAAACAGCTGGTCACTCGCGGTGCCTGCCACGATGAAATCCTTTGCAAAATCAATGCAGCCTATACTGTCAAACCCGCAGATGAATGGTTTGCCCGTCGTGTGATTTATCCCTGCAAGCACTGGGCTCACAAACCAAGGTCCAAACCGCCGCTCATACAGTGAACTGCTGACCAGGTTGGCCAGTGTCTGAGGGGAAATGTTTCGTTCTTCGCGTAGTCGATACATGTTGACCTTGTACCGGAAGGTGTCACTGACTGTTTGTACATCGGTCGCCAGTCCCGTCAGGCCGAGAAAGACACTGGGAGCGTAATTGAATATCTTGGGGAAGTTGTTTGACACGGTCAACGCTTGCATGCCCAGTCGCAGGTCGCAAGCTATGGCAACGCAGTCCTTGCCGACCATCGCAACACACGCACCACCATCTGAATCACATATTAGATACTATAGGAGCAGGAGGACAGAAGGGAGAAGTACTGATGTCGAATGGAGAGCTCTGTAGTGGATTGGTTAGCATTGAATTACGGCTGCGTTCTGATGCTGAAGATTGCTTACCATCTTGCAGACGAGAAAGATTCAAGCAAAGGGGAAGGAATAGGATTAAGACAAGCAATCAACAGGGCGTTGAGTCGAATGGCGGATGTAAGTGACAGGATCTGGATAACTATCGATCCCAAAAGGCCGGAGAGCGATGCGCAGGCACAAAATGCAAACGCGTTTCCGCAGGCACGAGGCTGATGCTCAACTGAGGCTAGTGAGGCTCAAACTGGAGAAGCAGGCGCTAGAAGCTACAGGGGCCAATAGGCGGCAGTCTTACCTAATTCCTCCGCCATGACGCTTGGTGACGCCGACCCTCTTTGCCTGCGGCACGCCTGTACACGCCTATGGCCATCTTTCGCCGCTACTGGATCGTTAGTAAAGCTGCAACAGCATCCAACACATTCCATGATATGGATAGCAGCCTGCAGCCCCATCTGGGTGGATGAATACTTTCTAGCCACTTCTACCAAACACTCTACTCAACTTACAAAGCCCGACCATTACAGCTGCTATCCAGACCATCCAACTCCCTTCAAGCATAAGAGTTATCCCCTCCACGCAACCCCACCAGGCTGTCGCCCTGACGATCGAACATGGCTTCTCACGTAGTGGTGATCGACTCGACGGCTCGAAGAGCCACAATAAAGACTACCCCGGGTAAGAACCTGAGCGAGGTTCTAGAAGAGGCGTGCACGAAATTGGGAGTCAACGCCGCTCAATATGGTTTGAAGTACGTTTCATCCCATGGATGCCTGCGCACACCCAGGTTGACTGATAGTTGCTTTGCAGGCATAATAACAAGCCCGTCGACCTCTCCAGAACGATTCGCCTCTCGGGTCTTTCCTCGGGCGCAAAACTAGAATTGGTCCAACTCTCTAAATCGGCCGGCGTCGTCTCAATAGCCCTACAATTGCCGGAATCAGAAGCAAGAGGTGTACCTAACGCCAGGCTTACAGACAAGTTTCCCAGTTCGACCACATTATGGCTTGTGCTCAGGAAGTTCGAAGCCGGCGTTGCGGGCGGAGGTACTCCCAGTACTCGGAATTTCACTGCCAGAGGGGTACCATCTGCGAGCCAGGGCAGTTCGGGTGGTGGCAGACTGTATTATGAACAGCCGGTGATACAGGTCATGAACAGAGAATTGGCGTCGTTTACGGACCTACAAAAATCTCTAGCACAACTAGGTCTCAACAGCGGTACAGCTCTCTTGAGGCTGAGTTTTCGGACAACTGAAACTCCGCTAGAGGAGGCCATGGCGCAGATACAAAGCTATTTCGACTCGGTCGAGGGAACAGCTGCTCAACCGCCGCGCCAACAAGAGACTTCGGCTTCAAGTGAGCCACAAACTGGATCGGCCGGGACTCAGCCAGAGTGGAATGAGGAGAGACCCTCGCAGCTCCCTCCTCAGGCCCAAGAAGAAACATCAACATCATTACCTTCACAACCTGAAACTTCCAGTTCGTCAACGAGTCGTCCGGTCTCCGTGTTCCGGCCGCCGAGCTCATCCACTCCTTCGGCCGCCCTCATGTCTCACAACGAAGCGGACTATACCCCCACAGTTGAACACGCCCAGGTCCACCAAAAACTGCTACAGCAGAACTCAAGAAATGTGCGGCTACCAACAGAAGCCGAGCTTGCAGCCCAAGCTCAAGAGGAAGCAGCCAAATGGGCTGCCGTAAAGGAAGTCGAGATAAAGGTTCGATTTCCCGACCAGAGTGCGGTTAGTGCCAGATTTGAGCAGGGCGACACCGCAGCGGATCTATACAACTTTGTACGAGAGTGTCTGGAGCAGCAATACCGAGCAGAGCATTTCATGCTTCGAAATCCTGGTATCAGAGGAAAGAATGAAATCATTCCAGACGACAGCGCGAAGAAACTAATCAAAGATCTTCAGCTCAAAGGGCGAGTGCTAGTCACATTTCAATGGGATGACCATAAGGCCAGCCTTCATGCGAGGAGCGTAAAGTCTGTACTGAAGGTGGAGTTGAGGGAGCAGGCCCAAGAAGTGAAAGTGCAGGATCTCCCAACTGTGGATGTCGAGGCTGACGAAGAGCCTGGTATCAAGGTCAATCTGGGGACTAAGGACACAAGCGAAGGGCCCGGGGATGGTAAGAAAAGGCTGCCAAAGTGGCTGAAGGGTTTGGGCAAGAAATAGTCCACTTCAATGAGAACAAATGTACTGGTCTTCTGGCGTCTGAATCACATGTGATACCTTTGAAGCTTGGAATGCGCACTGCTCAGACAAAATCCAATACTGACTTCTCGGTGTGAGGTTATAGACAGGGAGTATACCCCTGTGTAGTTGCACACTCGCCGTTAGCTGTGTTGGTCAGATGAGTACGATGCAAAAGGTACCTACCAAGTACGAGGTAAATCGGGATGTTCAGCCTCGTCAAATACGCTGGGTTATCTCCGACAAGCTCCGACGCTAGTAAACTGCCGAGGATCCCCCGCCCACAATCGCATTTTCAGTTTTGTCAAGCAGCCCGCACCGAAACTGCGATTGGGAACCATCTCACCAAATTCAAGTCTACAACGCCCGTCTACAATCTCCCTCGTCGATCGATTTTGAACATTTCAAGATGCCGTCCGAAGTCACCGATATCAAGCAATTCCTCGAAATTGCCCGCAGAAAGGATGCTAAAGGTGCGACACAGCAACTCTGAACCAAATATCATTTCCTGCGATAAGTTCCTCTTCAAGTGTGGTGCCTGCACTGCCAGTGCTCCTGCGCTTGACAGAGTACCTACGACGCAAATAATGCCCTGAAACTCCCTCCGAAAGTCCATGCTTTTGGTGAACACAGGCACTATAGACAGCGTCACTTGCCGTACAATGAAGCGCAGTCCCAGTGATTTGCTAACTCTGTTACTGCGATATGTAGGTGCCCGCCTTAAGAAATCCTCAAAGTCGAAGGACATCAAGATGAAGATCCGATGCAAGCGGTACCTGTACACCCTGATCCTCAAAGACTCGGACAAAGCCGACAAGATCAAGCAGAGTCTGCCGCCCAGTAAGTCTAGCCTCATCCCCAGTGCAGCTTTGAAGAGCGATGTGTTTGTGGGGCATATTTGTCGGGTCTGAAGTGCGATTTGTCTGGATTGGATTGGAAGAAAGTGGCATAACTCGCAAAGGGCTGCCAGCACCGAAGACCTGCCCGCCGATGGAATTCATGCCCTTCCCGCAGTGGCCCATACATAAATATCTTGCGCGAACTTGGCCCTGGCTAACATTCATCTTTCTACTTACAGCGATGCCCTTCGTCGAAATCGGCAAGAAGAACAAGAAGCCCAAGAAGAACTAAAGGTCTTTTGCTTATTGCCTCCAATATCGCTCAACTTGGTCAAAAGTGGAGGGGGGATTATTATGGTATCCACGGTCATGGATGATGGACAGAAATGATGAACCACATTTTATTTCCTGTGGACCAATTGATGAAAAACAAAACCAAGAGAAATGGATGGTGTGACTAGGGACTAGGGACTAGGGACTAGACTTGAGAGGAGCTTCTCGTCTGCCTGGGCTTTGTAAGGCCACGAGAAGAATCAGATGAATTGAAATGGATGGACATGGCTGAAAAGGCGGTCGGACATCTTGTGGAATGTTCAGAGAACTAGGAACTAGGGGCGAGATGGGATGAAAGGCCTGCGGGTCTGAGGTGCTCTAGTACCTACCCCGTAGGTAGTCTACGGCGCACACATTGCTCGTTAGACTCGCGAGAACATCCTCGAGACTCCAGACATGTTTCGCAATACACACACAAAAAAAAACCATTCTGCACCCTAATGGGCACCAGGCGCTGCGCTGCATACTTGTAGTATCATAGGCGAGGTAGACCCATACCCTTTCAGGCCCTTTCTGTTCCATCCGCACATCTACCCTCTCCCTCTCTCCTGTCCCTGTCCCTGTCCTTTTCCGTCCGCACGGACCTCACTCCCTATTAATGGCACGAATACCGCGCCTCGCGATACCCCACAAGAAACCCCTTGCGCTCTGCCGTGTCCGCCGCCGCCACCGCATCATGATCACCCTCGACACGCGCGATCAAATCCCCCAGTTCCGCGCGCGACAGACGCAGCTCGTACTCGCCAAAGTAATTCGGGTTCTCGCCCGTTTTGCGGAACGCCAGACTCTCAAAGAGGGCAATGCTCCGGAGGTTCGTGCCGCCGATTTTCACGGAGAGGTGCATGAAGTGGGCTTGTTGTCTGGGAATTGTGGTCGTGGTCGTGGGAGAACCAGGAGCAGGTCCATGGTGAGAGTAGTCCTGGAACTCGGCCAGGATCTCGCGCTCGTGTTGGGTAATGTACTTCAGAAACGCGAGCAGCGTGGCTCGGCCGTACCCCTTGCGTTGTTGGGCCGTCTCTGCGATCATGAGTTCGAGTTCACCTGCCACGAGGATCTCGCCCCCGCCCTCGCCCTCGCCCTGGGCGGAGTCGTCTTGGGCCGGGGCGGTGGAGATGAAGAGGTTCACGTCTCCGACCATGGCGTCGATCTCGCGCTGAGTCTCTCCATCGCTGCTCTCGTGACACTCCACCCCATCGGCGTCGGCGCAGGAGTGTGGTTGACAGACGATAAAGGTCAATTTATCCCCATCGTCGCGCCAGCTGCGTTGCATGGCATATTCCTCTTCCAGCGTCAGGGGTTCAGACGCCGTGGCTTCTTGGATTTCCTAATTTTTCTCAAACTGTCAGAACCAAAAAAAAAAGCCAGTGTATTATCTTTTGTTGGGTCCCAACCCCCTGGCTAGAGGGGCAGGCGTTGTTGATATCAATACGTACAGGATCCTTCATCCATCCGTGGTATTTGGGCACATGGTGCGCCGAATAGGGTACCAAAACCACTTTCGTCGTGGAGACGCCTATGTATGTACACAGATAGGTCAGAGGAGGAATAACATTTCAGAAAACTTTTTGAGCAAGGCGGGCGAACTCGAGGCAAGACGGCGATATCCTCAATACTCACAAGTATGTTCGTTGATGCGCATTGTCTAGATCTATCCATCATGGTATCATGGGTTTTGCGACTGTCATATCATGTCATATCATCACATCATTCGGTACTGTACTGTACAACAAAGATATCATTTTGTGTTGGATGAAAACTCCGTGAATTTCTTTTCGGGGCAGGCGGAAAAGTTTCCGGGTGGTTTTGATATTACAGTCCTGGCCACGATTTTCGTCGCATTTGATCTAAGCAGGATCGTGAATGTCAAACCGGACTACCTCAACCTCCAGCGTCTCGGAATCGACCAGCACAAGCTCTCCAGTTTCGTGAAAACGTGGGATCGCGATGAGTCGGACTTGCTGCCCGTCGGGACCGTCAATGACCGTAGTATCAAATCTCGGCTGGTTTCCCACGAAGAAGACGTGCGGACACTCTTCAATGACAAATTGGTCGCGATCTTGGAATGGATAGCACCAGAGGGTATCTGGAGCGGTTGGGGCGCCACATCGCCAGCGCAACATGCTCGCCATGACCTCCAATCTCCCGTCTGCCCCTTTCCCTTCCGGACCCCCAAGGTCCACGTACCTGAGGATGTCGTCCACAGGCTGGCCGCTGTTGCCCATGAATCGCCAGCCGTCCACATCGCCATCCCAAGGGTTCGTCACACTGTCCAGCCATCCTGGCTCCTCTTCTTCTGGCTCGGCGATATTAGTGGTGGCGTAAGCCCGAGAGTGCGGCAACATGGCTGGATGGATTGGCTGTTGCGGTAAGCTTGCATTTGCGGGGTCTTGTTCGCCTGACATTATTGTAATTGGGATGCTGGGGAGGAGCTCGGCGAGGAACTGGTCGAGATGGGACGTTGGTGTGGGATTGTACGAAGCCGCGTCGTAGCCGTATCTGCGGTTTCCAGGCTTCTTGCCGTCTTCAATCGACATTTGATGACCTGAAAGCAGGTCGGACGCGATAGAATTGCCCGCAATTATGAGGCGAGAGATTTTGCTGGCTTCCTCCCGATCGTCTTCGTCCAAGGCCTCTGCAAGCAGGAATTCAGAGAGAAGTGAAACATTCAGTGTGTCAGCCTCGGTCTCGGAAAAGTCAAGCCCGCTGATGAGAGCGATCTTCTTTCGTTGTTGATCGACCTGCATTCGTGTGTCTTCCTCTTCGTCCCGTTCCCATCTCTTGGGCTGTCGCGGTAGGTCAGGGATGTGTAGATCCAGCACGTCAAAGTCTCCATTTGCGGTTTCGGTACCCAGCACAGCGACAATGACGCCGGTGACCAACAAGCTGCTTTTTAGGGTTGCTCCTGCTAATCGAAGTCGGCCAGATTCGTCCTCCAGCATGATCTGTGTTTCCCCATCTGCAGTCAAGTATGACTGTCGCGGTGGTGCGCCTGCAACCCAGTGCTCTTTCGATATATCCTCCAGAATGTTCGGTTTCAGAGGCATGTCCATGTAGATTGTTCCCACAACCCAGCACAATTGGCCTTGACGGACATCTAGCACCCTGTCCACTCTCTGTGCCTTTTCTCCTGCGATCTCGAAGTCGGCCCAGTCTTCTTCAGCAATCTTCTCCACCACGGGTTTCAACTTGGCCAGGCGCAAAAAGTACATGTCACCGAATTGCTGGTGGTATTGTTTGGTGTCGCCTCGGGATAATCGGTAGGAATAGAGGGGATCGTAGGAAGACGGGGCTCTTCGTCTCTGGTCATATTTGTCGTCCTTTTGCCAGGGCCGCAGCAGACTCTTTAGAGGAGCCATTTTCACAACACTTTGAGAAGTGTCGCCGAACTGAGGCGTTTGTTGAATGTATTGAGCGTGCTTTGAGGCTTGGTTCGTTCACTGAGTGTGACATGCGGAACACCAACGCGTAAACGTGGAAAGGCGCGTCTCAATTAACAGGTTCGCGACGATGAACATGCTCCACCGTACCGCGTATTTCCTTCTCACGCCCTGATCCGTGGTCCGTACAGGTCCTCCTCCATTTCCATACAGAACACACTTTTGGCTTTTCTGAAATGGTGGTTCTACCATCTCATGTGTTGGGGTCCTGTCCCTCTGGCCTTTCCTCTGGTTCGTGCCTCATGCAAGACTTTGGTGTTCACTTAGCCTCACTTGAAGGCTGGAACTCGAGAGTGGTTCTCGACTCAGGTGCCATAGATGCCCTTGGTCAGAAGGGCGTGTGAAAATGAAGCTCCAGGTAAGTCAGATGGGACCTGAAGGACCTCAAGGCTTTACCAGTCTTCCCGGGAATTATTTAAGTCGTGCATGTTCGGTCTGAGTGTTCGTATATCACATTGTTCAACATCTAGATTCTTTACCTCCAACAGCAGTCCAGATTCACCACGATCACGAAGAATACCACCCCTCTTAAATAGCAACAATGGCCATCAGAGTCTTCTCGACGGTCACCTTGACCCTTGCCCTCGCACTCCAAGTAACAGCTCTTCCACGCCGCATTTTTCAACCCAACAGAACCGACATCACGCACCATATGCCCGTCCCTCGAGATACCGCCGCACGCAGTAGTGAGGAGCAATGGGTCTGTGTCAACGAGGATTTGGAGCTTGATCCGGTGGAATGTCCCCCCGGCACACCAGGTGGGATCCCCAAAGCGGTGGATCTTTACAGAGTCCGGATCGGATGTAACGGTCTACGTTGTCCCCATCAGTGGGTTTTTGTCGATGCCGGCCTGCCGAGATTCAACCACACGTGCCCGCGACACGCGGTCGCTGCGGCGGCCAACTGGCGGAACTGGTGCTTTTTGGAGCCGCCCTTTTACATGGAAGCCGCCGCGTGGTGTGTGACGGGATCAGAACCGGTCGACCTCACGTTGGATGGGCCCAGCATCGACAGGTGCTGTGGTGAGTGGGTGAGCGTCAAGGATCCATTCTACAGGGACTATCCTACGGTGCAGCTGCCCGATCTCAGCATCGTGCAGAACAAGATTGTGGACGGAGAGGAGATGCGAAGGGTGCTCAAGCCCAATGCGTGGGAGTTCAACATTGACAACAGCTACTGTCGAATGTGGATGTCGGAGACCGAGGCCCAGTACCAATACTTTATGCAGAACCTGGCGGCGTGGGATATTGACGATGCGGATTTATTGGGTCACGGTGGCCCGAGATTCAACATCAAGTGGGACAAGGACCAAGCATGGGGCCACCTACCGCCCTAAGCTGGCAGTGCTTTAGGAGGGATACATGGTCTTGCTATCGTGTTGGTTGGGGAGGTGAAGCCTTTCTTGTAAGATCACATATAACTGAGGTAGCTTTACGGAGAGCAGAGCGACAAACACCCAGTGGGGATCGGATCAGATGTATGGTTGTATGGTTGTATTCTGGGCGGTGGACGGAGTCGCCGGCCTCTGTGTTACCTGTCTATCTATAACAGAAGAACAAAGTTCGATACTCTACCATATCGATCGATCCTTTAAACCCACCCCCTTGTCCAAACCCCTAATTCCCCCTATCATGCATCTCGTCTACACCTGTAGCCACAGCTAAAGCTACAACTTCGGCTTCGCCCTCAGCCACATCCCGTCAGCCTCTGCGTGGACATTCCCTTGTCCGTCCTCGATGACGCCGTGGACCCAGATCTTGCGGCCCTCGGCCCTGGTGATCCACGACCTCGCCATGATGGTCCCCGGCGTGCCCACGGGTTTCTTGTACGTTACGTTCAGCGCGACGGTGAAGGTGGCCAGCCGGCTCGGCATCTGGTGGCCGATGATGTTGCCCATAGTGCTGTCCAGCACGGTCGCCACGACGCCGCCGTGCAGCGTGTCCGGGTGCGCGTTCATGCCGGTCCCGAACGTGTAGAAGCGGCGTACTTCGCCGCGAGTCTGGCTGTCCGTCCCGATTCCCGGCCCCCGGTGGGTGTCTGCACTGTCGTGGACGGGAGGCCGGTACAGCGACAGCAGGTGCGTGATGGTCTTGTCCGTGTTCCACGTCTCGGCCATCAGCGAGTGTCCGTTTCCCGGCTGCATCAGCGTTCGAGACATGTTCACCCGCCGAAACGCCGGGTCTGACACGTGCGGCACGCACCATGGTATAGAGCGGAAGTGGTCCAGCAGAGTCGACTGCGGCGTTGGTGGCTCCGCGCCACCGCGACGAGTGTCGGTAGAGCCCATGGTCCGACTATGGCGAGGGGGGCAGCTGCTTTGTGACGCTGCGAAGGAATGAAATGAATGGTATGGCGGTTTCGTGTATGGTGCAGGACCCAGTACTGGTACCTAGTAGTGAGGGCAGTAACGGGAGTGATGTTGGTCGTGGTTATAAATCGGTTGGGATATCGATAGCCTCAGTCAGACCTCACCACGACATTCATCCTTCCTCGCTCGGTAAATGTTGCTCGGCCACTGGTCATAGTCTCCGTCTTCATCAAAAAGAGTGATCAGGTCTTCTTTATCAAATGGTGTATGGCATTGTTGAGGACCACCGAGGAAATTAATATATGAGTCGCGCTATCGGTCCAACTTTGGATCTTCTCGCCGCGTTTACCTCGGTCCAGGTTGGCAGCAAGTCAAGTTCAATAATCCGCGAATCCAATTCAATTCGTCAAACTCTCAATCTGCAAATGGGAGTATTAATAACAAAAATACAGGACAATAATACCATCAATGCTTCGTGCCTTCAAAACAGCATCCAGTGCATTCTGAACACTTCGGGCACAAATATCGACTGCGCACGCGCGATCTCTTTCTTTCTCTCTCTATACACAACTGCACCCACAGCTACTCACTCCGTCTGTGTTTCGAGCACTCCTTCAGGCTCGTTCACTTCTTCGGTCCCGGATTCTCTGTCTTCCATCTCCTCTCGGTGTGACCCCTGCTTCTTCGAGTGGCCTGTGGATTCGGAAGCTTCCTTTTCTTCTTCGCCCCCTTCTGAGGAGGTAGACGTCTCCTCTCCCTCGCCGTCTTGCTGAGCATCTTCCGTCTCCTGCTCGATCAGACTCGTCCACTCGTCGCCCTCCGACTTTGCGTCTTCCTCGGCTTTGCCCTCCTCATTGTCCTTTTCTGCTGCACTGGCGCGCGCTTGCTGGTACTCGCCTTCGTCAAAGTACCTGGTCCCTCCCCAGATCCATTCGGGATGTCCCATGCCACGCCCAATATCCGGGATCGTCATGGGAGGCATCGAATCTTTGGAGAAGACACTCAGAAAATCCTCCTGCCCGGTCAGAATGCGAGGGATGTTTTGCCGTATCGAATACATGATCCGCTCACTCCATCCTTCCTCGATCACCTGGACATCTTCTAGCCCGCGGATGTCGCTCCCTCGATTTGACGCGCCGGCTGGTTTCGAAATGCCCACGACCGTGGGGAACGGTGCGATGCAGGTGAAATCCAGTGTGTGCCGGTTACACATGGCTCCCATGCCATTGTCTACCGGGTCGTTGAAGGGCACCATGCTCTGCGTGAAGACAACCTTTTCCGCGCCACGGAGGGAGATGGCGTATGCCGCCGTACAAGAATTCCAGTTCGACCGAAAGTAGATCCGGGTCTGGAAGTTGAGGTAGTCGTCCGAGTCCTCTTGCCAGACGGACATGTCGGGCTGAACGAATTCCGACCGCGACCACGGCGGCAGCACCGTCGGGTCGTCCGTCACGACGTACCTCCTGTCGTTCTCGGGGTCTGTCTGCGCTGCGCAATGCCCGAACCAGATGATGTCCCAGTAATCGCCGTACGGCGATAGCGGCTTCTCGTCTTCCGGCTGCGCGGTCACGAACCGCGTTGCTTGTGCCGCCTGCATCATCTGGTACTTAATGGCCAGGTCCCAGTCCGCGTCGTCTTCGAATACCAGAGCGGACTGGATGTTGTCCCGGAGCATCTCTTGCATGACGTTCAAGTGTGCTCGCCAACAGCCCGTGGCGCCGGCATCCTGTGCAAAGCTCTAAATGAAGCCGCCCAACGTTAGCTGTGTTCCGACGAACCAGGCATCGATTCAGCCGCTCTGACTGCAGGTCAATAGATAGGTAAATTCAGGAGTCTTACGTGTGGAAGAGCCTTGACTGACACATCCGCTCCTGAGACCCCGTCTCGGACCTCAAACGAGATATTGGACAGCCGTGCCTGCAGACTGAAGGCGTCTCGCTTATCACTCCTCTCCGGCATGGAGATGACAAAGACCTTTGCAAAGCCCAACGTCGAGTTCATGGCGTCTTCCATGCTATTGTAGTTGTTGTTGTAGTTGTTCGCGGCTGCCGCTGCTGCTGCTGCCTCCTCTTCCTCCTCTTCCTGCTCCTGTTGCAGCTGAAGCTGCCGCTGCAGTTCATCCGCCTCGACCGCCTCCTCGTCAAGGAAGACATCGGCAACCCGCACATCCTCGATAGCATCGTCCGGCTGCACGTCATCAAACCGGCTGGACCTGTGACTACTCCCGGTCCCCAGACCGAGTCCTCCCCTGTGGATATTGGTGTTGATATTGACGACGTCGTCGTGGCGGTGATCGAAGAGCCCCAGATCCGCCACCGACGGCGCGTCAAAGTCCGGAAACGAGGGCTTGAACCGACCGACGAACAAGAACACAATTGTCAAGGTGATGGCAAACCCGGCGACTTCGAATCGTGGGAACATGACTCTTTGCTTGAGAGACAAGCGGGAGAGAGTGAAAGGAATGAGCGAAGGGCCGAAGGGGTAGGGGTTCGAAGAACACAGGGAGATATTGGTGCATTTTTACAGTTACCGCAAGGTCTCGTTCTTGGGACATGGTTCCATCGCGCCCTTTTTCGCCCTCTGGAGCGTGGGATATCAAGGGAGCATGTAAGTGAGCGAGCGTGCGAAGCGAGGGCGAGGGTGTGAGGGAGGGAGAGGGAGGGACACGTAGAGGGACCGAGCCATCCCTTCGTACGCGTTCCTCCTCTGTCACGTACGCGCTGCGCTGTGGAATGTGTCAAAACTCGACCAGCCCTTTTGAAGAGAATGAAGAGCCCGTACCACGTGCACGAGCCATGACATGGAGTCATGGAGTCATGGAGTCTTGAAGATGGGCATACATAACATGCCTATGCTTGGTCGAGACCCCCATTTTCGATCCATCATATCCAGTCGAGAACCTCCAGACGTGCCAGCACCGCCCCTTTTAACTCGCCAGCCTCGTGTGAGTATCAAGTCCTCCCTCCCTCCCTCCCTCGCAAGGGGCATTGAAAGTCAACACGCGCTCCCATTCGAGGCTGTCTTTGTCTTCTTTTTCATTCGTAGTCAACAGGCATCTGGACAACCCTTTGTTTCGCCATTTGTCTCGGCCTGATCCCCCGCCTGTCTGAGACAATCATCCACCCCCGGCACGCACAAAAATTTGACGGACAAAAACCACCCCCTTGCGTCAACACCAACGTCAACACCAACATCAACACCAACATCAACACCATCATTGAGATTGAGATTGAGGATGTATGTATGTACCGAGTAGTATGGTACGACTCAGAGGAGAAATAGGTGCTGTAGCATTCTTAATTCCAGGGTCTGCGCTGCCTACCTGTCTGGGATGGCTATTCCCGGGTCTTGTTTGGTCGTAGAAGCGGATGGGAGTGGTAGGATGGATGGATATGGATATAGAGATGGACGGAGTCAGGGGTGACCCCCTCCTGGAATCCATGACCTGGTATTCTGGGTCCTTTTTTTTCTCTGTGTGGTCGTGATTCTCTCTAACCTTGTATAGGTAGTTACATATATACACATATAGATGGCCAGGCCAGCACTCACGCACGTACGCACATCATGAGTCTTCCCTCTAACCAACGCCAAGAACAACGCAGGAGCCCGACAGTCAGTCCATAAAAATCTATGCCATCCCGCCACAAACCCTCCAAATAGAATATTAGACCACCGCGTGTTCCCATTACTGCATTATTTGGCCCCACAGCGAAAACCACCCAGGGGTTACAGGTCAGGACCACCGCCGTCCTCGAAGATCATATGGTGCTGCTCCTTGTCCGTGTCGTCGGACGACCCCGCAGAATTCGCTTCGCCCTCGGCGGCGGCAGCTTTCTTGGACTCGTCCAGCTCGTCCTCGGTCGGGTGCGAAAAGTCCGTCTCGCACTTGACGTTCTTGGGCGGCGTGGCCTGCCACCGGATCTTGCTGTTTCGGAGAGCCCGGACGTCGACGTCCTGCTCGACCCGCTGCACAATCTCCGTGGCGAAGCCGTACCTCTTCTTGGTCTGCCGCGACTCGTCGTCGTTGTACCCGACGTTGACGCTCGGCACCACCGCGATCCGTCCGTACCCATACTTCCAGAAATCCTTGCACAGCAGCAGAGGTTCGCCCATGTGGCATTCGTCGGGACGCGAGGCGCGGAATGTGATGTTCTCCCGCAGCAGGGGCTTGGCTGTGAAGACTGCGCCGCCGTTCCAACATGAATAGACCTGGGAGGAGCCATGATTGTTAGTAAATGTCGCCGATACACACAAACTGTCATGACGCGCCGAGAAGTGTTAGCTCAGACTACTCACCTGGAAAGGCAATCTGGCTTCGAATCGTGTCTTCGTTCTGGGATCGTGGCGGAACATTGTATTGTTGGGGTCCGCACTGCCATCTCGGGGCGTGTTGACAAACATGTCACCTGTCATACCACGAGACGCCCCTACGTCGTTAAAGGTCTCTCCCTGGTTGGCCCAGTCCATGCCACAGACCATGTCAGCATTTTGATAGACCTTCAGAACCGTTAGCATCTTCGACCGAACTCACGACCATCCACCAAAGACAACTCGCCTTTTGATAGATGAGTTCTAGAATGTCATCCGTGCAGATGGCCACATCGTTCAGAAACACAACCGTTGTGTCAGGATCGTAAAGCTCCGGCTGCCGCACCAGTGGGTCAAGTGCTAGATTTCTCAGAGCAGCCCATTCAGTGATATAGTCGCTGCCCTCTTTGTACGGGTCAATGTCGCTTGTGCTGAAGTAATACGATACGTTCAGCGTCCCCATTTCCTCCCGGATTCTTTCCAAAATCTCCAACGTGCCATCGTTGGAAGGGCGAGCAACAATGGACAAGGCACAGTCCTGTGGCCGGAGTATGCGGATCGTCTCGACGACCGACGCCAGCAAGCGCGGCAAGATGGGAGCGCATTGCTGGAGATCGAGTGCGAAGAACCATCTTCTGGGTGGCGTATCCCATCTCGTCGCGAGACTGCGG